CCCCCCCCCACCACCTCGGTGGAATGATTTTGGATGAATTGGGAAAAAATGAAAAATGGTTCATTTAAGGCAAGTTTTTTCCTTCTTTTTGTTACTGTTTACCTAGAAAATCATTTATTTTTCCCATTTCAGCGAAAAAAAAACTTAAAAATTGTTTGGCGCTCCACGCAACAACATATAACTTCTGGGGAAAAGTATTTTCTAAGGTGGGGGGGCAAGATTTTTTAGGAAATTATACACCCCTGATGTTGGGAGGTTAATAAGTTATTTCACAAAATAAACATATTTACTTAAGAGGGGGATGTTTTTCAAAGCTTTGATATAAAGGTGAGGGGACAAATCTCAAAATTCACAAGAGAGGGGTTTGTTCTTAAAATCTACGGGGGGGGGGGGATTTTAACCTTTCTATATTTTTGTAAGTATTTCTCTGCTTTTCAACAAAAAAATTTGCTTATTGAAATAATATAATTCTGTTAAAGCTCCTTAGAATTTTACTTAATCTCGTAGAACTCGGTTTAAAATAAAATACAAATATTTCGGTGCATTTCTCTGAAATATAACAATAAGATTAGTTTATAGAGAATATCAAACGTAATAGCATGATTCAAGGGATTAAAGAGCCTGATTCACAACGGTACCCTATAAACTATTCGCTTTCTCTATTTTATATTCATTTTTGTCGCTGAAATTGATTCTTTTTCAATTTTCGGTTCTTAATGAATGTAACTTGCGAAATGAAAGAAATGAAGAGAATTCATCATAATTCTGGTAAGAAAAACATCTCCTTTAGAAAAAGGTATTAAGGGTATTTTTCTAAATCGGACATGCCCCTCTTTAGTCTTTACGTCTGTAGTCCCTTTAAGGGGTTGTACAATTTTTAAATTATTTATTTGTTATTATTTCTATTATTTCTATTTCTATTATTATTTCTATTATTTACAAACTTTGCGCTAGTTTAGTTTTGTTTTAAATTTAATTAGTTTTGTTTCTTATATTTTTGTTTTAGAAACTTTTTCAATATTTTACTTGTTTTTTGTTGCTGATATTTTTAATTAACAAAGCTCAAGACTCAAATTTTCTATTTTAGCGGCCTTTAAAAATGCCTAAAAATGTATAATTGTAAACATGATGAGAGCTTTAGTATAAAAGGAACAGGTTTCTGAAAACATTTAGTATACAGAGAGACGTTAATTACTGGGATGGTCACATGTAACTAATCTTTTAGTATACAGAGAGACCTTAAAAACTGGGATGGCCACATGTAACTAATCTTTTAGTATACAGAGAGACCTTAAAAACTGGGATGGCCACATGTAAGCAATCTTGTGTGTATTCGATGTTTTTTTAAAGCAAATCCTTTCCCGTAGCTTAAATTTTACTTATCTACAACAAAATGGTTGTGTAACTGCTCTGTTATGATGTTTATCGGACAACTTTAAATCAATACTTGAGCCTAAAAAGTAACAAGTAACGTGTAAATCGCGCAAACGTTGATAATAGCACCCAAATCGCGCATTCGTCTACACGTTTTGTAGATAAGTTTTTGTTTGTAGGAGGTTGAAACCTTGACAGATGAGCTTTGCAAGTTCGGACTTAAAGTTGGCTCATATCACGCTCAGATGGAACCTGAAGCCAGGTAGGGTGGGGGGGGGGGGCTGTTTTTCTTTTAAAGGGACCGTAAGCCTAATTTCAAGTCACCCTCCAAGCAAAGATGATATTGTCAGTTTCACTACGGTACCCTTAAAAACCTTTTTTTGGTCAAGTATGAATTAGATTTTCATTTTTAATTTGTTATTTATTTTTTATTTGTTTAAACTCTTTTTTTCATTTTAGGCCTCTCTGCAAAAGTGACTTCCGCATTGTATGCTTTTAAGAAACACTATCCTATATCTATCAATATCTTTCAATATCTTTCAATATCCTTCATATCCTACAATATTCTTCAATGTCCTTCATTATCCTTCAATATCCTTCAATATCCTTCAATATCTACAAAAATCTTCATTATCATTCAATATTCTTCAATATCCTTCAATATCCTTCAATTTACTTAATTCCATATCCTTCAATATTCTATTCCATATCCTTCAATATCCTTCAATTTACTTAATTCCATATCCTTCAATATCCTTCAATTTACTTAATTCCGTATCCTTCAATATTCTTCAATATCCTTCAAGATCCTTCAAGATCCTTCAAGATCCTTCTATATACTTCAATATCCTCCAATATCCTTCAATATCTTTCATTATCCTTTAATATCCCTCAATATCCTTCAATATCTTTCATTCTCCTTCAATATCCTTCAATATCTTTCAATATCCTTCAATATCCTTCAATATCCTTTAATATCTTTCAATATCCACGCAACCTCGGAACATCTTCGATGTATATCAATCTCTTAATAATTATTATTATAAGATAAGAGCAAATATTTGATAAGCACTATTGAAGAGGCATTAAAGGAAAGGATCTTGTGGAGAATTTGTAGAAAAACAATGTTTTTATCATCGTTACTCTACTCAGACCACTTTAAAAAATTGCATTTTCAGAGCCGGTACAATATGAACTGAATATGCATTTAGTTGTATTTTTCAGTCTTGGCTACTAATGGTAGAGTGGACCCTGCACATTTTATGCAGCAAACGTAGCCTAGCATGATCAACAGTGACCTTTGTTGAGCGCAGGGTGCACAAACAGTACATCTCTAAATTACGTGGAAATCATATTTCCTAGTATTAGCTTATGATTCTACAATTACACCTTTCTTTTTTCTCAATAATCAAACAAGGATTTTTTTCAGAAAATAATTTTTCAATAAAACAACATACCAACTTTAAGGAGTTCTTGTTATCAAAATTAAAATCATAAGAATTGTCATTATTAAAATCCGTGCAATGATGATGAGACTTAAGGGTATAACAATTGAATTTTAATTAAACTAAAAAAAAAGATTTGGTATTTAATTTAGTCTAATTTAATTGGTATCTTATATTACAAAATTGCTTATTTTTAAAATCCTATCCTAATTTTCGTTTAGAAGTAAAGTTCATCGACGATGGCTGAAAGGTGAAATCCAAACTGTAGTAGCTACTGTTGCATTTGGAATGGGAATAGATAAACCTGATGTGAGATTCGTCATTCATAATACATTATCCAAGTAAGTAATCGTCAGATTCCATATTCATCATACATTAACCAAGTAAGTAAATTGTCAGATTCCATATTCAAAATACATTATCCAAGTAAGTAATTGTCAGATTCCATATTCATTATACATTATCCAAGTAAGTATTTGTCAGATTCCATATTCAAAATACATTATCCAAGTAAGTAATTTTCAGATTCCATATTTATTATACATGATCCAAGTAAGTAATTGTCAGATTCCATATTCATTATACATTATCCAAGTAAGTATTTGTCAGATTCCATATTTATTATACATTATCCAAGTAAGAAATTGTCAGATTCCATATTCATAATACATTATCCAAGTACGAAATTGTCAGATTCCATATTTATAATACATTATCCAAGTAAGTAATTGTCCGATTCCATTTACATAATACATTTTCCAAGTAAGTAATTGACAGATTCCATAATCAAAATACATTATCCAAGTAAGTATTTGTCAGATTCCATATTCATAATACATTATCCAAGTAAGTAATTGTCAGATTCCATATTCATAATACATTAACCAAGTAAGTAATTGTCAGATTTCATATTCATAATACATTATCCAAGTAAGTTAATTGTCAGATTCCATTTACATAATACATTTTCCAAGTAAGTAATTGTCAGATTCTATATTCAAAATACATTATTCAAGTAAGTAATTGTCAGATTCCATATTTATAATACATTCTCCAAGTAAGAAATTGTCAGATTCCATATTCATAATACATTATCCAAGTACGAAATTGTCAGATTCCATATTCATAATACATTATCCAAGTAAGTAATTGTCCGATTCCATTTACATAATACATTTTCCAAGTAAGTAATTGTCAGATTCCATAATCAAAATACATTATCCAAGTAAGTAATTCTCAGATTCTATATTCATAATACATTATCCAAGTAAGTAATTGTCAGATTCCATATTTATAATACATTATCCAAGTAAGTAAATTTTCAGATTCCATATTCATAATACATTATCCAAGTAAGTAAATTGTCAGATTCCATATTCATTATACATTATCCAAGTAAGTAATTGTCAGATTCCATATTCATAAATACATTTTCCAATTAAGTAATTGTCAGATTCCATATTCAAAATACATTATCCAAGTGAGTAATTTTCAAATTCCATATTCATAATACATTATCTAAGTAAGTAATTGTCAGATTCCATATTCATTATACATTATCCAAGTAAGTAATTGTCAGATTTCATATTCATAATACATTATCCAAGTAAGTATTTGTCAGATTCCATATTCATAATACATTATCCAAGTAAGTAATTGTCAGATTCCATATTCATAATACATTATCCAAGTAAGTTAATTGTCAGATTCCATATTCAAAATACATTATTCAAGTAAGAAATTGTCAGATACCATATTCATAATACATTATCCAAGTAAGTAATTGTTAGATTCCATTTACATAATACATTATCCAAGTAAGTAAGTGTCAGATCCCATATTCATAATACATTAACCAAGTAAGTAATTGTCAGAAGTGTCAAAAAAGGTAAGTGAGCCTGAAAAGGTAAAAGAACCATAGTAAATCGGACATTGCCATACTTTAAAATTCCTCTTGCAGTTTCTTTAGTCTTGCCATTTCTATTTTACGCAACTGAACATGATTAAACTGACAATTTTCAAGATATAAATTTTACCTTTATTTTAAAGATTTCAGATTTATTTTAACAATTTCTTAATTTGTTTTTAGAACGTTTTGATCGAAAAATACATTTAACATATTAAAATTCATATATAACATCAGAAAGAGAATTTTTAAATTGGAAATGTTTGTTTAAAACCTGATCCAAGAAGGTCTAGACTTCAATATATTTGTGTTGTGAAACTCGGGATCAACTTGTCAGTTATTTTGCAATAATACATTTTCTGGATTTTGTTCCTAAAGAATGTCAGAAAAATGTCAACATAGCAAAACTTTATAGTGTAAACCTCTGTATAAGAAAAACTAAAGACTAATATTATTAATTTACAAGAAAAATATTATGAGTTATCCCTTTTCAATCATAAGATTAAGGTATAAATAGCGGGAGTACCTGGCGCTGCCCAGGTATATATTATTATTTGTTACTCCCGCCGTTTACAATGGTTGGCTTAGAAAAACAGCCACAAAAAGCTGAATGAAACCACCTCACAGTTTTTTTTGGTTTTGTCTTGGGTTTTTTTAGAAGTTTTCTTATCTTAGCCTTTTCTTCTCTCTTATAGTGGTAAACCTTTCAAGTAATGATATTAATCATTAACTTTGAATTTTATAAAACAGTTAAACTCATTTAAAAGAAGATATATCGGAAGAATTTTTTTTAAAATGTTGTCTTGTAATTTTCACTGGGTTTTGCGGCTGAGAATTTTAATAAGATGAAGAATATGAAGCTGTTGGACAACATATTCCACATATTTCAGGGCTATTTTATTTATCTTACAAAAACAAAATTATGAAAATTTTCATTTCGGTAAAAAAATTGACTTTTAGGTCAGAAATTTCGATTATTTTTTAGTAAATTACACATATCCCTGTAAAGATGTTGTTGGAAAACTTTTACAGCTTGTGAATTTACAAGACAGCTTCAAATTCAAATTCGACGCAACTTTATAAAAATTCTTCCGATCTCAATTCTTTTTTATGAGTTAGAGTTATAAATTCAAAGTTAATGATTAATATCATTATACTTTTCTCTTCATCAAGAAGATTTTTGCCTTTTCAAGATTACATTTGTTCCAAGATTTAGTTTTTAGTCATTATAAAAGAGACAAAAGGGAAAGTTATTAGATAATATAATTATTACATGCTATTGACCCTGTTCAGAATCTTCACCATTCATGCTTACTATATTATTATATCACAAATTTAAAATGACATTTTGAATAAAATTTCGTTTTTCAGAACTATTCTATAGAATTTGATATTTTACATCTGTTTGTGAGAAAATGATTTTATTTTATTCACGTTTAAATTTGTTAAATTTAGTTTAGAGGAATAATTCCAACGCATTTTCCGGAGAAATTGCTAATATCATATTTGATGGTCATTGTAAGTTGTGGAATGATAACCAGTTGATACTTAACTTTCTTTTCTTTGAACTTAAGGATTTTTTTTTAATGAAATGGAGGCCATATTTTATTATGTTAATGAACATGACCTTGATGATGATGCTTTTAGATCAATGGAGAACTTCTACCAGGAATCTGGAAGAGCAGGAAGGGATGGAAAGCCGGCCAAATGTATTTTACAGTTCAGGTAATTGTTTTAGAAATTCCATTTTAAAAACATTTTCAAGTGTTAACCATTTAAACATTATAAAGGAAGTTGACAAAGATTTCCACTTTGAATTTTTTGCGTTTTTTATATCTCCTTCAATTTTTTATGATTTTTTTTAAAAACAATAGAATGAACATTTCCCAACAATTTATCTTTTCTTTTTTATCATATTTATTTTTATGCCTAAAAAATCTATAGGAAATAAAAATTTTGAGAATTTTGTCCACGACATCGATGGAGGGGAGGGTTCCATACAAGGGGGGGGAGGATCAATAGCCCCTCCCCTTTAGAAATCAAACTTGATACAATCATTTTTTAGGCTGGGATAGATAAATAGTCACGGTAGGTTGTTATTTTGCAGGAGGAGGGGGGGGGGGGTCCACATAACCATATATAAAAAAAATCTCATATTTATTGATGCCACATTCACCATCACTTATCAGATTTTTTGCAAAAATTTGGTTTCATCCACCATGCTGTCGTCGTGTCTATACTGTATTGTATGTCAGGCTAGGTGATGTATTTAAGCAAAGTACAATGGTGTTTACGGAACAAACTGGTCTAGACAAACTTTATAGGTAAAACTTTATTTTAATATGATGCGGCAAGTTTCATTTTAATATATTTTTTATTTTCATTTATTTTTCATAAAGGATGAAACCAATTGAATTTATTTCATGGCCATAGAAAATTTTATTCAGTTTGAATATTATAAGATTTTCTAGATATTAGTTATTTTCTGAACTCTGGTAGTTTAGCATGGTCAGCTATTTTCTGAACTCTGGTAGTTTTACATGGTCAGCTTTTGTCTGAACTATGGTATTTTTGCATGGTCAGCTTTTGTCTGAACTCTTGTAGTTAAGTATGGTCAGCTATTGTCTGAACTCTGGTAGTTTATGGTCAGCTTTTGTCTGAACTCTGGTAGTTATGTATGGTCAGCTATTGTCTGAACTCTGGTAGTTTATGGTCAGCTTTTGTCTGAACTGTGGTAGTTAAGTATGGTCATCTTTTGTCTGAACTCTTCTATTTTAGCATGGTCAGCTATTGTCTGAACTCTGTTAGTATAGCATGGTCAGCTTTTGTCTGAACTCTTCTATTTTAGCATGGTCAGCTACTGTCTGAACTCTGGTAGTATAGCATGGTCAGATATTGTCTGAACTCTGGTAGTTAAGTATGGTCAGCTTTTTTCTAAACTCTAGTATTTTAGCATGGTCACTATTGTCTGAACTCTTCTATTTTTGCATGGTCAGATATTGTTTGAACTATGGCATTTTATCATGGTCAAGTATTGTCTTAAATCTGGTATTTTATCATGGTCAGCTATTGTCTGAAATCTGGTATTTTAACATGGTCAGCTATTGTCTGAACTCTGGTAATTAAGTATGGTCAGCTATTGCCTGAACTATGATATTTATCATTGTCAGCTACGGTCTAAACTCTTGTATTTTAGCATGGTCAGCTATTGTCTTTACTCCGGTATTTTAGCATGGTCAAATATTGTCTAAACTCTGGTATTTTAGTATGGTTAGTAATTGTCTGAACTCTGGTAGTTTAGCATAGTCAGCTATTGTCTGAACTCTGGTATTTTAGCATGATCAGCTTTTGTCTGAACTCTGGTATTTTAGCATGATCAGCTTTTGTCTGAACTCTGGTAGTTTAGCATGGTCAGTTATTGTCTGAACTCTTGGTATTTTAACATGGTCAGCAATTGTCTGAACTCTGGTATTTTAGCATGGTCAGCTATTGTCTTAACACTGCGAGCTGCAGAAGGAACTTGATTGCGGAACATTTCTTAGAAAGCTGGGAACCCGTTCCATGTAATAAGATGTGTGACATCTGTGAGGTAACAAAGCTGAAAAGTAACTTTTCTTAATTCATGTTTTTATTTGATTCTTGAACGGACTGCATTTTTAATTTCTAGTGACCCTACATTTATTAAAAAAAAATCTGGCAGAATTCACGACCTTACCCTTTAAACTGTATCTAATCAATACTCTGGAAGATGTCCTTGTTTTGTTTTGATTTAGCTTGTAAACTGGTTTCTGTCCTTAGGCTGTTATTTTTGAAGAGGACTTGGCATTCATTTCCATGGAATTAGCCTCATTCTTCTAGTAACTTTTTTATTTAGAGAAACCACAATTAAAAATAATCAATTTTAAAAATAATATAAAAGATGTCTTATGCATTTTTTACAAGACAAAGCTTGTAAGAGTACCATTGTGAATCAGAAATGCCACTCTATAAACGGAGAGTAACTTGAAATTACGTCTTAACGCTTTACATGATTGTTCGAGTTTAAAATTGTTGATAATTGTCCAATTCTTGTAGGGAGAATGCTTAACTAGCAATGAAGAGGAAATAACAGGTTAGAAATAATTTATTTAATATTTTTCATTTCATTAATTAATCTTGAAAAGCGTATTTTGTCCCCTCTCTTTTTGATATTCATTATGGAGCTTAAGTTAAATACTTGATTTTATTTTTTTTTCAATGTGGCTTTTACGAAAATAATGAGGGTTCTCATGATTGTTTTTTAATATCTTTTATAGTCCTTAATAATCTCCCCCCCCCCCCCTGAAAACTTGAAATAAATGGCGCAGAGCAACCAATTAAAATTGTTGCCAGAATATCGATTTTAACTCTCTTACCGCTAAAGGGGCCCTAGTGAGGGGGTGGGGGAAAGGGGGGAAGGTGGGTGCCTTCCACTAAACAATTGTGGTAAGGTCTCAATCTCCACCCTTATAAATTGGTGGATTTCCTACTCCTTTGGAAAACTTAGTGGAGATTTTTATTTTTTCTAGGCTTTTGCGCCCTTCCTCTATTTTAACTTTTAATTGTGGCTCTATCTGTGAGTATCTTCTCTTTGTACAGTATAAAAAATAACAAAAATAAGTTCGTGGATATTAAAATATTTTTTTTGCGCAGTTTTAAAATTTAACATAAAAGCAAGAGCTTTTGGATAGAACTTTTTGTAACTCTGAGCATTCATCCCTGGGGTCATGCTAGATCTTACAAAATTTGGGCCCGATCAGTTCAGCCGTTATGAAGACAGACAAGTAAACCAAATCTATATATAAACTAGCCTTATAGGGCGCTTCGCGCCCATCTTCTAAATTAATTGTGAACATGTTCTCTATGTGTACATCGTAAAACGAAACAAAAATAATTCGCGGATTTTCACAAAAAATTTCGTGGATTTTTCAGGGAAGGTTTATGAATGATCAAAATTTTAAAAATTTGTGTTTAAAAGTTTTTTATTTTTGAAAATTTTTGAAAATGCGCAAAAAAATATTATGAAATCCGCAACCTTTTTTTGTTTTTGTTTTATACTGTACAAAGAGAAGATGTTCAGAGATAAAGCCACAATTAAAAGTTGAAATAGAAGATGGGCGCGAAGCACCCTAAAAGCCTAGTTATATATATTATATATAGAAGGAGGGAGAGAAGGTTTTTGTAAAATTTCTTGTTCTGGAACGTTTGTAATATTCACACTTTTATTTTTTAGTAAGTGGAACTGTTTCGGTTAACTATTATCTAGAATAAAATTATAAAGATTTATTTGCTAAATGAATTTGGTGTAAAATTTGCATATTTCAAGCTACTGTGCCAAATATAGATATTGTGTTCGGTCTAATTTACGTAGTATCCTATAAACCTTTATCTGATGAGAATGAATGATTTTTCCATGTTCTTGTTAAAGATTCATTATTTGGGGTTTATGTATAAAAGTGATTTACGGATTTCTGCTTCAAATGAAGGAAATAGTCAGAATGAAGCTAGAAAAACAACGATATCTTCGACATTATAGATCAGATAAGGGTTTAAATAATAATGTGTGAATCGTTCAAGCTCGTTAAATGGCGGGCCATTTGAAATTTTAACGACTGTCGCTTTTAGTAATTTATTCAGCTTATAGTCATCATAGATTTCCCCCAGACTAAAATATTGAAAATAATTGTTCAAGATTATATAAGTATCTGTTTATGAATGTTCGGTAATTTAATTTAATTGTATAAATTAAAAATTATCATGCAAACTTGGGAAACCTTTTTTAGAAAAATTCAGGAAAAATATTGTGACAATTTTATAGGTCCATTAACCGATCGCTTTTAAAATGTTAAAATAAACTTTTGAAATAGAAGGTTTTAAAGTAATAATTAATACTTAATTAATAAAAAATGGGCCCTATCGGATTTGAAAAATCACTGAATACAAACCAAACAAATAGATAGAGATAATATATATTTAGATACATTAAATTGGTTGTGTTGTGTATAGTCAGCTCATGGTTGGATATGTTTTTGGACATATATTTTTCTTTTCTCATGTCGTTTTTGTAAGCAGGTCATCAGTAAGGGATAAGGGTTTAAAGTTTCAAGTATCAAAGATATTGAAAAACCTAAGAAGATAAATACAGAACTACATAATAGTTCTCAAAATTTGTTGAGATAGAACAAGGATATAAAATCCCTTTGTCATTTTTATGTCTGAATGATCTGAAATTTTAACAGTGGTCTTCCTTCTTGAGCATATAAATATATACCGATTAATAATCTGGGTAGGCCAACCCCAAATCAGAAATATGAATCTAAGTGAGAACTTAGAATTAGTCTGAAATTTATAGAACTAAAATATAAAAAAATTGCAGTATTCACGCTATGAAGAAGAGAGGTGATTTTATGTATTTGAAAAGTATTTATTATGATTATAGCCTATCATCACAACAATATTATTATTTTTCATAAATTTTACCTATTGCTTGAATAGTCTAATCATTATGATCTAGTATGAATTTTAAAAGGTTTTAACTACTTTCAAATTAAAAAACTCAAAAAAGCCCCCCAAAAAAATTCATGATAAGTATATGAGTAAATAGAATCTGCTACTATTAATATTGACATGAAAATGTCTTACTTGTTACGGGTTCTTTGAATTTTAAGTATTATTTTATTTAAAAACTGTTTGTTTGCTTGAATGAAATTTCAATAATATTTTTAATGATTTTTTTACCTTTATTCTCTTTCTAATGCGATTTTTAAAAGGTTAATCATCTATTAATGGGATAATATACTGTAATCGTCAGCAAAATCCTTTTTGATCCTATAAATTTTTTATTGCAAATAATTACATATTACGTATTTATTGAAGTTTATATCATTAAAAGAAATCATTTTTCTTCAGAGGTCATGATTTTTCCATAAGAAGTGATGTAAAATAAGTTTAAAATGTGCTACGAGTTTTTTCCATGCCAAAACAAAATACAGTCTTTTTCATATAGAAAAAAAATCTTACCTTCTGATAACATAATGAAATTATGTTATTTGTTCTATAAAAGGACTTGATATATTTTTTATTTTTTCACAAAAAAAATCATGATTAATCAATGTTTGGAGCAATATTAAATCTCTTTTTAATTCCACAGGCAACGCCGGGCACTTGAGCTAAAATCACAATTTAATGACAAGCGCGAGTAAACAGCAGGAGTAATTATGAGTAACCTGGGCAGCGCCGGGCTCTTCAGCTCGTAGTACATAATCCAACATTTCAGAATATGCCCGAGCTAGTGTTCGGATCCTCGAGGAGGCCAAGAAGAAGGAGGTTAGGGTGACCGGCCTCAAGCTGGTGGAGGCTCTGCAGGGCAGGGGGGCTAACAACCTCAAAATAGAAGGATGGAAGGTAGGCTTTTCTAAGGACATGGTTGCACTGATATTATTCTTTAAGTAAGTAAGTAAGTAAGTAAGTAAGTAAGTAAGTAAGTAAGTAAGTAAGTAAGTAAGTAAGTAAGTAAGTAAGTAAGTAAGTAAGTAAGTAAGTAAGTAAGTAAGTAAGTAAGTAAGTAAGTAAGTAAGTAAGTAAGTAAGTAAGTAAGTAAGTAAAGAATTATTTATTTATGAAATATAACATAATCATACAAAATTTGTTTCATGAGGAAATATTGAAAAACCTTCAAAAATAGAGGTGGGCAAATTGAAAATGAAAGTGAAAAAAAGGAAAAGGAAAAAGGGAACAGGGAACAGGGAACAAGGAACAAGGAACAGGGAACAGGGATCAGGGAACAGGGAACAGGGAACATGAAAAAGGAAAAAGGAAAAGGGGTAAGGCAAGTTACATATTTATTGTTTACGTTACATTTAATATAACTGGTGATGGTGGATTGTTAGTATTTTTCGACGATGAACTAACAAATTTTAAAAATAGAAATTATAGATTTATTTGTTAAAGTTGAAAAAAATTAGGCTTATGGGTTGAGAAAAAGATATAGGATAAGGGTTGGCTGCGATTATTATTTTAAATAAAAGACAATTTTGAATGATCTATTTTAGGAAGAATTTTCAATGGACAAGATTGAAATGATCTATTTTAGGGAGGATTTCCCTTAGACAAGATTTTAAATTATCTTGTTTAGGGAGGATTTTCCTTAGAAAAGATTGCAATGATTTAATTTATGGAGGATTTTCTAAAGATAACATTGAAATGATCATTTTGAGGAAAGATTTGAATTGATCTTATTTAGGGAGGATTTTCTAAAGACAAGATTGTGTTGATCTATTTTAGGGAGGATTTTCTAAAGACAAGATTGAAATGATCGTCGCCTATCTTCTGGTTGAAGGATTTATCAAGGAAGATTTCCATTTCACCCCCTACTCCACCATTAGGTAATTAAAACCATTATGATAGAGATTATATATCTATCGTAGAACAGAAATATTCATGAATTGGATCCGGATACAGGAACTGGATCTAACTACGCATTAAGATCAAATGGATCCGAAGCCAAGCTAGATATTATTTTCTTTCTATTTAATAACTATTTATGTTTTTAATAATAGTTGATAATTGATAAAGAGATGAAAACAAATTATTCTCTTTTGATAGTAACAGATTTTTGTTGGTCACTATATTTTTTTTATTTTAAAAAGAACGTTTTAAGGAAAAATAAACTTACTATTTTTAGTTATTTGGTTGTTGGGGGTCGGGAAATTCGAAGTATACTTGTAAATTTGCCTGAGACTGATACTCTACATCGGAATCCGTCAAAACGAGGAGACGAGAAATCCGGGAAAAATAAAGAAAAATCCGCTAAAATTTCAGCCATCCAAGAAAATAAAAATGGCGGATCAGGAAACCAAACCAAACCCAAGAAACTGTCAAGCAAACGGGGTCATTCTAGTGACAGTGATGAAGATTTCGAGATCAAACAAAAAGTATTAAAAAGTTCAATTGTGATCAGTGACAGCGAATAAAAAGCTGATTATATTTATAATCATTATGAAGTTATCAAGAAAATAATAAGGATTTTGAGATAAATAATTATATCTCAATTCAAGAATTCTAATCAGATGAAAATAGTATTTTATCGGAAAGATCTCAATAACAAACCAAATTGAAAAGGTTAACAATTTCAGATTAAAAACAGCGTATCGTTAACTACTGCGACTCCACTGCAAAAGGTTAGGCTTATTAAATCTTAAAGGGACTGTAATCATTACTTCAAGTAACCCTCCATTCAAAGAGGGCAATGCTTGATTCACACGGTACCCTTTACAGTTTTGTCTGATAAAGTATGAATAAGATATTAATGTTTATAAATTTGAAAATTTTGGTTTCTTTACGAAAGTGACTTGCGAAACAAAGGTCTCAAGGGTGCCATGTAAATCGGACATTGCCATATTTGCATGGAGGATTACTTGAAATTACGCTTTCAGTCTCTTTAAGAACTAGAAAATATTTTAGCGTTCATACATGTGAAGCAAATTTTACTTTTTTTACAATTTTGAAGTAATTTGTCCTTCTGCATTTTGCAATATATTATTTGGATTTTATAAAACTCTATTTAACAATTTTTGTAATGAAACAATTTTGAAGTAGTTTTTTCTTCAAAATTTAGATTTTAAGCAGATTCTTTACATTTTATTAAAAGTTTTTTTGGTCTATCCATGGAGGAAAGCCCTGTAGCTATCTATGCGTATCAAAATGATAATTTTTCTAAATTAATTCTGACATTGTTGTTCAACCTTTCATCATTTCATCTCTTCGGATAGAGGCAGTTCAAGGAGCGTACACAGGGGGGGGGGCTCTGGTCATTACTAAAAGATTGATGTTTAACATATGATGAAAGGTAGAAGATGAAGATTGAGTTCACACCAATTTGATCAAATATTTTGCAGATTTTACGAGATTTGATCTCTCTCTGTTCACCTACAGTACTTGGCCAAGTTGAGAAGACTGAATGTTAAATTCGCGTTACCTTGGTAAGTTATGGAAAAAATTTATACCGGTCTTCGTTGGTTTTTTGTTTGCTTTATGAATTTGATTTGCACTAAAAAGCAAAAATCTGAATGCGCTTGAAAATTATGAAGAAAAAATTTATCAAATCTTTTTTTTTAAATATATCAAGAATACTTTTGAACTAGTACTACATGGATTTGAGGATTTTTATCAAAAGAGTGCCCCATAGTTTCACCCTTATTAATATCTAAATTTACAGTGGTGCAACCTCAGTACTTCAAACAGATAATCAGATTAAAGGTACAATTTGATTTTTTTTAAATAATATTTATTATTATTATTACTATTATTATTATTATTATTATTATTATTATTTTTATTGTTATTGTTATTGTTATTGTTATCGTGATTGCTATTGCTGTTTCTGTTGTTATTGTTATTGTTATTGTTACTGTTACTGTTATTGTTATTGTTATTGTCATTGTCATTGTCATTGTCGTTGTCATTGTCATTGTCATTGTCATTGTTATTTTAGAGCACAAAAATGACCTCCCCTGTTTCTCCTCCAGACTGTGTTAGAGGTAAATCTTTACTTTTTTTGGAAACAGTTCCTTTAAAGGAATTATCAAGTATTTTTTTAGCGTAAAAGTTAGAGTCTCAAGTCAAAATTTCGCAATAAAAGTAATTTGTAAACGGAAAAATTCACGGAAAATTATTAAACTTAAACTAAAGAAATAGTTAGGGGTGTCAACTAAAGCTTGTATGGAATATTAACTTAATTAGAAAAGTCCTATTTATTTTATTAATATAAACGCCTACCACCGTATTTTCAGAATATGTCATTTGATAATGGATTAGTGTTATTTAAGATTTTGTTTGACTGAAACAAATATGTATATTCTATATTGTGTTAGTGTTAGTTTTTGGAGGGAAACAATGTTCTTTAGTTTTGTTTATTGGATAAAGGTTTAAAGAGGAGAGTGGTGTGAATATGTAATAGAATTGTTTAAGTAGATTTCTACTTGAAATCAAATTTACATCTTGCAAAAAGTAGGATTGCTTGTTTTTAGAATTCTTGAAAAAAATGTACAATTCAGGCATGTTTGTATTACCTATTGTTTCTATACATAAAGTAGTCATATCTGCATGTCCGACCCATAACTCATGAATTCCTGAAACGATTTGTCTCAAATTTTTATTGGGAAACTCGGTAGAACCATGGCAATGTTCTTAGCCTGGTGTAAAAATTGTAAGTTGAGTGGATTAACTTTTATAGAGAATTTCCAGGCCAAGCTGTGTTCCCAATCTGTGTTCTAAATAAAGTTAATATATGTAAGCCCTATCAAATCATAGACTCAGTGGCGTAAATAAGGGGGGTTATTGGGGTTATTTACCCCCCCCTAGAATCCTGGGGGTAAATACCCCCCCCTAGAATCCTGGNGTAGACTGTATGTTTTAATGTATAATACGTATAAGAACTACTTGAAAATCGTCTTATTGGGAAATGTTTTGCGGCGTCTTTTATCAACCTAATTCACAAATATAATTCATGAACAGATATCATTGAATAAACCTACTTATGCGATTTTTAAAATGTGGTCTGCGTTTTGTGCTTTTTAAATGACCGAAGATATCAATGATTTTGTTTATAGAGGACAATTTTTTTGCTTTTTTAAAAAAATTTAAATTTATTAATATTTTTGTTTAGGAATGAAGGTCTTCAAACCTGAAATGTTTCAAAAATCAGCTTCTTTTCCATGTCTAAAAATTCAGGTAATTTGATTTGCGTGAGGAATTTTGTTCAAGTGTGTTTAAAGTGCCCCCGTATGAAATAGAATTTACCCCCTTTAATAAATACCTGGCTACGCCCCTGAATCTATATACATAAGTAAAGTAGTAATCTCTGTTTGTTTGTATGTCCGATTCAAACTCAGGAAAATAAATATTTTAATATTATGAAAATTTTGGTATTGTTTTTTTATTTTCATTTATAAATTTTGTCTTGCCCTTTCAAATTTCATGCAATTGCTCAATATTTATTGAATTAAAATAAAGTAATTTTCAAAATTTTTAATAAATCTTGATTCAAAAATTTTGAATGAAAAAACTTGTTGTGCTCTAAAACATGGGGATTACTATCAAATCTTCTATTACATAAGAAACTATTTTTGAGAAGTTAACAAAGAAATGTAATTTTCTGGAATAGAGAATTTTATCAGATGTTTTTTATGAAAGTACAACGCAAACCATTATCTTTTTAATGGTAAAAAAATCACGATCATCTAATTTAAAAAAAGGGTCTGTTGTTTACGGATTGTCAAGAGACCTCCTTCCATTTAAAGATGTACATGCCCGATTCCATTGCGGTTTCTTCATCGTCAGTGACTAGCCTATTTATGCGACAAGGAAGAAGATAAACAAAATAGTTTCTTTTTAAAATAGGAAAACAAGTATGTCCTTCTCATTAACAAAATAATTGTTATAAAAGTACAGTTGTAAATATGGCATCTGCTCACTTTAAGTTACGTGAACAGTACCTTTAGGAAGATAAATGTACTTTCTCATTTCTAACGATTTTTTTAATCAAACATGTTCAATTATATTTTATATTATATCTTTTATTTATCTTATCTTATCTTATATTTTATCCATCTTAAATATATTTAAGAAGGCTTAAAGATTATTTTTAAAAAAAAGTATANTTTCAAATACAAGCCATCTTAAATATATTTAAGAAGGCTTAAAGATTATTTTTAAAAAAAAGTATAATATTTGTATTAAGAGCAAAGTGCGCACATTTAATAACTTTTTTCCTCTTATGTAGGCTAGCTAAGTACAGAGATAAAATGAATGTTGTGGTAAAATCTTCAATCAAGTCTTTAACTAAATGGTGGTGGGCCTCCCATAAAAGCTATTGAACAAAATTTAAAAAAAAAACTCTGATGGAAAATGTAAAATCGCAAACCGATAGAAGCGCTATTATAACCCAGCTGTCAGTGAATCCATATAATTTGCTGGATCATAAAAGTAAACTCAGCTGTAGATCATCCGGTTCATCAAACTCATTGACGAAAATTCTTGAAAAAAAGACTTGACGAAAGCTCAAAGACCAACTCACATCATTTAATAATAAAATTCGATTTTAGTCAAAAATCGGTGTTTTTGTGCTTTATTGCAAGCATTTTTTTAATAAATTGAAATATTTTAAACACTGTTAACGTGGTCTTTTTTGATAAAATTAAAATTATTCAAGTTTTGTATTTCTAAGGAACTTTTGTTGTTTACATTTTGGAATGTTTTAGTGTTAGTAATTATCGCAGTTTTACCCTTTGAGAAACGTTTTTCTATAGCCTCAAGGGATGTTGTAGAATTATAAATTCATTAATTTTATTGTTCTCTGCTAAAAATCATTTGTTTGAAGTTTTATTACATGGTTCTGATGAGAATTGGAACACTGAAACTGAATTATTATTTAAAAAATATTCCTTTAGCTGGAAGCAGGGTATTATAACGTACAGCATTATAAATGGCTTATAAGAGCACATTTGAAATCAGAATTTATTGAGAAATGTTTTAATCTCTTCCCTGTTACACCTACTTTATACATTTATGATTAAAAGATTAATATTGTTCAATTATCAATGCTTTAAAGAACTAAAACTAAAAAGACAGGTTTTTTGGCGGCCACCCTTTATAGGGCGTTAAATTTTTTATGTCACTTGGCCTAACTTAATATCACTAATATTTTCATGTACAATTTCTAAATTTCCCCCATTTTTTTCTAAATATCCCTAGGGATTATTTAGAAAAATAAGATCCACCTGAATTCCATGCATTTAAGAAAATATTGTTTTGATTGCGCATTTTCTTGGCAAGTTTTTTGAATTTTGCGTTATCAAAAAAAAATTTATTTCATGAAAATATTTTTTTCATTTATATTTATTCTTAACACATCCCAAATAGATGGTATGTGATCGCAATGTGACATAAAATTACCAATGTACTGCTGATTTAGAAAGTGCGGGATATTATTTTTTCTCTTCGGGATAAGTAACAAATGGTTTATATTCCAAGGATATTTTACATGGGTGAGACATGTTTGACCTCTGAATTGTCCTTAGCTGCGCTCGTGACAATTTAGAGGTCAAACATGTCTCACCCCTGTAAAATATCCCTTGAATATAAACCATTAGATACTTGTCCCGCAAAAAAAAAATATCCCACACTTTCTAAATCAGCTGTACATTAATAGTTAAACTGACTTTTATTAGCTAAACTAGCTGAGGCGCATGAAAAAAAAAATTTGAAATTTTTTTTTTAGTCTTTAACACCCCCCGGCCACCCATGAGTGTCCACAAAAAAATTCAGCCCAATCGGTCCAGCCGTTTGGCTGGCTATACGCAACATATATACATAGGAATGTCTTGTTTTATTATATAGATTATTAAGAAAAATTATAAAAAAGCAAAATTTTGATATTATAAAACAAGTATATTAGGGCAACAAGGAGCCAAAAAATAGACAAATAATTGTTTTGTTTTTTTCAAAAATTAGAAGATATGATGAAAGTTCATGATTCCAAGCAAAACGAATTATCAAACTATATAAAATTTATAATGGGGACGTTGGGGACTGAAGTGAAATTCCCCCCCCCCCCCCCCCAACCTGGAAAGTAAAAAAAGGTTAAGTCCAAGAACAACTTCTTTTCAAAATTTTTGTCAAAAAATTTACAGTTTTCTTATGATAAACCAGTATTTTTGTACAATTTCACATTAATAACCGTTTTTATAACAAAGAATTGTCAGGGTTTAAATTTTGCATAGTGGAAGAAGAGGAAATGTTTTCCAAGTTTTGTATTCGGAACATTTGCTTTCTTATACTATGCCAAATTTTGACCCTGACAGAAGAGGTATGCTAAAATAACAACCAACAAACGATGCTATAACGAATCTTTTTGGATTGGTTTTGCATTTTTTGTGACACAGATATTGGAAAGTTTAATAATATCAAACTATTACACAATACAGTTTTAAAATTTTTTAGCGATTCAAAACGATTAACAACAACACCACGTGTACCTTGTACAATGTACTTTTTAACTCCAAAATATGTACTCTGTTTGCAGGTAGAACAGCTGAATAGGTTGAAGAAGGTTCTGGAAAAGTTTGCAGTGAAGATTCCAAACTTGAAGACTGTGCAGGATACTGAGGAGTCAGGACAGAAGATTATTCTTCTCAACCCAAACATTATCAAAACCTTTAGGTCACATCAATTCAGTATTTGCCACAAACTTTAATTTTCGAATTCACATATCTTGGCAACCTGGTGGTGTAAATCTTTGAAATTTCAAACTTATTCGGTCTAAAAGAAGTCGTAGTTTAAAATATATAAGGTCTTCGACATCGAGTTGCAAATATACATGGATTAGAAAATCAGAGATTATGGCTAAGACTTATTTCCTTTTTAAACTGAATGGTTATACAAGTTAAGCATGAATATTTATTAACACCATTGTTTCAAATACAAGAGGGTATTCAGTCCCTCCCCCCTTGAAAAGTTTAAAAGGCGAAGTCCCCATGAACAAATGCGCCTATGATCTTTACTCATGGATAAAATGTGGAATAGGAATTTTACGTAAATTTTCTGAAATGTTTTTATTGAAATTGTACAAAGTACAACTTAAGTGGGCAGAGACTGAATATTTTGAAAATTTCTATCTAAGATTAAAGATATCTTTTTTCCAGTGATTTGAAAGATGTGAAAGAAGAACTGTTGATAAATCAAGGTAAATTCAGATGTTGAAGTGAAGTCAAAAGATGAAAAAGACTTTTGCACATTTTAATGAGAATGTCGCCGTAAGTTTAGTGACCATAATTTGAAAAGAGTGGAAGGCCGGATTCACAACGATAAAACATGAAGAAATCATTTTTTTGTCTGAAAATTATAAATTTTAAATTGTTGATATCTTCAAAATTTACTTGCGGATTTATGCAGCATAGACGAGGAAGGAAATTGTCCCTTTAAACCATGCTCATTTACTGATAATAACAATATGTGATAATAATAATAATGATACTAATAACAGTTCCAACATTCAATGGCAATCAAGGCCGAGCCTCCTTCAGAAATAACCGTCAAAGGACGGAATTTATAGTATGCTGAGAGGTTTTAAGTTACTAAATAAAAGTTAACAATGACTTCTTCCCGAAAAAAAAGGCTTTGTAAAAAGCTCAAGCCGAAAATCTAAGGAATAATGGTAGCCCGATATTGTTATAAACGATATTTTAAGTTTCCCAAAAAAAACCAGATTGAAGACGTTTAAAAACATTTTTGAATTTGATTAAAACTCTTAGTCTGAAGACGACCTATCCATCCATGAGTTTACTCTATAAGATAAATCCTATTCTAGTAAATGATGACGACCTATCTATGAGTTTACTGTATAAGCTTAATTTTATTCTAGTAAATGAAGACGAACTCTCTATCTATGAGTTTACTCTATAAGCTTACTTCTAAGTAAATGAAGACGACCTATCTATCTATGAGTCTACTCTATACGCTTAATCCTATTTTAGTAAATCAAGACAACCTATCTATCCATGAGTTTACTGTATAAGCTTAATTCTATTCTAGTAAATGAAGACGACCTATCTATCTATGAGTTTACTCTACGCTTATCATATTCTAGTAAATGAAGATGACCTATCTATCCATGAGTTTACTGTAAAAGCTTAATTCTATTCTAGTAAATAAAGACGACCTATCTATCCATGAGTTTACTGTGTAAGCTATTACTATTCTAGTAAATGAAGACGACCTATCTATCTGTGAGTTTACTGTATCAGCTTAATTCTGTTCTAGTAAATGAAAACGACCTCTCTTTCCATGAATTTACTGTATAAGCTTAATTCTATTCTAGTAAATGAAGACGACCTGTCTATCTATGAGTTTACTGTATAAGCTGCATTCTATTCTAGTAAATGAAGACGACCTATCTATCCGTGAGTTTGATCTTGAGGCAGAAAACTGGAAACCCCATGAGAAGCTTAAATATATTCTTCCTGAGGATGATGAAGGTGTTTCAGGCTTCTCAATCATAGGTAATCTTTCTCTTTCTTCTAATTAAATTTAGAAATAGATAATATAGAAATAGTTTTATTGTAAAAAATGTAAAATAAATATTCCCATAGTCTGCATGTTCAATGTAAATTAGCGAGCGTCATTTAACCAAACTAAAAGCTGTAGAATAATAGAACCTGGTCAGGATTCACTAATGATAAAGAGATATTGAAGACACAAGTGTGACAAACATACATACTGTGGACCTTTCTATCATGTATTTAGAAAGCGAATATTTTTTAATGACATGGTGGTGGTATTTTGCTATTTGATAATTTTAGTATATGATATTATAGTTATTATAATTAGCATTTGAAATTTTTGTATCATTTATGCTATCAATGATAAAATGAGTCCCAATAAATAAATTTTGAAGTTTCTGAAGATGTATTTCTATTTTGTACACGCTCTTAGTCTCCTATAACTATATTGATACATTTTATTGGAAGGGGAGCTCGTTATTTGACTATTTGTACCCTTCAATAACTGTACTGTACAATAACTTCCAATAATTCCTGGTTTTCACTGGATATTATTATTATAGTCAAAAAGAATATTTTTTACACAAAAATAAACAATTTGTTTTTTATAGTTGTGTTATTTTTTTTGTTTTGGAGGAAAACTATTTTTCAGAGAGCTGAGAAGGGATTGTAAAATAATCTTTTTATGCAGAGTTGCACAAAAAAGACGACTGTACGGAATTTATTAAGTTTTTCTTACATTTTTGGACTCCTGCCTCTGTTACTTTGTTTCTTTCTTGCCCCAAATCATTTACAAACAATGTGCAAGGCAGAAAACAAAATTAACTCTGAAGATTGTTCTAATTTAAGAGTTGTAGGTCATCATTAAGGCTCATTATAAGTGGATAATCCTTTATGTTCATTTATTATACCCGAAAGTTTTTTTTAAGTTTTTTGTTACGTTTAAAATTTTTTTTTTGCATTATCAAACATGTGATAGTCCGATTTGAAAATGTCTGAAGATTCTATAAAGTTGCAATCGCTGTTTGTTTGTATTTATGATCATGAACCCCTTCTTGATAAATTTTCCTTGAATTCTGATTGAGGAACTCGGGAGAACCACAGGAATGTTTTTATTTTGACTTCGAGATTCTTAGTTGAGTGGGTCCACTTCTATAAGAAAAATAGCTTACATAATAATTTAGACCAAGCGCGGATAAACGGCGCAGTGGCAGTAACTATTAGTATTGAGTAGTATGTACACTGTGCAACGCTGGATTCCCAAGCTAGTTCTAAAGCCTAAATATATGTGTTCAGGTCACATTATCCACCTTAACCTGAAGGAGAGCCTACTGCCCTACAAGAATGTTATTGGTAAGTTTTATCCAACTGCTTAAAGAAACTGTCGACTTAATTAGAGTGAACATGTAAAAAACGGCCATGTCTGATAGACAACTGCAATCATTTAACCATCGTCTGCGCATAAAAGGAAGACATTTCTGTTTTCTATAAGAAAACATTTCCCTTTTGAGGTTTATCTGTGATTTAATAGTTTTCCATGAAGATTGTAGATAATTAATAGGCGTCTGAAAAATTTCTTTTTCCCAGATGATAGGTATGCTTTTAGGGCTTCATTCACCAAATGGGGAAAATAAATCAATCCCTCTCTTTTACTCTCCCTCCCTCTTCGTCCCTCTCCTTCCTTTTCCATCTCTTTCCATCCCTCACATTCCCTCTTCATCCCTCTGCCATCCTCTCAATGTTTCTCCATCACTTTCCATCCCTTTCCTCTCCATCCCTCTCCTTTCCTCTCCATTCATCTCCTTTCCTCTCCATTCATCTCCATCCCTCTTCATCTCCCTCCAGTCCTCTTTACTGAACCCCACTTTTTTCCTTCCTCCCCATCCTCTTCATTCCTCTTCTTTATGAACGTTGATGTTTATTTATTTATCCCTCTTCTTCATTATATCCTATTCAAGACGCTACGAATTAACAATAATTAGTGAGGGAAATCACGTTCATTAAATGATCAGTTTTAAAGATACAGTTTCATAATCCTTAATTTTTGGTATCATTAAAACTTCGTCAATCCTCCCCTTCATTAAATCCAATTCACTGAGTCGCAAGCTGATACAATCCGTCTCAATATCACGTTCCGTGAAATCTAAGTTTCAAAATTACGGTTTTATAAGATTTAATTTTTTTCAGGTGCCGTTTTATTAGAGACCAAAAATATCAAGACTGTTGTAACAAAGACGACAAATATAGACAACACTTTCAGGTGGGTGTTATTTTCCGGTACCCACTCATCTCACGTAGAGAAAACTGACCTAAGGGTTTACCGACCTAAAATTGTAATATATATCTAGGTTAGGTCTGTCCGACTGTCGGGTAGGTGGAGTAGGATGTAGGTTGAACCTATAGATATAATAATGACTCGATTTAAATCTGTAAAAACGCGTGGGTTAAAATTAATCAAGATTTTCTAATATACTACGATCGAAAGTATCCTGTATTGGATATCCTTAATCAGTGTTCCTAAATCTGTATGCACTGTTAACACTTTTGATTTTCTGCTTAATCCTCTCTTTTTGATATCCCTGCTGGATTCCGACCAATCAGAGTTCTCTCAATGAAAGCGAGACAAATTAAAAATTTCTAGGCTTCTGATTCCCTTCAATCGACGCTCTAATTGGTTGCATTTTATATACTTTTCTGAATATTACTGTAGGATTAAAATAATATTAAGCATTGATCTCGATATCTACAATTCATATAGAACTTCAAGTCGGTTTTCTCCAGGTCAGTTTCCATAGCATCTTTTTTTCTCATCTAATGATTTCGAGGAAAACTGATTTTAAACAACTTTTTTTTCTAGAAATTTCCAACTGGAAGTATTGGCTGGAGAAAATAATTTTCAGGTAGATTGAAAAATATTGCCTTTTGTTGGTAAATTATAAAATACTGTCTTATATAGATTGAATTAATATATATTTTCCCCTTGAATATAGGGCAGGGCACATTCCAACCTTTTCTAGCCGATAATTTCGTTAACGGTTAGTTCCGTTCCGACCGTTAAAAACAAATTTTGTTGGCAAGTTTTATGCAATTTCAGAAGAAAAAATAACGAAAGTTACCGGTTTCCTAAAAACACATTCGTTTCAATTTAGTTTTCAACCGTTAGTTTTTTGTTTTCAAAAACGGCTAATCCGTTTCGTTATAATGATTTAAAAATATTAGTTTTTGCCGTTCGATAACGGACACTTCTGTTAATTTTCGAAAACCTCCGTTTCGTTAACTGAACTTTGCCCAGCCTTCCTTGAATATACAGGGGTTGGACTGGGATATACACTATACATATTTATATTGTACAAGGTACAGGGTTACCCATAAAGAATGAGACTTTAGAGACGACTGTACGGAATTTATATATTCGTCTGTTTCTGGCCGTATACATTCTGATTCTCCACAACTGTAAACTTTCTTTGCCAAATCTTTAAATAAGGCAGAAATTTGATTAAACCTTTGAAATTAGTTTTGCAGTTTCCTTCTTTGTGGGTAACCCTTTTCTGTTTTCTTGAGAATAATTGTCACCTCTGCTCTACTAGGTTACTGTAAAGGAGAATGGAATCAATTTCACGTTTGATTTCTCACTGGTATACTGGAATCCTAGGCTTAGGAACTAATATCATCAATTTTACTACCTGAAATGCCGTCGGCGTTGCTCGTTAAAGGGATTGTAAGCGTAATTTCAAGTGACTGTCCATACAAAGATGGCAATGCCCGAGTCACAATTGAGAAGCTTTGTCTGATCAAATAAGAATTAGATATCCATGTTTTTATTCATTTTAACCGTTCATTTTTAGTTGCGAGTTCTCTGCGAAAGCGACTTGCGGCTTGTGCATTTCTTGTTAATTAAAAGCAACGGAGAAACTTACTTGAGTTAGAAATACTACAGTATTTTTAATATTTTTGATCAGATTAAAGTTTCAAGGGTACCGGTGTAAACCAGGCATTGCCATCTTTGCATGGAGGGTTAATTGAAATTACGCGTAATGTCCCTTTAATACACGTCTATTTTATTTTACATTTTTCCCTAATATTCTGTATATCTCCCCCCCTCTCTTGTTTAAATATGAATATATATGATATTAGTACGGAGCATGAGAGAATTGTGAAGAAACTTGATACTAATTCTATACTACTGGACGCATGCGCAGGAAAATAACATTTTGTTAATTGAACTTTTTTCAATCTTCTTTGTATTTAAAGTCTATTCATAAACTTTTCTTAATTTTTTGGTATCTCTTCTATTTTGTCTTTTTTGCCTCTTCATGTCCATTTTTTGTTGTCCATTTCTCTGTTATTTATATAATATATCATATCTAAAGTTCAGATTTTTGTTTTCTTTTTTCTGCTCTCATGTCTGGATATTTTAATCCCATGTTTGGTTCTCATTAGTCTCGTTTATCGTTTATTAAGTTTTCACCTTTTTTAATAATTTCCGTCCTTCAGCGGTTACTTCTAGTTCATTTAGTATATTTGGTCCAATGGTTTCGGATTGGTTTAACACTCAATTGTTATTTGTTGATTAGGCGTCGGACCTTTCAGTATACCGGCAGCTAAGGTGGGAGTTTTTTGTTTGGTCCCCCCCGTCGAATTGTTATGTACATAAAATTAGAGATTCTTCAACAGTGAAAGTCTAAATATTCCTGAATAATATAAATTGATTGATGACTTAAAAGTCCTTTTTGATCAAGTAGAATGTTGAATTTTAATTATTTTACATTACTGCGGTTTATTTAGAGTTTTATTGTAGAAATGTGCGTCTTAGAAAATGTAGAAAAAGATCCGCGCATATTACAGGGTGTCCAACAAAGTATGACAATTGAGACGACCTAAAGGTCGTCATAAAGTGACCTTACATGTCCTATTCACAGAAGTACCGTAAGAAGCTTTGACTTATCAAGAATGATTGAACTCGCAATGTTTTCCTTTTTATTGAAACTTGGTTATTTACGTTTGTGGTTTTTCTGGAAGTGAATTTCGAGTTTGTGATTTCACAGTACGATTTAATTTTCAGAATCAAACTCGCTGTTCACCAAAAAAAAAAAACGACGATATCTTTTCATTATTGATCAGATAAAGGTGTAAAGGATACCATTGGGAATCGGCTAACGACAGTCGTCCCTCAACTATCATGTTAAGTGGACCCCCCCNCCCAAGATCAACCTCAAATGTAAGATTAAAATAAACACGATTAATATCATGGTTGAAAAGGTTAAAACTCTGCATCAAGAATGAATTAAAATTTTATGCAATTTGCTGATGGTACAATTCTATTTATTTATTAATATTTAGACTAGGTGGGTTAGAGCATAAATATTAGAGTGAGGTGATAAAGTCATATGGAACTTTTAAGAATGAATTAAATATTGAGCTCAACCGCTTGCAAATAACCATTAGTTTCCCATTTTGCGTAATTGTGAACCATTTTGCGTAATTGTGAACCATTCTGCGCAATTTTGAACCACATCATGTCATTTAAAATCCACTTTACCATGCATCCATAAGTCTGACATTTATTTTTGACTTCAAATACAGAAAATTCGTATTTCTTTGAAATTGGGAAAAGTCTAGTCTCTACGTGATATTATACATGTTTTGAAATAAAATATGTTATTTTATGAAAAAACTAAAGAATTTGAGTAAAGGGTGCAGAGCCGCAATTAACCCCGTATTTATGCCAACAAAAATTAAGGTTTTCAGTAAGCAGTTTACGAGAAATATCCCTTTTTCCGTGGTAAAATAAATCAATTGAGACTTTAGTTATTTAGTTGATTTTGTACACTATTGTTTCTGAATTTGTATTCTAATTTCTAAAAGAAACGTTTCGTTTATTAATTGGAAATCATAAAAGTTTTTTAAAATTTTCAAATTATTTTTAATATTTATTGATTTTTTTATCAATCTTTATTGAACAATTTATTAGAAATCAGGAGAATTTTCCTGAATTCAAAATACGAATCACAAAGGCAGGAATTAGATATGCAATGATATGTTCTTCAGATAGAATATTTAGAAATGTCGAGTTCTGGCGAATGATTTGAATCCTGAATCCTTCAAATGGTTAAAGTATAACAAGGAAAAAAATAAAATCAGGTAATTTGTATATTACTAGGCTTTTAAGGCGCTTTGAGCCCATCGTCTATTTCAACTTGTAATTGTGGCTCTATCTGGGAGCATCTTTTCTTTTTACAATAAACAAAAAAAAATTGTGGATTTTATAATATTTTTTTCGTGAATTTTCAAAATTTTACAATAATTAAAACTTTGGGACACAAATTTGCAATTTTGAATGTCATGTGAAGTCCCAAACACAATTTTGGCGCCCGCAATCGGTTCAGCCGTTTATTGGATACAAACGGACAGAAATCCAGACAGACAAGCAAAGTAAGCATCAAGAAACTAAATAACTGGAGACTATTTTATTTAGAAAATTTAGCTTCCCGTTAAAATCCACCAAGTGTGGGTAAACGGTTAGATTTCAAAGCTTTTTCGCAATATTGTTGTCGTCTTCTTATTCCAAAAGTTCTAAAACTGTATGGGTTTCACTGTAAATTAAATGCTGAAAAAAAGAAAAATTTGTTCTCAGAGTAATTTGATGATTTTCATTTTGTGTAGGAAATGCATAAAGATTAAATGCAAACCGTTAAGTTTTCAGAAAGATTTAATATTTAATTTGTTAAAACTTTTTTATACTTTGTTTTTATACTAGGAATGATCATTGTCATTTAGAGTAAACATTAGAAAAAGGTTTTCCTTGTTTTTATAAAAACAAAAATATAAATGCAAATAATGAGTTTCTCTTTACAAATTTTTTTTTATTAAAACAAGTTTTCCTTAACAAGACTTAAAGAGCCTCAGCCAAACTAAGATGTCTGAGAAACACAACTTAGCCAAGCTAAAAGTAAACTTGAAATACTTCTGAAAAAATCATTGCATAAATTCGAGTTTGGTCAACAAAAAAAACTTTTTCATGTAAAACTACGAAATCAACTGTTTTTTTCATTTTAATCTTTTTTTTTAAATATTTGAATGAAGGGGGAGGGGATTATTTCTTCATCACGGGAAAACCTTTATTTATTTATATTATGGGCCGGAAACCCGGTTTTGCATAGAAACTAAACTTTCTCTATAAAAAGTCAACCCATTTTATTTAGAATTGTTGAACTTAGCTAAGAACATTCACGTGCAGTGGTCAAAGAGAATAGAATATATATTAGAGTGGAATTTACTAGAAAAAAGTGTAAAACGGCCATTTTGTTGTACTGTTTCAATACTGCAGGTGTACTTCACATATTTGTGCTATATAACCTTTTGGGCCCTGGAACATAATTTTATAGAAAATCTAAAATTAAAATTAAAAGAAAACCAAATTATGAAATAGGCTGGTTTCATAATTGACCAATGGTCATTTCACATAGACTCTATGCCTTTCACTTTACAATCGATGATTTTTCGTTATAACTATTTATCAACTTTATCAATTTATTTTTAATTTTTTTATGAAACATTCGTTATAACTATAAATCAAATGATGTTTTTATTCACCTAATTCATTTAATAAAGTTTATTTAACAGCTTTAAAAAATTCGAAATCGAAATGGATAGTTTAGGGAACATAATGTATCAATGTACTTTACTGCATATAATTTGTGAACATTTACATGATTTGTACACTTTGAACTTCCTTTCAGGCTGAAAGGGACTGCCAAAATTCATACCGAGGGATTGACTAAATTCCACTCTAATATATATTCTATTCTCTTTGGCAGTGGTGCTACTGAGCTCCCCCATCAAAGTTTGAGTACATAGAAACAAACAGAAAAACACCCAAACAGACAAACACTATCACTACTTTATAAATATGGACTCTAAAATAATAAATTGGTTTTATTTTAGAGAAGACAGGATAGAGTTGTATAATCTGGACGCCAGGGAGTTTATAAAGTTGAATCTACCTCGTGTTATCAAGGTCATCTTTTTATATAAACTTTACAGAGTTTTCATTAATAATACCGACGGATTATTATGTCCTTAAGGACAGTTAAGTAAAATTAAGTAAAATTTTGCTCCTATTTATCTCAAAAGATGACAGAGATGTGTAGAACTACTTTTTTGTGAAATTAAAAATTTATAACCTAACCTAGACAAAATTATTCTTAGGAACCTTTAATATAGTAAAATTCCCTGAACTCTCCTTTAAAGTAGCGTTAAAAATTATAAATTTACATTCAGGCGCTAAAATCTTGTCAGATTTTGCCAGCAGCTTGAAGCAAGCTCTGAGCAGCTTTAAAATATTCACACCCAGGGCTACAAAAACATGTTGGGTTGGTGATCCTACAATTGTGAAAAGTGTTGGCCATTTATTTTTATCCTTTTTCTCTTGGCTTTTAAGATCGATACTTGGAGCTTTGATATTCTACATTGACACCCATAAAACTGTGATCTTTATTAGGAAGACATTAGTTTACTTGTTTACTTTACTTGTTTGGGGATTTGCAGGAGACCTATTGGTCCATGGTGCAAACATTTTTGGTGTCGAACTGTGTGGCTTCTCTGCTAAATTATTTATCAGGTTGCTAAATGACACAGTTCCTATTAGCACAGAAAAGTAGTTTAAATGGTAATCTTCTCCAGTTTAGTTATAAAACCGGTCACATTCCTGGACTCCTTCACATCAACTTATTTCAGAGAGAAACTACTCTGCGAGAAAAAGAAATTTCATCTTGTATCTGTTTTAAATCTTGTCGCAATTAGATTCTTATTATAGGAGGCAGTTCTTGTCAATCTAGTTTGACGATCATCTACCGTATAAAACCAAAGGGACGATTTGACTATCAAACCCACTGAGAATTTTGAAAGTTTGCACCAAATCATAGCGTTTCTGCCGGGTCTCAAGTGTTGTCAGGCCAAGTTCAATTAATTTTTCTTCTTATGTTTTGCCCTTTAATCCAAATATCATTCTTACAGCTCTCTTCTGAACTCTCTCTAAAATCTATATGTCACTAATCAGCCAGGGTTACCATGCTGGTGTTGAAAATTAAATATGGCATCTAACAAACTGTTTCTATAATTGAAGAAAAATATTCTTATCCCTACACATAATTAAAATCAAATCAAATCACAATTACTTATTGGTGATTTAACCTCGGCAATTTGATAATATTAGAAATTTTATTCTACATATTATTTTATAATATAAAATCAAGTCAAGTCTAAGAACCTTACTTATGGTAATTTTAACCTATACTCTGACTTTTCTTGTTAAAAAGGCATTTAGGCATTATTTTTGCTGACGACATTAATTTTTAACTGAAAGATTAAGAAAATATATGCCAAAAATCTGTTAAGTTTTGATGAAAAAAATGTTATTATGTTTTTCAGGAGATTGTAGAGGAGGGAACAGAACAACAAATCCATATAACCCTGAACCTACCAGGACTAGCAGTTACTTTCATGGACGTTTTTCAGGTTAAAGGGACTGTAAAGGAAAAGTGAAAGAGGGTGTAGGCTGAAACTTGAGAATCTCAGGACTTTAACGATACCTATAAAATATCTATCTGATGTTCCTGTCTTGAGATCTTGACATAAAACTGTGTCAAAATTATACCAAAACGTATATATATATATAAGATATGCGTCCGTATCACGTGACCAGAACTCCGACCAATGGCAGTGCAGTATACTGGTCACGTGATACAGACGGCGACACGTGACAGTAATACTGCACTGCCATTGGCTGGAGTTTTGGTGACGTGTTCCGGACGCAGAAATAATATTATCAATTATATCTATTATAGATGAAAAATTATTAAATTCATATAATAATAGAAGCAAACTTAAGTTTCTCAGGCTCTTCTGGGACATCGTTGTTTTTAGATTGGTTGCGTATTTATTGAATATGATCAGTTTAATACTACGAATATTATACAAAATCTTACATATGTACGACGTACGTTTTGGTATATTTTTGACACAGTTTTATGTCAATTTCTCGAGACAAGAACATCAGATAAAACTCTTATATGTCTCAATTAACTAGCAGGTTTCAGCCTATACCCCCTTTCATTTTTCCTTTACAGTCCCTTTAAACTAAATTTTAATTAAAAGGACTGTCCACGTGATATTGAATAACCCATCATTTAGAGTTAAATGTCTAATACACAAAATTGCCCTTTCATCTTTTTTCTGCTCAAACATGATGGAGTTATCCTACTTTTTCGTTTTTCCTTCTTAAAATTGCGAATTGTTGCATGAGAGAGAAGAAAATTTAAAGAATGTCTGTTCAAGACAGAAAAGGGTCGGTATATCTTTCTCATTATTCACGGAGTTGTGAATCGGACTCGAAACGCTCAAAGATTAGGGTCACTTAAAATAACGTTGTTACTCGACGATTCCTTGAACAATTTAGTATTTGACATTTTCCCTTTTCGTTAATCTCCATCTGAACATTTTGTATTTTAAAGGTTTTTCAATTTTAAGATTTAAAATATTCATTTACAACGGTGCCTTTTAATGTCGTCGTTTTTTAACATGACAATTTGAAAAAGAAAAAGATACCGTTTATCGTGATGAATTGAGAACACCACTCTATGAATTGAGAGTTACTTGGCGTCTTTTGATAAAATCTGACTGGGGAGTCGAGCGGGGGAAGGCAGGCGGCCATGAGCCACCACTATTTTCCCTTCCGTACCACATATTAGCTTTTTTCTCTTCCGGCAGCCATAAGCCACCACTATTTCCCCTTCCGTACCACCACATTTGACATTTTCGGGCAAAACTACTTTTTTAAATGGTATATTTAGGGCCTTTAAAGTGTGATTTTAAAAAATCCAGCCGCGAAGCGCAAAAAAAGCACAACTCAAACCATTTTTTCAATTCTACTTAAGATTAATGTTTTGTGTGTTGAATTCTTAAACTGTTTTACTAAGAATTTTTGACAAATTTGACTGAGTATTGCATCTTGAAATATCACAAAGTCTAATGATTATTGGTTAATGAGTGATTTTAAGATGGATTTAGTATAATGAGTCAGTAATTGAATAAGTGGTGGCTCATGGCTGCCGGAAGAGAAAAAAGATAATATGTGGTACGGAAGGGGAAATAGTGGTGGCTCATGGCTGCCTGCCTTCCCCCGCTCGACTGGGTGGATGTTTAAAATATTTACTGGGATTTTCTACCATATAGTACTTTTTGTTGAGACAGAGAACGGAAATTTATTTGTTAAAAATATTTTGATAAATAAAGTTTTTTACCAATTTAATTTCCCCCTCAGAAAAATACACAATTTGTCAAAACATTTTTGGTTCTAGATTTATAAATAGTACAAATATTTATATTCTTATTTTATCAAGTTGTTAATTTGATTTCATATTTTCAAATAATATTTTTCTTCAATCGCTTTTTCTAATTTTGTGATTTTTTGAACTGTAAGTTGCCTGACCATTTTTCCTCTAAATAATATTGAAAACTTATTAAACCATCTTTAATAAACCTTCATTTTTCCTTCTTGTTCCAGACATTAATTTAAAATTATATCTTTATATTTAATTAAAACTTAATGGATGAGAAATTAACTCTTTTACGTTCAAGTTTGATTTAGACGCATTTAAAGGTTTACATAATAGAGATTAATTAATGAAAACATGGCATTAAATATATTAAACAGAAAATGAATGCTGAGGAAAAAGGTATTCTCACCTTAGAAAAACATCTAATCAAAAAAATTGATTTATTGATTATTGTTTTTGATAGTTTTGTAACCATTCGATGAAATATTTTTTTCTTTTTTAAAATTTTTGGAATAGTTTCATTGTCTCATTACAAAAATGCAGCATGTGTTCTTTTTGATTTAGCTCATTTTAATTTCTCATGTTTTATGGATGTTATTTAACATTATTTTCAGGGTGTGCTTGCTGATTGTTCAGAACTTGAATCTTGTAACTTCAATCTTCCTCTTGTTCATGTTTATACCTTCTCTAAGGAAGGGTCCATTTACATTCAGCATCCAGGGTTATCCCCTATTCGGAGATTATGAAAGGGACTGTGACAGTTTCTTTAAGGGACCGTCCAATGCAAAGATGGCAATTCCTGAGTTACAGCTGTACCCGTCAAAGCTTTTTCTGATTAGATATATCCATGATTTTGTTTATTTAAACTGGTTTCGTTTTTGGTTTCCTAAAAAAGACACAATGAAGAAATTGTCAGAATTAACATTTGTCAAGTGAGAGAAACGACATTATCTTCCACAGTATCGATCAGATTAAGGTTTCAAGGGTCAATTGAAATAACGCTAACCGTCCCTTAAAGTCATTTGATTAGTTTTATTGTTCTTGGAGATTATGCTCTTACTGTGGATAATTTTAATGTCCTCCTTGTCTTAAATCGTTTTACGCAAGATGTTGATAAACTTTTGCTCTTGTTTTAACTTTCTCCTCAAATAGAATTTATCAAAACCAACAGATAAAAGAAAAGGTAAAACTTTAGTTGAATTATTATTTTGATCTTTTCAGATATGAGTAATTGGACATCAAATGTGAAATGTTTTCCCTTTTTTAAATTATTATCGTAAAATTTCATTAATTTTTGACTCGAAATTATTTATTTTACCAATTGGGGATTAAACCCTTAAATATTTTACTTACCCTTTAAAAGAAATGAAAAGAAATAATTTTTAAACAGTGATTATTACAAACCCAACTGAATGGACCCTCTACGACCTGTAGGCTGAAGATACTGTCCTTGATGTCCGAACAAGGGTTGAGGACAACCTCGGCTGTTCTCTGGACCCTGACCATCTCGTGGAGGTCGCCTTCGTCAGAAACGTGGCTCCTAACAAGGCAGGAGAATATGTATTTTTAAATAAATTATTTCTTTTTGTATAGAGTAAGATAAAGTCACTTTTTCATACCTTTGTCATCCTAAACAAAGCTTTCGGTGCGTACTACAGAAATCTTGAGTACACTGACAGAATAAATAGTGGATTTTATTGGAGAGTGTTGTCATTTTTCGAAACAAAAATTTTGTCTTGAGATCAATTTTCTAAATTTGAATATTTTAAACATTTTAGAGAAATATTGAACTAATAGATTCTTTATAATTGTGTCACCTTTTGATGGAATAATGTACTATGAGAGCAGTTTTCAATATTTGAATATTTTTTCTTATTTGACAAACATTTTTATGAAAAAACTAAACTTCTACAAATCTTATTTTTCACTGATAGAAGAACCCCTTACATTGGTTAGCTTAGCATACACTAAGCAAATAAAATTAAATATTAGACACCCTATATATATGTTATTACTAATTAGGAAAAATGTCAATGTAGCGGAGGTTTTGGTTTGTTGATCATTTCCTGATATAATAATAACAATTATATATTCTTACTTCAAGGACATGCTGAGATGCAGTTTCCGTGTGCCCCGCAGCATTCTCTTCGACAAGGGAACTAAGAGAAGGCTGAACCAGGGAGATGAGGAAAATGACAATTCTTGTAAAAAAATGAAAGAATAAACTTTTCTTTTCTTAACTTTCAAAATATTATTATTTGTTATGCTTTTAGTATGAAATAGGTGGCTTTTTGGTAAATATCCTGCCCCCCCCCCCCCCCCCCCCCCCCGACACACTTGGGGACTCCCATAGGATAAATCAGAAGAAACACTAGCCTTTTGGTTTTTATATGAACAAAACTTTGTGAAGCTAAAAAAGGATTTTATAGATTTTTTGTCAAAAAAATAGGTAAAGTAATACTTGGTAAAGATAAATCGAGATGTTTATATTTTGGGGTTATTATTACATGTTGTTTACATTACTGTCCGCATAACAGCTGTCTACAACATGGGTCTACCTCATTGTTAAAGATTTAAAAAGGAATTTCATGGATTTAAAAAAATGATGAAAAACCACTTAATGAAAGTATAGCAAGATGCATAAGTTGTAATGAATGCTTCAGCAGTTGTGAGATTTTTATAAGGAATGAAAGTTTCTATGGTCAGGACTAGTTTGATCATATTAAGGACCTAAAGATTGAAATTGAAGTGTTCGGGAAGTTGATTTAAAAAGTTATTTTTGTGCCATATGGCACCAAAAAAGACCACCAACAAACAAATCAATGTCTGGATTTTCATGGTTCTCTATTTCTAGATGTACATATGGAGGTGGCGCAACCAGATTTTAATCCATGATTTGTTCAAGGATTTCTTTTCTTTAGTAAAGTACAATGGCACAAATAGTTTTAAACCAAGCAAAGTCAAAATCATTAAATAGGGTTCCAAGGAAAAAAGTTGAAATCAATCCTGCCTCAAGTGTAAAAATAAATCATTTATGGTTTATCTCTATTTTTCTCAATAGTTCATACATTTTTTTATATTTCTGACCTTCATTCTTCATACTTCATTGTTCTAACCTTCATTCTTTATTTTACATTCAATCCTTCATTCTACATCCTTCTAAGTGTTACCCTTCATTATATATTTTTCATCTACACCTTTCATAGTTCTAACCAATTGCGTATACAGGGTGGTGTCATGATTATACCTTTGATATAAGTAATTTTGATATTATTACACACAATTGCCATAAATTACACTTCCCATAAGTCACACTTGCCATAATTCCACTTGACTTTATTACTTTTGTCATAATTTTCTAATTTTTACAAAAACATAAATCTAACCTTTTTTTACAAATGCACCAAATTTACCGTAAAAGTGTACAACAATGCTGCTTGTGCTCTAAAGCTCTTTATGTAAAATGTAAAATGTTTTCTGCCTAGATTTAACAAATACTTAAGATGGAATGTTCGCAATGATGCAAAGGAAGGGAGGAAAGGCAACCTCCCCCGCACAGCTTCTGAACCTCATTTTACCTATTTGCTGCACTGCGCGTCCCCATAGGGCTTCCAGTCCTCCCCAAACAGTTATCCGAGAATGTTCTTTCATTTAACATTTGATAATCTCTAGAAATTGTGTACATTTTATAGCTCCCTTAGAAATTTCAAAAAAATTCAAAAACTGAAGCTATTGTAAAATCCACGGAACCTCGAAGTCACAAAATTAAATTTTAAAGCTAAAAAAAAATAAAAATATGATTTTTTAAAATAAAATTTACATGGAAGAAATTCTAAGCACAGATGTTGAAATGTACACAATGTTGAATAAATCACATTTTTATTGAGTAAATTGATGTTTTCTATAGATTCAGTGTCAGTTAATTCTTGGATTTAGAGCAAATATTAGTAATGAACTTTTTACAGAAGTTGCAGTGCTGTTGAGTACAAACCTGAATTAACATAGGTTACTAAGTCAATTAGGTCAATTTGTAAGTTTTGTCAACCATTAGTTTTACTTGTAAAAAAAGACTATGAGAGTGCTTGATAACAGTTTAGAACAAATCAGTTCACCCAACCAAATACTTTTTTCACTATAGTTCCAACATCCTAGAGACCTTGTGATATCAACTTCATGTTTTTTTAAACACCCAATTATGTTTTACATTTTCATAAAGATTCATAAATTTTATGCTTTATAATTGAAATGTTTTTGAAAAGTACTATCATTCGAACAAGAGTAATCTGGATAAAACTAGAGATTAATCTTTAATACTTTTTTTTCATTTTTCAATCATTTTCAATCATCATAAATCTGGATCAAAGCAGATTTTTAATTAGTCTCTTAATAAAGGTTAATAATGATTGCTATACTTTTACTTAAGTACTTTTAGAAAATGGTATATTTTTAACCTACAGTCTTGGTCGCATATATCAATACAATAAAGACAGCTTTCAATTTAAATTTTGATATATATCAAGCTTTTAAACAGCATTAATACACATAACATATGAAAACAAAGAGAAGCTGTCAATTAACAAAGCTTCTCTTTGATTGCTTGTAAACTTATAACTCAAGAAAAGCTTCTAAACAAACAAAATTTAAATTAAACAAGCTTCTCTTTGATTGATTTTAACTAGTAACTCGAAAAAAGCTTGTAAAAAGACAAAAATTAAATTAAAAAGCTCGGCTTCGTTGTATTGATATAATAGAAAGGATGAAGGCTAAATTCAGACTGTTTCAAGAGAACTCGGTGGAGTTTGAAACTAGGATACCAACCGGACATATGTGAAGTTTTTCTCCAGAATAACTAGTCTCCTGAAATCTGATGAAACCGATATTAAACACAAGTCAGAGATATTTTCTACAGATTAAGTGCAGATGTTTGTGAACAAGGCCCTCTCAGGGGCTTATTGTCTGGTTATGATTGAAGGTAGTAGTAGTTCTAGCCTTCTTTGATGGGCTTAGACACTGCGAGTCCATGAGAGGTTTTGGAGAGGTTTAGAAGCATCAAGGATTTCACCTTTCACTCATAAATCGATCTTCTGTATCTGCTGCAGCTGACTATGTTGCGACAGCTCAACAGACGATAGACTTTTATGGCAGGAAAAGTGTATCAATGGCACAGGAATACATTTCTATAAACATGGCTGGTCTTCTAAAGCTGGAGACTAACTTCCAGTAGTCCTAACAGCTTTCACTAGTTCAGCAGTTTCTTCAGATCCAAATGCTTTTTTAGTCACAGCAGCTTCCTCAGTTCCAGTAGTTCCAGCAACTTTTTCACTTCCAGGAGCTTCTTCCTTTCCGGAAACTTCATGCCTTCCAGCAGCTTCATCCCTTCCAGCAGCTTCATCCCTTTCAGCAGCTCCATCACTTCCAGAAGCTTCATCCCTTCCAGGAGCTTCATCACTTTCTTCAATTAACAGCAGCAGCTTCTTCACTTCCAGAAGCTTCTTCGTTTCCAGCAGCTTTATCCCTTCCAGAAGCTTCATCCCTTCCAGAAGCTTCATCCCTCCCAGAAGCTTCATCCCTTCCAGCAGCTTCATCCCTTCCAGGAGCTTCATCCCTTCCAGCAGCTTCATCCCTTCCAAAAGCTTCATTACTTCCAGAAGCTTCATCCCCTCCAACAGCTTCATCCCTTCCAGAAGCTTCATCCCTTCCAGGAGCTTCATCCCTTCCAGCAGCTTCATCCCTTCCAAAAGCTTCATTACTTCCAGAAGCTTCATCCCTTCCAGAAGCTTCATCCCTTCCAGAAGCTTCATCCCTTCCAGCAGCTTCATCCCTTCCAGCAGCTTCATCCCTTCCAAAAGCTTCATCACTTCCAGAAGCTTCATCACTTCCAACAGCTTCACCCCTTCCAGAAGCTTCATCCCTTCCAGCAGCTTCATCCCTTCCAAAAGCTTCATCACTTCCAGAAGCTTCATCCCCTCCAGCAGCTTCATCCCTTACAGAAGCTTCATCCCTTCCAGCAGCTTCATCCCTTCCAAAAGCTTCATCACTTCCAGCACTTTCTTCACTTCCAGCAGCAGCTTCTTCACTTCCAGAAGCTTTTTCGTTTCCAGCAGCTTCTTCACTTCCAGCAGCTTCTTCACTTCTAGAAGCTTCAGTTCCCGCTCATCTTCTTATAAAGCATGGATACACAAAGACATGGAAACAAAGAGAAGCTGTCAATTAAAAAAGGTTCTCTATAATTACTTGTTAAATTGTAATTCGAGAACAGCTTGATGACAATTAAAACTTAAATAAAAAGTCGTCCTCATCATAATGATATAACTGCCTACCACCGTAGCATAATGTACAAATGTTGATCTGTATATTGAAAATATAAAATTTTGTATCTGTGTTTCCTTTAATTTTTGAAAAAAAGATTTTCTTCCTCTAACCAATAAACACGTCAAAGATTTACAATTTTCAAAATCGCAAATATTGAAAGGTGTATTCAGCTGGGCTGATATTTTACATATAAACCGAAGAGAAAATAGAGAAAATTTTGCCCCTGCTCAGCTGGGAATATATTGGTTTCAGGATATGTTCACCATAGATTGAGAAAAGACCACCCAGAGCATAAAAATTCTAATTGCTAAGACTTCTTTAATTTATCATATTATCTTGAAATTAATTTTCAACTAAGCTAAAATTTCATACTGCCATAACTTCCTAATCTTTTAAAAAAAGGAACCATTATGACAGACGTGGCATAAGTTTTTTTGGGACATACAATTCAAGAAACCCAACTTTACTGATAACAGAGTTTATGAATAATTACCAAATAATTACCCCCCCCCCCATATGTTAACTGCGGATTAGTCTACAGAAATCTAAAATTTTCCATCTTTTTATTTAACTGTAGCAGTTCATGAGGGGGAGAAATAACACCTCTGAATTTACAAATATATATAATATATTATATATAAATTATATATAATTATAAAGCAAAAATCAGAGCAACTTCTCAGTTTTCATATTTATTAAATATACAGGGTTACCCACAAAGGACGAGACTGCAAAGACGACCTGAAACTCATATAATGTATTCTGCCAAAATATAATCCTTATTTAATGATCTGGCTAAGAAACAAGACATCATTACAGTTGCAAGGAATCTTAAATATATAAGGAATAGTCAGTATAAATTTTGTACAGTATATAAATACTTATGTCAAAAAAATGTTGCAATGAAAATGAAGCCTTTTATGACGGAGACTAGCTTAGGCGAAAAATAAAACTTTATTGCAAACAATTAGGCAGAAAAAGTGATTTATTACCTTAACATACACGTTTTTTCAGCGGATCCAGGGAATGTTAAGAATTAATAAAAATATATTTATTTTTTCTGTTTCCATCAGGAGCGTAAAGATTTCGCTTATATTGGGGGCGCATCTCCAATAGCCCCCCCTTCTGTGTACGCCCCCGGTTTCTATTTCGGGTTGTACACAACATCGGCAGGTCTGAGGATACCCTATTAAGGCTTGACCAGAATATAAACAAAAAATTATATATCTTAATATATTTTTGCAAAACTTTGTATCGTTTTTGCATTTTTTCGCATTATTCATTTTCGCGAAAAAATTTGCAAAATGCGAACGAAAATTTTCGCGAAACGTTTCGTTCGATGGAAACCCTACCCCAGAATGTGTCTTGCAAATATACTGTGCTTTGTAATTATATTCTAATTCTGCGCTATCAAAAAGCAAATAACTATTAATCCTATTCCTACGAAGGGGGATGGGGGGGGGCTTTGTTTTTTCAAGTAACTTTGAATTCTTAGTCTGACATTAAATATTAGTTAGTTTTTAACATTTAATATTGGATGGATATTTAAAGAATAAACTAGAGTTTTAAGATTCACGGATTTACAATTATGTAGATAAATTTTTTTTTTTATTTGCTACTAGTTTGTTATTTTGAAAATGGCATACTTGTTATTGGAAAAGGAATTTAAAAATGTATAAAATGTCAAATTTTGTAAGATTTTTAATAAGATAGCGCAAAAAAATCATTTGCTGCTAAACACTCTCCAATAACTCTTATTTTCTAATCCATATATCTTTGCAAGCTCATGTAAGAATATTATATCTTGTAGAATTCATATTCATAGTTTGAAATATCATAGATCTACGACATCAGGTTCAACAGAAATAGGGAGAAATAGATGTGTCCCGTTCCTTTTCTATTTCATGACTCATGAGGAGACCTAAACACGTGTTCTTAAACATTTTTAGATTTGGTTTTTCTTGCGTAATCTAGTAACATTAAAAAGCATCACTACAAAGCAAGAAAAAGGAACTGAGTCTTTGCCACAAACTCTCATTTTTTATTCCTTATATATTTCCAACCCAGTGTTACAACCTTAGATATTTCAAACTATGAACTCTATTATATCAAATAATCTAATATAATCTAATATCAAATAAAGGAATTGAGTCTTTGGAACAAAATCAAATATTTAAACCTCAATATCTTTAGAACTCGATGTTTAATATTTAAAACTTAGATTATTTGATCTAACAGAATACATAGTTTGAAATATCTAAGGTCTACATCATTTGTTTCCAAAGATATAGTGATTAGAAAATCAGAGTTTGTGGCAAAGACTCGATTCCTTTGTCGACCATCATGTTGCAAAAAAATGGGGATTGTAATAATCCGCAAATAAATTTTGTGGAGAAACAACAATTGAAAGTAATCAGTTTTAAAAGTTGTAAATATTGCAATCTCATTCTTACAGAATAAGAGAAACATTGTATGTACATTGTATTGTGAAACGACTAATGCCATCTTTACATGCAGGGTAGCTTGAAAATACGCTTACACTCCCTTTAAGGATACATTTTTGTGTGATCCCCCCCCCCCCTCTGGTCTCACAGAAAAATGTTTAACTGATCTGTTCACCCGTTTTCTTGTATTTCGAGCTCCAGAACAGAAACCTCGAAAAAGGCTTAAGACAACAAAGGAAAATTCCATTAAACAATATAATGTCAATAAATAATTGCCTTATCTTGAATTAAAGCAGTTACACAGGCATTTGTTCTTTCTGCCTTATAGTCATTACTCCTAAACCTTCTCCGGGGTTCAGTCCACACACTGTTAGCTCATAAACCTTTTCCGGGGTTCAGTCCACACGCTGTTAGCTCCTAAACCTTCTCCGGGGTTCAGTCCACACACTGTTAGCTCCTAGACCTTCTCCGGGGTTCAGTCCACACACTGTTAGCTCCTAAACCTTCTCCGGGGTTCAGTCCACACACTGTTAGCTCCTAAACCTTCTCCGGGGTTCAGTCCACACACTGTTAGCTCCTAAACCTTCTCCGGGGTTCATTCCACACACTGTTAGCTCCTAAACCTTCTCCGGGGTTCAGTCCAAACACTGTTAGCTCCTAAACCTTCTCCGGGGTTCAGTCAACACACTGTTAGCTCCTAGACCTTCTCCGGGGTTCATTCCACACACTGTTAGCTCCTAAACCTTCTCGGGGGTTCAGTCCACACACTGTTGGCTCCTAAACATTCTCCGGGGTTCAGATAACACACGCTGTATAGAATGAACCTTTCGTTCGTCTTACCGAACTTTACATTCCCAAGTATCTGTTCGAAATCACAACATAATTTGTTCAAAATCGTAATTTTAAAATTTTGTTTATGTGCTTCGATATTATACATTTTTATAGAGACTGTTTTTCAAGACCCTTTATTTACGGAGTATCCTGGACGATAATCAAACATATCGCCGTTTTTCTATTTTAAAAAGCGCTTAATTCTGAAAAAAATCCTTTATTGTTTTTGATGAAAAAATTATGTCACGAGAAGAAAATAACAATCAAAAATGTTTAATTTAAACGTAAATCTTTTTCATTCCTTGTCATACAAAGCTTTAAAGGGTACTTTCGTGGTTCGGAAATGCCCCTCTGTAAATGAAGGGTGACTTGTAATTATGCATACAGTCCCTTTAGGGGTTTTCTAACAGCAAGGTATTCAGGCAAAATGACAGGATTGTTGGAAACTTCAAGTTTGTTTAAAGTATTTGAAAGTTTTACTGTTTTTAGGCAAAATGACAGGATTGTTGGAAACTTCAAGTTTGTTTAAAGTATTTGAAAGTTTTACTGTTTTTAGGCAAAATGACAGGATTGTTGGAAACTTCAAGTTTGTTTAAAGTATTTGAAAGTTTTACTGTTTTTTCCGCGCTAGTGATTCACAGGATAGGGAATAGAGGATCACAGGTAGGAACACTGCAGATATTATTGCTAGAAATATTATTGTAAGAAGCAGGATTGCTGGAAATATGATTTCTAAACACAAGATTGAAAGAAATATTAGAAACATGATGAATAGAAACATGATTGCTTAAAACATGATTGCTTGAAACATGATTTCTTGAAACATGATTGCTTGAAACATGATTGCTTGAAACATGATTGCTTGAAACATGATTGCTTGAAACATGATTGCAAGAAACATGATTGCAAGAAACATGATTGCAAGAAACATGATTGCAAGAAACGAAACATGATTGCAAGAAACATGATTGCAAGAAACATGATTGCAAGAAACATGATTGCAAGAAACATGATTGCTTGAAACATGATTGCTTGAAACATGATTGCTTGAAACATGATTGCTTAAAACACGGTTGTTAGCAATATGATTCCTAGAAACAGGATTACTAGTAACATAATTCCAAGAGATTTGATTGCTATAAACATGATTGCTAGAAATACACTTACACGTAGATCAACAATGGCGGTAGTTTATCTTTATCTTATTTAAGAGCTATTATGCACTAACAGCATTTTATGTTTTTGCGTGCATTATTTTTCGAGTAATTATACAGTGAGAACCAAAAAAACTGTAAGAGGCTATGAACGTAATTTCAGATAACACCTCATTTGTTGAGTGGCATGTCCTATTCACAAAGGGACTACGGTATCCTTTAAACCTTTATCCAACTGAAAACTGATAGAATCTTAACAATATTGTCGCATTGCTTTAACATAATTTATATTAATTTCTCTCCATATTCCAGGTATGGTTTGGAACGATAGATTTCGAGATGAATTATAAATCTGTTCCTGCTGAGACGGATGCTGAGATTGTTGGCTGTGGGATCCTCACCTGCATGGCGATCGTAACTCCGATGATCCTGATCAGTTATCTCATGCAGGGCCGAGACGTGATCCAATCTACAGTTATGGATATCGCGTTCTCCTTCATAGCTGCAGCTCTTCTCATGTGCGCAGGAGGCATGGCATGCTTCACGTATAACAGTGTGTTCGCATTATCTGGACCACCAGTCATCTCTAATGCTTCAATGACAAGGAAAGAGATCAGAGTAGCTGCATCTATGGGAGTAACTTGTATTGCAGCAAGTCTTATCTATGTTGCTGATTTCTTCTGGTTACTTATGCAACGTTCTGCATTTCTAAGAGAGTATTGAACCATAGGCATTTGCCATTCTGTGTTGCGCGCGCATGCCCCGTAAAATTCCAAAACAAAGAGAGGGGGATTGAATTTTGTAGATCCCGAAAAATGATATTTGTGGGATGCCTGCGTAGAGACTGGCAGCCGGTGTGGTCTTAAATGTAAGACATGTGGCCGCAGCGCTCGGCCCAGAAAGTGTCATAACTTAACCTAACCCGTGGCCGCAGCGCTCGGCCCCTAGTCTGTTCTAGCCGCAGCGCTCGGCCCAGAAATTGTCTTAACCTAACCTAACCCTAAATAAATACTAATTTCTGGATCTACAAAATTCAATCCCCCTCTCTCTGTTTTGGAATTTTACGGGGCATGTGTGCGCAACATAGAATGGCAACTCCCTGAACCATATGTATTGTTAGCTATAGGGTGTCCCAGCCTCCCAGGAAACAGAACTTGTAGGTCGTCTTTCAACTTTGAAAAAATCTGCGACATTTTTTCGTAAACCTGGTTTCAGAAGAAAATTTTTATAATGATGATCTCAAAATACTCTTCTTTGTGCTTTCAATGCTACTAGAGATGCAAAGAATTTTTTTCAGATTTCGACAATTTTGGTGTTAGTTATCTCCGCTAATATTGACAGCACAAAAAAAGGCAGACCACATTTCGGAAATGTCAGTACTAGGAGAATTTTGAGATTATTGTTTCAAGAATCATACGTGTAAAAGTAGGCTGATCATTTAATGCCGCAAAAAAATTAAAGATTAAAGACGACCTTCATGTTTAGTATTCATCCCTTAAAGTTTATGAAACATGGAACTTTAAATAAACATTGATTTTTCACTTTTAAATATTAAATATTAATAAATATCGTTGAGTGTATCAAAAGAGGTCGCACATCTTTCCAAAATTCTTTAAAAAATTGACAGATATGTCTTATATTCAGACAATTTAGATTTGATTTAAAAATTGTGAAAGTACAGAAATGACAGACTTCATTTTCGAAATCCAAAAGTAAATATTAAGTTATAGTTTTTACTATTATTATGTGGTCACTAAAAACCCGCGTGATTCAAAGTTGATTTCCATGTTTTTTAAGACACCCTACCTTCATGTGAAAAGGGATTAGATTTTTATTGTCATGGATTTGTAACAAAATAAATATACGTCAATAATATTATTTATTACTTGTATTCGTAAAAATCTAATCAATAAAGTGTATAAAATAAAAATAACTTCAAAATAACTTCAAAAAACAAATATTGACAACTTGCATTGAAGAAATGGGGGTGGGACGGGAAATTAATTAAGAAACCGTGGTATAATACCGGAAAACAAAGGAATGATTGGCGCTTTCTTACTTTCTTTTATTTGTGTGAAATATCGGTGAAAGTTTTATAAAAAAAAAGGGTCAGAACAGATTGGAAAAGCAAAACACATAAACCATTTAGTTAATGAGTTTAAGAAAGAAAAGACGACAGTCAGCACACGGTTTTCTGCATACCACTAATAACCATATTAATGTTTGTTTATATCTAAGAGGTTTGCGGTTGCGCACTGTAGACTAATGACGCCAGTCGAGAATTTTATACTTCTCCCACACTCACACAGTTGTAATTCTTGGAGCATGCAATTTCATAACAGCTGATATATATATATATACTCCAGTATACTGGGTTCAGAACTCGAGGGGATATAGACAGTGATAACCAGAGTGTAGAGTGTAGAGTGTAGAGTGTAGAGTGTAGAGTGTAGAGTGTAGATTGTAGAGTGTAGAGTGTAGAGTGTAGAGTGTATAATGTAAAGGGTAGAGTATACAGTTGAGTTTTAGTTGTGTTCCATTAAATTTTGGAGACATTTTTTTCAGAGTAAACTTGTAATCAGATGGTTGAGACTACACACATTAACAATATTTTGATCTTCATCTAGAAATGAATCAAATCAAAATAATTATTCTTCTAATTTCTTTAGTACTAGCCAGGTAAACTAGCCAGAGATGAAATTTAAAGAATTTAAGCCGCGGTTTAAATCCACCAAAAACCGGTTTAAATTAAGCGCCGACTTAAATCTTGAAACATTTGATACAATTTTAAGTATAACCAACCATATTTAAACCGCGGCTTAAATTTAAACCGCCGCTCAAATTCTTTAAATTCGGCCACAGGTAAACTAGCCAGGTAAACTAGCCAAGTAAACTAGCCAGGTAAAACAAATATTATTTTTAAAAAATGTTAAAATTTTTCTTGTTTTTTCTTCATAACAGAGCAGTTCATAAGAATATCTAATAAAAGAGAATTTTATTAGGATATATAATTACTTGCTTCATATTATATTTTCATAATTCTCATATCTTGCATCCTAAATTGCGTAACCCTTTGATATCTGATTAAATGTTAGATATAGTAGTCCAAGTTTGAAATATCGAAGGTTTACATCAAAGGAGTTGAGTCTTTGCCACAAACTCTAATTTTTTTAATCTTTATATCTTTGCAAACCAATGTCGTAGAACTTAGATATTTCAAACTATGAATTCAATTAGATTAATTAATCATACGTTTGAAATATCAAATGATATTAGGATGCAAAGCTATAAGGATTAGATAATTTGAGTTTGTGGCATAGATTCAAATCCTTTCAAATATTTGGATTTTAAGAAGCATCAACCCTCAAGAATTATTATTATTCTATTATTATCATTCATTTATTAGTATTATCATCATCATTATTATTATTCTATTATTATCATTCATTTATTAGTATTATCATCATCATTATTATTATTCTATTATTATCATTCATTTATTAGTATTATCATCATCATTATTATTATTCTATTATTATCATCATTTATTAGTATTATCATCATTATTATTATTAATAATACTCTAAACCTGGTTCTTCTGTAAAATATTTGGAATTCTTAATAATTTTCCGCATTTTTTTAATCCAGATAAAATAAAATTCGTTTGAGCAAATTTTAATTAATTTAACAAAAATTTCCAACTTAAAGGAACTGTTAGCATAATTTCAAATTATCCTCCTGCCACAGATGCCAATGCTCGAATCACAACAGTACCCTAAAAACTTTTTTATCAAGGGCATTTTTACTGCAGCTAGGAAAACTTTTACACCTAGAAATATTTAAATATTTTCCAAATTATTGAGTAAATTTTGTGCAGTTCAGTTATACTGTTTCTTTGCCTCAACCCACTCTGTACAGAGGTAATTTTTTAAAAGACCTCGACTTCTAAAAATATTATTTTTTTAAATTCTAAATCTTCTTTAAACCATGAATGGTAAATTATAGTAAGCTTTAACTTTGAAACATATTTCACTCGTTAAATGAAGATTTTTCGTATTTAATATCTTTAATACTACAATTCTAATATAAAATTATCAAAATTTTAGTTAGTTAGTTAGTTTTGCTATGATTTGTAAGGAGAAATACAATGTTTTTCCTTAAGCAGAAATACAATATTTTTCCTTAAGGAGAAGTACAATATTTTTCCTGAAGGAGAAATACAATATTTTTCCTTAAGGAGAAATACAATATTTTTCCTGAAGGAAATATTTTTCCTGAAGGAGAAATACAATATTTTTCCTGAAGGAGAAATACAATATTTTTCCTGAAGGAGAAATACAATATTTTTCCTTAATGATTTTTATTAGATATAATGCAATTCTTGGAATTATATTTATCAATTTTTTGTTATTTTTGGTATTTAAGTGTATCGGAGTTTTTATGAAGTCGGATTCAATATTTATTCTTTTATAAAAGTACTATATTTACAAAATTTCTATTTTTTTTTACAAATACAATATTTGTCATTTTTATCTTTAATTGGCTTTAAGGGCGCTTTGCGCACATCTTCTAATTCAACTTTAATGGTGGCTCTCCGCTCTTTATATCTTAGAGCATCTTCTCTTTATACAATTTAATATAAAACAAAAACCAAAAAATGCTCGCGGATTTATTTAATTTTTTCGTTAATCTATCTATATATAAATTTGGCTTGTCTGTCTGTTTCTCTGTTTGTTTGTTTGTTTGTTTGTTTGTTTATGAATGATCAAAATTTCAAATATTTGTCTCCATCAAAATTCGATCTTCATTAAATTTTTGAAAATTTTGAAAATCCACGAAATTTTTTGTGAAAATCCGCGAATCATTTTTGTTTTGTTTTACGATGTACACAAAGAGAACATGTTCACAATTAATTTAAAAGATGGGCGCGAAGCGCCCTCTAAGGCTAGTATAAATATTGGCTTGTCTGTCTGGGTGTCTGTTTGTTTGTTTGTATCCAATAAACGTCAAAACGGCTGAACCGATCGGGCCCAAATTTTTTGTGGGACATCACGTGACCACAGGTAAGGTTTATGAATGATGAAAATTTGAAAAAATGTGTTTTACAGGTTTTTAATTTTGTAAAAAAATTTAAATTCTTGAAAATCCGCGAATTTTTTAAAAAAATTCGCAAAATTTTTTTCTTATTTGTTTTAAAATGTAAACAAAGAGAACATGTTCACAATTTAAATAGAAGATGGGCCGCCCTAAAAGCCTAGTTTTATAGATTTTATTTGTTATTCGGAGCATTTATAAACCTTCCCTGATCCCGATTGATTCAGCCATTTTGACGTTTATTGAATACAAACAGACAAACTATGCAGAAAGGTAGACAAGCAAAGTATATATATGTCTATATTTATATATAGATAGTCCTATTATGAAGTTTTATCTTTTTGGTAGCATAAAATATATCTTATCTGAGCTGAAAACTTTAGAATGGTGGATACCAGGATTAAGGCTTAAACCACTCTTTTTCTTAATATCCAGTTTAAATATTGCTTGTTCTCCACGTGAATTTAAACTCCAGAGAAGCAACATGATCGGACAATTGGATATTTCATTCTAAAGTTTTCAGCTCAGATAATGTCGAAAAGTTTAGTTTATTTTAATTTTAATATGTAAAAAAGTAATTTTCTAAAACAGTTGTCCCATGATAATTACTTTTCTTAATCTTATAACTCTTAAAAATCGTTCTGACTGTGAATTTAGGGACCCCCTGGGGGCACTTTCCTAAATTTACATTGATCCTTTAATTATATGGTCATCTTCCTAAATTCATGATGGCTCTTTGAAAATTAAGCAGGCCTTCTAATCTCAGAGACCCGGCACGTCTAATTTGTTAACCCTTTCATTAAAAAGTCGTCTTCCTATGATAAAAAGATTTTGACCTTTTATTTAAAACGGCACCTCCCCAAAATGTGTTGATCCTTTCAGGTTGAGGTATTCTGTCCAGATCCTAGTTACAAATTTAAAACACAGGTATCAACAATACAAACTGAAATATTACTTTAAACCTTTTTGCAACAACCTATTTCTTAAATTTGGAACCAAAGTTTTGCATGGAAAGATATTCCCGAGGTTAAAAATGTTTTAATATAATAAATTCTCTCTTTTTCTTCTAAATGTCTCGAGGTTGTCGTGACAAGGTTGAAGGCGCAGAAGTGAGCAATGATCATGAATGTCACAAAACTTTTAGAAATTTGAATTTTATTGAAAATAAACGGAATTATTCGTGTTTTTTAAATTCGGAGAAGAGCGACAAAAACTTTCCATTCGATCCTATTCTAAATAAACTGGAATAATTTTAATTGATTGAAGAATTATAAATCTTCTTTGACCTTAGAAATAGTCTGCGGCATTTAATAAAGGCAACCTTTACTTTAAGCAATTTTTTTATGAAATATTAATTACAAAATGGTCCTACCATTTTCAAAATGTGGTCTGTCATTTTTTCCTGAGAAAACACCAAAGATATTAATAAATTTGTTTAAATTCAATATATTAAAAACAATAATGAAAATGTCTAATTCTAAATCAAATCGTTCATATCTCTGGTAATTATGAAAGCAAAAAATGGCAGACCACGTTTTGGAAATGACAGGACTAGGGCTATTTTGTGATTATTGCTTCAAGAATCATACTTGTAGGTTGATCATTCAATGCTGCAAAAAATTTCAAAGATTAAAGACGACTTTTAAGTTTTTAAAATCCCGAATATGTTTATAAACATGGCAACTTTAAAACAATATTGATATTTGTAGAAGATTTATAAAACTGACTGTAACTTTGAATCAATCAGAGAAAACATAACTATTTGAATCATTGACAATCGAATTAAAGAAAAGAAAGAAATCCTGTATTTTGTAGACCTGCTGTTCTGTTGTCTGGTGGAGTCTAGGGGCAGGTTTAGGTAATTCAACCATTTTCTTGCTTTTCTCTCCGCGTGTTAGAAAAACCTACTTGTCTAGTCATCTGGGAAAAAAATGCAAAACTTGTTAGTCGATGAAAATAACATGTTGTCAAAACATTATTTTTCATTTGTTTAATTGAATAATGATTTCTTAAAATACTAAACCACTCAGGATAATACACCGTTAGAATCGATTTGTTTAGCCCATATTAACCCCAATGTCAGCCAATTTGGCCCAGCCCATTTTTCACAAAAATCAAAAATGGCTGTCTCAAATGGATTTATAAATTTACAAATGTACACATATGAGCTTTATTAAATAGATAGTTTTGTAAATGTTATGAATTTTAAGACAACAAAATAATATCTTTAGTGCATTTATACCGGTTTTAATTTTCTATTTCTAACAGTGTAAAAATGAAAAATACGAAATGGAATTTTCCTAACATTTTTTAACAACATGTTTTTACATAGTTAACATTTAAAAAATCAATGGTCCAATATAAAAACTGGAAAGTTTAGCTAAATAAACTAGATAAGCTAAATAATAGATGAAAACTTTTGGAATAAGTTTAATTTATGTGATACACAAAGACATTCATCTTTCAACAGTAAAAAAAGAAAAAAAAGAGAGAAATAAGAGAAAAAAAAAAATATGTAATTTATAAACTATTTCAAAGTTGCCTCGTCATTATAATCATTAGTTGATATTTGTTTTGACATTCTGACAAACATAATTTATTATATAAACTTTTTACTTGTACATTTTATAGTGATATATATATGCACTAGGCTTTTAGGGCGCTTCGCTCCCATCTACTATTTCAACTTTTAGATGTGGCTTTATCTGTGAGCATCTTCTCTTTGTACAGTATAAAACAAAAACAAGAAAAAGTTTGCGGATTTCATAATATTTTTTCGCGCATTTTCAAAATTTTGTAATAAAAAATTTTTAAACACAAATTTTTAAAATTTTTATCAATTATAAACAAAATTTGGGCCCGATTGGTTTGGCCGTTTTGACGTTAATTGGATATAAAAAGCAGACAGACAGACAAGCTTAATTTATATATAGATAGATTACTAAGGTTTGAGGGCGTTTTTTTCTTGTGAAATCTTGGATTTTTTAGGAAAAGAAACAAATTGATTGTTATGTTTTGTTTAAAATTTTACGTATCAAAGTTTTTGTTTTGCAATATATCCCAAACTTTAGGGACTGTAAAGAGTACTTTTTAATTCTCAATCAAGTGGCATGTCTGATTCACAACGTTACGACCCTTTATTTGAGCAAAATTGTGGAAAATATCGTCGATTTCTTTCTCTGGTCTCTGCTGCATTTAAAATAGAAACAATAATTGAAAATAAATAAATTTTTAGATTAGAAATAAATACGCAGACAACGGTTTAAATGGTACTAATGTGAATCCGACTTGTGACATCATTAGGGGGAGGGGGGGGGTATTTGATTTTATTTGTTGTTGCTAAAAAAGTCGAAATACCTTAAACTTTGCCTGACACTAATTACACTATAACAGGTGTTGGGAATGAATGTGTGATAAACATGGATGAAATGAGGTAAGGGAGCCGGGGAAGGGGAATGGCTATGCGCCACAACATTACTCTTCCGTGCCACTTTTTAATATCTGTGTCTTCTGGCAGTCATAAGACGCAAATACTTACTTTTACGTGACACATTTAACTTATTTTTTAATGTTAAGCCTTCGGTGCAATACTGTTTTAGTCTTCTGTTTTAGAATCGTGATTTTAAAAAATCAAGCAAAGTTTTTATTTGACGCCAAAAATGAATTTTAACCCCCCCCCCCCCCCTTGGACGGAAAATGTATACGCCAATGGCTGCCTGCCTTTCCCTGCTCGGTGAGATTACATAAACAATTTTTTTAGATAATTTGATTTATGTCTGACATTTATTGTTAATGCTAACAACCAATAATAATAATGCTTTAAGGCGAAAATAATGAATATGAAGGAATTGATTCATATTTATTCTCGAATTATGTCTGTTATTGGAATTTTGTTTTGTATAGTGCGCTTGTGTATAGAGTGTATAACATATTAATATTGCACGGAAGGGGTTTTCCTTCATGTTGCCTTTTAACGGAATGTTTCTTTTAAAATTTATACAAAGTTGATAAATGCATTTTTCAGATCTAATTGCCCGATGTACGATTGCTATTTTAAGCAGGTGATTTTTTAATGTTTATTTAGCGTATTAGTGTAAACTTAATATAACTTTAAGAGCGGATATTAATTTCTAAAGTTTTTATAGGGGAACAAATTGTGATTTAGACAGCTTAGCCTTCCCCCCCCCCCCCCCCCTAAAAATACGAAATCCATAACATATTGCGGATGGGAAAAAGATGTTTTGAAGAAATTAATATTTTTTGAATTATTGTTTTTTAATTCAATAAACTCTTAACTAAGTTTTAGATTATACAAAATAAAGAGTTTTTGGTATAATTTCACTTCAGAAATGTCTTTATAGGGATTTTTTAATTTCCAATGGTTGCAACTCTTACCTTTAATTTAATAAGGCAAAACTTTTTCAAATACTTTTTCTTATTTTTCAGACAGGAGAGTGGAATTCTAACGGATGTAGCTATGTACCGGAAATGTTATTAAATGAGGTAATATGTAAATTCAAAAGTTTTTTTCGTATTTTTCTACATTGGTAATTTATTGCACGACAGAAATATTAAAAATTTGTGTAATTTTTGTTTATTTTTAATCAAATAAGTTTAAACTTTGTTTATGATATTATTTATCAAGTTTGACCAAAATTTTTAAAATGGAAAATCACATTTTTGAAATTCAAGGAAATGAGCATATCGTCCTTTCTAGGTCAATTTAAAGAATGTTAAATTTGAAGAAAAATGATGACGAATTCAAGTGCAGCCATGTTTATTATTTAAAGGGACTGTATAGTTATAACTTCAAACTTTCTCCATTTATAGAGTAGCACTTCCGATTCACAACCTTACCCTGTAAACATAGATTCAGACTGCTTATAAAAAGTCTCACCAGGGGTCGACTTTGAAGCGTCGCAACGCCTTGGGCTTTAATTTTACTGCTCTAACTAACGTATGCTTTTTTAAACATTTAAAGCTAAACAGCACTTGTAAATTTTGGTTTTAAGAAGTAATTGGCAAAATTCTCATCGATTTTTGCATAAGAGCATCTTTCAATCACAGTCTGTAAACTTTCATGAAGGATGAAGACATTGCTAAAAAAATGTTTTTTTTTCCAAATGTGCTTTTCTATGAAAGTGATTTGCCGATGTTCGTTGCAGAACGATGAAGGAATTATGGTCAGAATTTAACACTATTCATGGTAAAAACGACAATATCTTCCTAATTGTTTACAAAAAGAGGTCCAAAGGGTACCCTTGTGAATCAGAACTATCACTCTTTAAAACGTAGAGTCACTTGAAACTGTGTCTACACTCTACAGTCCCTTTAATTGTATCTACACTCTACAGTCCCTTTAATTGTGTCTACACTCTACAGTCCCTTTAATTGTATCTACACTCTACAGTCCCTTTAATTGTGTCTACACTCTACAGTCCCTTTAATGGTCTTTTTTTTAATTTAGAATTCTTGTGATATTCACGACCTATGCTACATCACACCAGGTGAAACATCTATGAGAGGAAACGAACCAAATGCCAAACAAAACTATCGTTTTAATAAAATTATAATTTCCCGGTTCGTTTTTCTCTTTTGATAAATATATTGCAAAGTTTATAGGGAGTGCTTAAGTTAAAAACAATTCGATGGTGATTGCTACTAATCTTACATCTATCTGTTGCGTCTATTGTTAAAACGACTTATACCGAAGAACCTAGCGTGTTTAACAACTTTCTCGCAACAGATAGAAGTAAGATTAGTAGCGATCACCCTAGAATACTTTTCGTCGTTACCCTATACCCCCTTTCATTTTTCGCGAACACTACCTTTAAGAAAAACCAACTTTAACAGTTAATATAATTTTAAAATATTGGAAGTTTTATTAAAAGCTAGTTTTCAAAAACCAACCAGAACGATTAGCATCCGAATGGGCAGTGCATATTTTCCTGCCGGATAATCTCCAAAAAATCTGAATTCAATTTTTCTTTTAGATTAGATAAGTCGATTTTTAGTGAATCTTAAGATTTGTTAACATGCAAGTTTATTTTTGGAATATTATCTAGAATTTTATTAACATGTTTTAGGAGCAACAAAAGATTCCTGTGACACTAGTTTTGTGGAAAATATTGGTAACAATTTTTTCAAATGTTTTCATACCAGGAACACTCTTATCTTTGTGAACAAATAATGTTTTGTAGTTTCTGAGCTGGAAACTTTAGAATGGGATACCTTTAATCCCAACTGCTTAATCCGATTATCCAATGTGGACACTTTTAATTTCTTGCTTGATCCACTCTTTTCTGGATATAGTATAGAAAAATCAAAAACCGGTTTTCAAAATTAGATAGTCCCTACCGTTTCTGTATATTAATCTTAAGTGGCGCGCAAAATTTCAAATTTCCCCGCTTCTGATACGCGACTCTGATTGGTTGAATTTTATAAACTTTTCAGGGATACAAACTCAAGATTAGGTTAGTCTAGAGAATAAGAAAAAGAGAGGATCAAGCATTGATCTCATTCAAAAGTTCCCAGCTCTGGAGGAATATGTTTATTTCTTTATTCTTCATCGTTTATAACAGTCTATGATTAATAAGTACCTTTACAGAAAGTATTTTAAAATTTTTTCAATATGTCACTTCACAGTGACCCAATGGTTGCTAACTATAACTCAAAAATTATCAACAATTTGCCGGTTACTTAGTTAAAACAAAAGCTAGAACAAAGTGCTTTATTGTTACAAAACGTATTTGCATAGGTTTACAAAAAAGAATAAGTGAGATAGTAAAGACAAATCAAAGGCCAAAGAGCAGCGACACTTTATTTCAACACAGTCTGGTCCATTTCCTGCAACTTTCCGTAGCTGTCTGCACCCTGTCTTATCTAAGTAGTCTAATAATGTAAATACACGTACAAAAACATGATTATTTAGGGAGGATTTACTGTAATAATGTACACTTCGTAGAATACCTGGCTTGCAGGAAAACAAAGCAAAATATGTCGATACTAATAAAAAACTACTTTTTATTTTTTATTTACTTATTAAAAAAGAATTAAATGAAATTGGCTTAATTCTTAATCTTCCTGAATTTATGCTTTTGATTGATGATAGATCCAGGGCTAGCATTGCAGGCTCAGTGGTGCAAGGTATCATTATAATCATTAGTTGATATTTGTTTTGACATTTATTATTAATCTTATTATGAATATCGTTGTCATTATTATTGACCAGGGTTTTCAAGTTTCTGGGATGAAAGTGAAGGAACCAGGAAAAGTTGCAACATTATTAATTCCTGGTTTTCCTTCAAATATCTCCTGTTATCTTCTATCCTTGCTGTTTTCTCCGTTCTGTTCTGTAGAAACCAGAGCAGAAAAAACAAGATTTTTTAGAAGATAAATCTTATTCTTTACGTAACAAGAAATCCGTGAAAACATTTATTCATATTATATCCTCCCTAATATTTTATACAGATTTTTAATCAGGATTAGATCAAAAACCACTGATAATCCTAATCATGTTGTGTAAACTATTTATCTTCTGAAGTTGTAATTTCTGTATGTTTGGATATCCCAGCATAACTATGAACCCCCAGGGCCTGGACCAATTTGCCTCACAGTTTTATTTGAAAACTTGGTAGAACCACAGTATTTGTATTGAGTAAAAAATGGAAGAAATAATAATTATAATGTGCTAAAAATTGAAAATATTGTAACATTTGAAATTGAAGATATACTTTGTTAGTTTATTAGCTCAAGTGCCCGGCGTGTCGCCTGTGGAACGTTAAATCACTTTTTAATAAAATTTTGAATTGTGTAGGAAAAAATCTGCTTTATAAGCCTATGATATCCCCCGTTAGCGATGTTAGCTAATTTGGTATAGCCGATATTTATATATATATATATGAGCGAAGAGCTTCCTTATATAGATTTATATGTTAGGATCTTTAAGTCTTTATAATATGACAATCTTTGGCTGTACCAAGGAGAAATGAATAGAAGGAGGGGGCGATTGGGTTTCCGTACACCCTGCTGTGACGTATTTGGACTGCTGAAGAACTAGTTTTTGCGTAACAACAATAATAAAGATTGTAAACAATAACACAAATGATAAACAGACATCTGGTGCATCTCTGGCGTTAGATGAAGATTCACCGTATACTAACTCATGTTTGTTTACATTAGATCGGCTGCCTTTGTTATTGTTGTTAGTTAGTTAGTTTTTCAGCAGTCCAAAAACGTCGCAGCAAAGTGTACGGAAACCCAATCGCCCCCTCCTTCTATTCAATTCTCCTTGGGCTGTACTATCTGTTGAACTCTCCGTGCTCAAACAAAAAATGATGAATGGATTTAGAATTTTTGTTTGTTTGTTACTTTCAAGGCAATGTTTTGCACAAATAAACCGCAATTTTTTATAATACTGAAAAGAGGTTTAATTGATAATATAAATCATTAAGCAAGAAATCTTTCATCACTTACTTAAACTCTTTTTTTTTCGCTTTTTATTTTGGGGGAGAAATCATTTTTCAAAACTATATAAAAAAATTTATATTTCTTAATAATTTAATTAAAAAAATGTGCTAAATTTTGAATCGTACAATTTCGTGAAAATGTGATTTTTTATCATAATTTTTTTGTAAGCTTTTTAAGAAATATGTAAAATACTTTTCTAAAGGTAATAAATCATTTAGTTTAGCTTTAATAACTAATCTTTATTAGTTTAATTGTTTTATTACGAATAAATGTACAGTTAGAGACGTTTTGTATCCTGTTTATACGCTAACTCCTTTTTTCCTATATTATTATTATACAGGGTGTATTTTTTAATTCTTTAATTTATGATTCTGGTACAGCATGCAGGTTAAATCATTATGGGTTATTTTTATCAAACAATTTAGGTTGTCTACGCATATGGACGGTTAGTATAAAGCAAAAATATAAAGTTAATATTTAATATTCATTAAAACGCCGAAGTAGTTGGCCGCCAGACGTTTCAGCTCTTGATGAAATATTACGAAATATTAAATATACACGAATGCGTCGAAAAATAATCGATGACTTCAGGTTTTAATATCTAAATGATTTGTTTAGAATTAAATTGATTATTTTATGATCTGAGTTGAATGTCGCAACTTTCTGAATTTGTATGGACTCTACGTTCTTCAGTATAAGTCGTTTTTAACAATTTTCTCCTTATAAACGCAACAGATAGGAGTAAGATTAGTAGCAATCAAAAGCGATTATTTTTCGCTAAAAGCCTATACCCCTTTTCATTTTTGGTCAACACTCCCCTTTTCTAAAATATTATTTCTACAGATGAAAGTTAATAATTTAACTGTAGAAAATAAACTTATACAATTCATAGAAAATTGAAATTGAAATAAGACTCATATTTTAATTCCAATAAACCATTTTGTCCCGAGAAAAGCTTTCCAGATAAATGAATGGAAAAAAGATGAATGAAAAAGGAAAAAACAATGAAATTGTGAAATTTAAAAGTATTTTCTAGTAAATTGTGACCGGTCTCAAAATATAAAATTGAATTAAATATTTAATTTTGAATTGCATGAAGGGGTGGGGAGGTGGGGGGATAAAATATATCTTTATACCAAGTAAAAAGTCTAATAGTGTATGAATAAATGAGTCAAATAAGTATTTTTTATTCAAAAATAATCATAAAGTAGAATTTTATAGAATGAAATTATAGTTTGTGACTGATAGTCATTTCCATACAAATTCAGAAAGATGCAACATTCAACTTGGATCGTAAACCAATCAATTTAATTCCAAACAAATCATTCAGATATTACAAACAATAGTCATTGTTTATTTTTCTACGCATTCGTACCTGAGACGAGTAATCAGTTCCTTTGTTTATGTTTACTAATTTAGGGTTTGTTTACAATATCTGATTTTGTTTACATATTTTGTTTATAATATCTTTTTTTAATAATTTATGGGTTGTTTACAATATTTGTTTTTGTTTACGAATTTGGGGGTGGTTTACAATATTTGCTTTTATTTACGTACATATTGGCGGTTTGTTTACAATATTTGTTTTTGTTTACGAATTTGGAGGTGGTTTACAATATTTGCTTTGGTTTTCATATTGAGGGATTGTTTACAATATCTGTTTTTGTTTACATATAAAGAGGTTGTTTACAATTTATTTGTATTGTTTACATTATGATGGTTTGTTTACAAATAAACCAGATTCTGAAAAGTTAAACGTGCCGTAAAAACTATTATGTGGTAAATTAGTTCACTCGAGTGCAATAATTAGAAAACATACAGGGTTACCCACAAAGGATGGGACTTCAGAGATGATTGCACGAAATTAATCTGGTTCCTTAAAAACATATATAGTTTCCTACCACATACCTCTTTAAAATCATTATTTTTTTTTCCAAATCATTAAATAAGCCATTGAAAGACTATAGTTCGGCAGTAGACTTTAATAAAACCCTAAAATCGTCTTATGCAAAGAGTTTCACATCGTCTTTACAGTCTCATCCTTTCTGGGTAACCCTGTCTATTGTATTATATCTTAAACCAATAAAGTATTGTTTTTAAAAAATATTCTTAACATTTGCTTTTTGAGTTTCTCAAAATCATGCGGACACGAAGGGCCAAAAATATTCTTTAAAACTATACTTTCGTTTTATTCTTGATTCAATCTGAAGATTTGATCGCTTCAGTCGTTCATTTCCCAAAAAAAACATTTTTCAGTTTTTTCGGGGATTTTTTCCTCCGAATTTTACTCATTTCCCTCTTCATCATCCAGGTCAAAGTCTGGTACATTTACTCCAAGTTTCCCCTTCAACCTCTCTTTTATCTCCTAAAAAATGTTTTAGAAAATTTAATTTAGAACAAAAGATAAGTTAATATCAAACTTTGATAAATAAGTCAATTCATTTTTAAAATGACTCTAGTAAAATAGAAAATTAGATAGATTAATTTATAATAAGAAAGCAAATTTTTTTCTAAAAATGCAAACGTTTTTTAAAAAAGAGTGAGAAACACCAACAAAAGTATTGAAAACACGAACAATTGATCTCTTTAAACTTTAATTGTAACCCTTTCAACCTGATATTTCAAAGTTTGAGTTGGACTAGAAAAAAATTTGAAGATTAAAGATTCAATTATAGTCTGGTTGTATAATGTACAAGTATAAAAATGTTTAAGTAACCATGGTAGATTCTTGAAGTTAGGCTTAATTCCCTTTAAATACCTTAGTTTTCTTCTCTAGCCTCGAAACCTCTTTATTCAGATTTTCAGATTCTTCTGTCCTCTAAAGGGATAAAAAATGTAAGATACTTGGAGTGTTGCTTTATAAAACGCGCTGGGCCCACTAGTTACTGTGTACCAGACGGGCTGGGCCCACTAGTTACTGTGTACCAGACGGGCTGATACGGGTCACCCCGGACTAACCAGAGTGAAAGGCATTCGGTTACTTCTATTTGAAATCATACGCGTTTTGGTCTATAATTCAACAATCTTTAAACCTACGGATTTGTTTGTTTATACTTTTCATTCAAAACGCATATGCCGACAAAAAAGTATATAAGAATGAAGACTATAAAATCATGCTTAATGGGCCAAATTGTGATCGAAAGTCACAGATTTCTGGAATATTGACAGTACTAATAAAACCACGTGGGGTAAATGTGCTGGTCCACTAGACTCTCGTACCGGTTCAGATCAAGTGTACTGTGCAGTGTACATATGTGCATGTGTTCCCCCTGTTAGCAAGAAACCTGTTAGAAAAACAGGACGCAGCTCTTCGGACTAATTATGAAGCGTTAATGATAACTTAGTGATATATAATATGGAATTAGAAATAACTAAATCATAAATGTATACAAATTCTAAAGTTTCTTCACATTCTTAGCAAAGTCCAGGATTTGTTTCATTCATTTTACTGGACTTTTTGTTTTAGCGTTTTTAAGCGCCATTTTAAAATATTAAATCTGACACCTGCTGCTTTTCTTCTTTAAGTTTCTCTTCAACTTCTTTCTTTAGTTCTTCCACCGATTCTGTAATATTAATTCTCTTTTCAGGGGCGTATTCAATATTTTTGCCGGGAGGGGGGAGATCAGGGGCATATTCATGATGTTAGCCAAGGAGAGGGGGCTCAGAGGCGTATTCAGGGTATAATCCAGGGGTGGGGGGCTGTGAGACGTATTTGGGGTATTAGTCAAGGGGGTGCGGGGCTCAGGGGCGTTTTGGGATATTAGCCAGGAAGGGGGAATCAGGGGCGTATTTAGCATTTTAGCGGGGGAAGCTGGAGATATTATTATTTAGACGTTGCTTTTATTTTCGCATGCAGTCCTCTTTGTAGCCCTCTTTTAAAATGCTGTACAAGTCTCTGCAGTCCGAGAAGTCCCTACTCCAGAAATTCAGAAGACCATCATCAAACTCGTTATTACCTCCCCCTCCCCCCTCACCAGTCCCCTTCCCAAATAGAATATAGTGGCTTAAACTATTCCAAAAAATTTTTTTTAGATCTAAATATTTATTTTGTAGCAGAGATTAAGATATTACAATTGTATTACAAGTTTACAACTTTCATAAATGGAAAAACTACATTATTTATTTTCTATATAAATGATTCATATGATAGACACAGATTAGACTTTGAATGCCAGTGCAATATTTCGCAGCTGACTCCCTCGTCATCCATTGCTGAGAAACAACAGAACTTCCTGTAGTTATTAACCAACTGATATTTAATTTGGTTGTCTACTTTTTCATATGCTCTCATTGCGTTGTGTCTAACTGGGCAAACTGTACAATCTTATTCTTCACAGAAAGTAAAAACTGGGTTTGCAATGTTCACAGGTGGTTTTAGTTCGATTTCAAGTTCAGTTTCAGATTCTGGACCAGCTTCAGTCTCAAGTTCAGGTTCAGGCGCAGACTCAGTCTCAGGTTCAGGTTCAGGCGCAGACTCAGCCTCAGGTTCAGGTTCAGGGGCAGACTCAGAATCAGGTTCTGGTTCAGGCGCAGACTCAGTCTCAGGTTCAGGTTCAGGTTCAGNCTTTGAAGTGGTTCACAATTAATAAAAGTGTTTATATTCCGTTGTCGGAGAACAAAGAGAAGCGGGCTGAAATTGTTTGGTTTGGTTTCTCGTCTCCGAGAGGAGCTTTTAGGTTGAAGACGACATTACATGGAGGGGGGGGGGTTTTAATGTTAATGGTTGACAAGATTATATCTCCTGTAATATATTATAGATTACATCTCCTGTAATATATTATAGATTATATCTCCTGTAATATATTATAGGTTATATCTCCTGTAATATATTATAGATGATGGCCAAATGGCTCGACCGAATGGGCTGAAATTTGTTGAGGGAACCTTGAGAGCACCGTGAGTAAATAAACTAAAAAATCTTAAAATTCTTTCAAAAATCTAATTTTATTTCAAAATTAGATTTTTTCAAATTCCACGGGAACGCCGGGCACTTCAGCTTGTATACTATTGATTCCTTCTCCTGTAACATACAAAGTTTTTCTTAATACAGGGTGTCTAAAGATACATTAAAGTTTCTTCCGAATTTCATAAACTATTTGTGGATTTTTTGTTAAAGATAAAACCTATATTTTACCAAGGTCAACCTGTCAATATCTGAAAACAATCTGTTTTATTTTATTTGTTAATACCCTTTACCCATCTATCCCAGTAATGATATCATCGTATAAAAAATGTTCTAGACCACCTCTAATCCTCTAACAAGGCAAGGTTAAGACCTGTATTTGATTATCTTCAGACCTTGATTGGAAATAAAATAAAACAAAAGAAAATAAAGAAAATAATGAAATAAATTTGATATATTTTCACCACTAGATATGCACCCCCATAAGTTAAAAATTAAAAAAATTCTTCATTCTAATTTTAAAGTGTTTTTTTCTTCATATTTTTACATAATTTGAACCAAAACAAATGCATGTATCAATCATAAAAAAGGATTAAGAGGTTTATCTATCTATCTAATGCAATTGACCCTGCATTGAGAAAATGGTACGTTTGGTTCCTAATTTAAACTCCGCGAGTTATAACTTTATAAACCACAAGCTGAAGTGCCCGGGGTAGCCCGTGAAAAAAATTAAAATTTTCTTAAAAATTGGAAGAAAAAAGTTTAAATTTTTGTAGCCTATAGCTACCCATAAGTGCCTACACAGCCCATTCAGTCCAGCCGTTTGGCCGGCGAGAAGGAACACAAACACGAATGTCTTATAGATTTTAACAATTCGTATTGGTATTAAATATTTTTTAATTGGGCTTATGTATTTTAAATGTTTAATTACATAAACTAAAGGTTTCTTGCACTATATTTGACAGATTGAGAAATGAAAATATTCCAATACTGACTGAATGCGCTTTGTTGTAGTTAATTATACGTGAAAAAAGCTTTGTCTGATCAAGTATAAATCAAATATCCAGGTTTTTGTTTTCATTATTTTTATAATAAATGGTTCTCTGAAAATGTAATTGAGCATTTCTGGCTTCAGAACCAATGAAGAAGTTATCAGAACACTTTTGAAAAAATGGAGTTAATTTAAAACCATCCCTGTAGGTTAAATTAAAAAGGAAAAAAAATGTTCCTCAGAAAGAATTTTATCAATGTACGCCGATTTATTAGAAAAATATATCTCTATGCGTGTTTTTTAGGGATTCAAGTCTTTAATCATTTCTCTACCTGCTTGATCCCTGCCAAGAACTTTATCAAGATCCTTCCTCAGATTGATCAGCTCGGCAGAGGTCTTGTTATTGTTATCGTCGTCATGATTTGGTTTCTAAACATATTATCCTTGTCATGATTTGGTTTCTAAACATATTATCCTTGTCATGATTTGGTTTCTAAACATATTATCCTTGTCATGATTTGATTTGTAAACATATTATCCTCGTCATGATTTTGTTTCTAAACATATTATCCTCGTCATGATTTTGTTTCTAAACATATTATCCTCGTCATGATTGGGTTTCTAAACATATTATCCTCGTCATGATTTGGTTTCTAAACATATTATCCTCGTCATGATTTTGTTTCTAAACATATTATCCTCGTCATGATTTGGTTTGTAAACATATTATCCTCGTCATGATTTTGTTTCTAAACATATTATCCTCGTCATGATTTGGTTTCTAAACATATTATCCTTGTCATGATTTGATTTGTAAACATATTATCCTCGTCATGATTTGGTTTCTAAACATATTATCCTTGTCATGATTTGATTTGTAAACATATTATCCTCGTCATGATTTGGTTTCTAAACATATTATCCTTGTCATGATTTGATTTGTAAACATATTATCCTCGTCATGATTTGGTTTCTAAACATATTATCTTTGTCATGATTGGGTTTCTAAACATATTGTTCTTGTCATGATTGGGTTTCTACAAATTATCCTTGTCATGATTTGGTTTCTAAATAAATAATTTCATCCTGATTGCGTTTCAAAACAAATAATTTCATCATGATTGGGTTTCTAAACATATTATCCCCATCCTGAGTGGGGTTTCAAATGTATTATCCTTGTCATGACTGGGTTTCTAAACATATTATCCTTGTCATGACTGGGTTTCTAAACATATTATCCTTGTCATGACTGGGTTTCTAAATAAATCATTTCATCCTGATTGGACTAGTAAATATTTTGCAAAGGCTGGACGTTTATAAAACGTTTCTTTAAGAATAATTTCTCTGAATTATAAAATGAGAAATTTGCGAATTCTTTTTATTATTAAAGGGAAATTGCGAATTAGGATTAAATTCTACTTGGCATAAATTAATTCACTTACTTGAAATTAAAAGTTTAACGTGTGCAAAGTATAAATTGCATAAAGTGCCCGTATAGATGACTACAATTAGATGCTGGATAAAGATTTTTTTATATTCATACTTTTAGAATTATCTCGGGTTTTTTTCAAATAATCTTTTTTGTTTTGAACAATTTTTTTTTTCGATTTTGATGGTTATTATATCGTAAGAACTGGCGAGGGTCAACCCAGACCGAAATATATTTTCAATAAATGTGGAACTAACATCTACTTTTTAACTCTACAGAGGTTTGGTCCATCATCATTTACCTTAGACAGTGCTCTCTCTATATCCTCAATTCGATCTCTGCATTCACGTAAACGTAAAATAAAATGTTTGAAATAACGATAATTAGTAAAGATTAGATTTCAATAAAAAATTTGCTCCTTTTCTTGAAAATACCAAGGTATATTATATTCACCTAAGTTGTTTATAATGAAATTATCTAGTTACAAATTTTGGTAAAAATTTATTCTATTTTAAATAAAGCTCAGTGTGTTTCTCTACAACTAATATTTTTGATTTGCTTATATTGTAAGTAAAACGACCTGATAATCTTGCAATAAATATATTATTATTTAAACTAGATTGGGACATTTACATTTTATGCAAAATCCATATGAACTTTTCTAAGTTGGTTTAGCTGTGACTCGAGATATGCAGTCTCTGACGCGATCTCTCATGTGGCTGACACTTTTTATGATTTCTGCAGGCTGCAGGCGAATAGAAAACTCTTTCAAAATAATTTTGAGCTCTTCATCAGTAGAAGGTCAAGCAATAACTGTAAGCTGAAGGCTTGGCGAACCTGAAGCTCATTTCGAAGTTTTCCATATTCCAGGATACTCCAGAGGTTCTTCTCTTTAGTATAAGAGCTATTTGACAAAACAGTTCTGACTGGAGTAATTTTTTAACAACCAGATTATAAATGTCCCTTCAATATAGTCCATTTCCCGGATTTTTAAACCCAGTTTTGCGCATTTTTCAATAACAGGTTAGAAAATCAAAAATATCAGTTAAAGAGAAACAACGCTAGAAATGTTTTACGAATATATTTTTTAAATTGTAAATACACTTTGATGAGTTCTTAGAATAAACAAATTTCATGTAATTAAATCAATTAAGATTTTCGAACTCATCAGGTTTAGCAGCTAATCTAACTCTCTAAAGAAATAAGAATTAATGACTTTAATAAAGAACTTATATACTCCCGGCCCACCTCTCAAAATAAAAAATTATATTTAAAAAAAACGCTTTCCTGATATCTCCAATATCATTAGGTGCTCCAGAAATCTTCTCCTAAAATAAACAAATTTAATATTCATCATCATAAAAATTGGTTCTTCGGTTTCTTTTCAGGCTTTTCGAGCTTCTAGAAAGTGTTCATAAAAGAATAATATCTACGTCAAGAGCAAAAATCAAATAGCAACGTTTTATTAAGCATGACGAGGACAATTTTTTAAAATCAAAGTTATCAAGTCATTTTTCTGCACGTTGAATTGAATGCACAATTTGCCGCCGTTTCTTGATAGATGACAGATCATAACTAGTCTAATTCTGGAAAATGTGACAAGCAATGTTAACATAAATTGCCCCGTATCTAGTGAATATTAATCAAAAAGACCATTATTGCAAATATTAGTTTTAGCATTTTAGCATTTAATTGTTTTTGTTTTATCTTTTTCGAAAAATTCAACCCGGAATTCTTTTTATCTACCCTTATCTTAGAAGTTCAACAAAAAACTTTTAGTTTTTAGAGAAAACAATTTACTAGAAAATGTTCAACTTCTACTGATGAATATTTAACTTTAAAAGTAGGGGTTACACAATTGTTTTTTTTCTGAATAAAAAAAACTTAACTGGTTTTGTTAAATTAAAACAAAAAAGCGTGAGAATATGAATACCACTAAGCCCTTAAACCGTTAAACCATTGAGTTTTTTAGACGTTCAGCTGTTAAACCATTAAGATAATAAAGAAGCGGTCGATCTTCATTACAATTACTGTTTACTTGATGTTGTATAATTACGATATAACAAGCTTAAAAGCTTTCCTAATATCTTACCGTAATATGTAGTCATAAGTAAATCCCTTTCCCAATTTATTCAGTAGTCTACATATATTTCCTGCTCCATTTGCATCTACTCCATTTCCTGATCTCCATATGTATCTATTCCGTATTCTAATCTCCATATGTTTCTACTCAGTGTTCTAATCTCCATATGTATCTACTCTGTGTTCTAATCTCCATATGTATCTACTCTGTGTTTTAATCTCCATGATGTATCTACTATGTGATCTAATGTCCATATGTATCTACTCTGTGTTCTAATCTCCATATGTAACTACTCTGTGTTCTAATCTCCATATGTATCTACTCTGTGTTCTAATCTCCATATGTAACTACTCTGTGTTCTAATCTCCATATATTTCTACTCCGTGTTCTAATCTCCATATGTATCTACTCTAGTGTTCTAATCTCCACATGTATCTACTCTGTGTTTTAATCTCCATGATGTATCTACTCTGTGTTCTAATCTCCATATGTATCTTCTATGTGTTCTAATGTCCATAGGTATCTACTCCGTGTTCTAATCTCCATATGTAACTACTCCGTGATCTAATCTCCATATGATGTATCTACTCTGTGTTCTAATCTCCATATGTATCTTCTATGTGTTCTAATGTCCATAGGTATCTACTCCGTGTTCTAATCTCCATATGTAACTACTCCGTGATCTAATCTCCATAATGTATCTACTCAGTGTTCTAATCTTCATATGTATCTACTCCGTGTTCTAATCTCCATATGTATCTACTCAGTGTTATAATGTCCATATGTAACTACTCCGTGTTCTAATCTCCATATGTATCTACTCTGTGTTCTAATCTCCATATGTATCTACTCTGTGTTCTAATCTCCATATGTATCTACTCCATGTTCTAATCTCCATGATGTATCTACTCTGGGTTCTAATCTCCATATGTATCTACTCTGTGTTCTAATCTCCATGATGTATCTACTCTGTGTTCTAATCTCCATGATGTATCTACTCCTTGTTCTAATCTCCATGATGTATCTACTACGTGTTCTAATCTCCATGATGTATCTACTCCGTGTTCTAATCTCCATGATGTATCTACTCTGCTTTCTAATCTCCATATGTATCTACTCCGTGTTCTAATCTCCATATGTATCTACTTAGTGTTCTAATCTCCATGATGTATCTACTCTGTGTTCTAATCTCCATGATGTATCTACTCCGTGTTCTAATGTATACCTGGAGATCTTCCACCTGTCTCCTCATCCTCTCCTGGGTAAACGCAACACTGTCCATTTTCTAAATATTTAAACAGACATATCTTGCTTTTTGTATTTTCAATATGATTTATTTTAATTTTCAATATTTAAAATATTTCCCGGCTTAAAAGACATGTTATGAAAACAATTTAGTTTTCAAAATATTTTTTAACCATGTTTAAAAACAAAATTATTTCCATGAATAAGTTCCTCTCTTGTCAAGGTTCAGATTTTGTTAAATTCCCCGGATTTTATGATATTTAAGATGTTAAACATCTAGATTTGTATTTTTCCAAACAAAATAAGGAATTTTCCTTTTTAAATGTTTAATTTCCTTCTCGAGGAAGAAAAGGAAAATGCTGAATTCATCATAAGATAAATGTACGTGTTATATACTGGATAAAGCTTGAAAGACGACTGTATGGAATTAACACTGTCGATATTTCTTTAGGTATAGGATTTCCTGCAACGTCAAATTAATCATTTATTTGCCCAATAATTATCAAGGACATAAATAGACCATCTTCATGTCAGAGTACTAGAAAACGTCATATTTAATGAGTTTAAAGGTCGTCTTTACAGTCTCATCCTTGGAGGGTAACTCTGTATTGTGTACACCCTGATGCACAGTGTAAAAAGAATTTCATTCAGGATAACTTAGTCTTCTCAATATAAAATAGAAAGATCATGATTTTGTTAACCAAAAAGCAATGATCTACTCCGTTGCAAGGTCGTCTTTGACCAAATTTTCTCCGGTGGCCAAACCAAACATTTTATACTTCCGACAGATATTTAACAACTTCACTTACAGTGCTCACGCTTCAGATTGTCATTTTATATCAGAAGATATAAACGTTGTTTTAGCACTGTTAATAACCTGATTATCACGAATTTACCCAGCATTAGTAAGATCATTTTCATAATAATAAAACTAATTATCGCAAACATTATATTCGTACCCTGAAACAAACATTGTTAATTACATGTATTTTCAGGATCGAAATATATGGATTCATAATATTATCGTCTAAATGGGTCAGAACGAGGATAAGAGGAAGCCTGTGAATCATCAACTATTTGAAAGCTCATTTCAACCCCCCTCCCCTTAACTCAACAATGTTGTATCTTTCAACCCTTTTTTGATTCAAACACTGTTAAAGTAGCTGATTTTAGTCGAAGACGATCCATTATCGTGTTCATGAATATATTTCCTCAAGATTTATTATCTAAACTAGAGTTAGAAAAAATTTCAAAATAGAACAGTAAATACAGATTAAAATAATTTTTTAGATCTATGCAAGGTACTTAATTGATACAATGTTTGTAAATGAAAAGATTTAATTATACTTTTAAATTGTCCATTCTCCCAAAAAAAGGCATATGCATATAAAAAGAAAGATTGTGACACCCCCCCCATAACCCCCTAATATACCCCACTGTGCACTGCCACAAAATAGCTGTATAAAATCAAAGACGATCTTTAAGTCCTCTTTCAATTACCTTGTTCAGTTCAGTAGGACTGACAATTTACGTCCATGGAACTATTTCCTCAAGATCGCATTTATTATTTAAACTAAAGTTTGAAAATTCTAAAAATAGAAATTATTCTGAGAAACACTTTTAAGTTTTAAGTCTCTGTTTCTAAATTTAATTCTTGAATCCTATACACTCTCAATTCAATAATTATTAGCTAAATTTAGATCACCTCTCCCCCCCCCCCCTATATTTCACATTTCATAGACAAAACATTTCAAAGACAGATCATTTCAAAGACAAGTCATTTCATAGACAAGTTATTTCATAGTCGGCTAATTTCATAGACAGGTCATTTCATAGTCGGAGCATTTCATAGACAGATCAGTTTATAGTCGAAGCATTTCACAGAGAGATAATTGCATAAAAAGATCATTTCATGGACAACAAATAGATTGTCAAGTATCAACCTATTTGATGGACAGCATATTTCATAGAAAGATCATTTCATAAAAAGATCATTTCATAAAAAGATTTTTTTTAAAGAATGATGATTTTATGGACAGAATATTTTATTTCTAAAGAAAGAGTTTTTTAAAAAAACATAAATTTCGTTTAGAGAATTCTTCAAAGACAGGATATTTCATGATCAAAAAATGTCATCAACAGATCATAGGTAACAAAAGTTATGTTGTTGTAATATGCCCTAAAAACCATCGTGAAGTCCTATAAATCCTCCCTAAAGTCTCTAAAAGGAAAAAAATCCCTAAAAATCTCATAACAGCCTCCTACTCTAACCTGATGAAGTTGATCCCCGAGAATGTTACTGGCCTCTTCCCCTGCAGCCTCCTGTCTTCTCACACCATCCTCTAAACACATGTTAGAATGATCTCACACATTCTTATATTAAAAGTTTTACGAAGAGTAATTGGCAAAACACTGTACGATTTTTGCATGAGATTAATGCGTTAAACCCCGGCCTTATGTTGTTTTGTATTCAACAGCAATATCTTTATTATCCATCATTTAATTGAAGACGGAAAAATTGAATTAAGAAATAATTTTGATCTTGATTAAATGGTTCATTGTGCGGATACTAGTTTTATTCCCAATACAAACATGTGGCTAACAATGTCTGAAGGAATAGTTAAAAAACAACAATATTAAAAAACGTTGACCGGACCTCTGAGATTCAAGATTAAATTTTGATTTTAGAGAGATGATACATTCGTCCAATTATGCATATCAATGTTAACAAGCAATCATTGTTAACAATCAATCATTGTTCACAATCAATCATTGTTAACAATTAAGCATTGTTAACAATCAATCATTGTTAACAATCAATCATTGTTAACAAACAATCATTGTTAACAATCAATTATTGTTAACAAACAATCATCCATCTCTTTATATTGTATGTTTTTTGTATCCGATTAACGTCATAACTGGTTTACGGCAAAATAAAAAACTTAACTCCGAAAAGTTTGAACGAACAAATTAAAAAATACATTATTGAAAAAAAGATAATTCTACGATTTTTCACTTTTTCGAGGTAGAGTACGAAAACTGATTTTTTTCGTAACATTTAATTACCTAGCATTTCATTTTGTTTCCTCATCTCAGTTTTCATCACTTTTATTTGCTCCTCTAGTTGGGTGATCTGAAAACATGCTTTTATAAAACCAAATTCACTTTTTATATCTTCAAATCATTTGCTTAGGTGAGGGCGAAAGGAAAAGGTACTGTTGTGAATAAGGTGAATCGGGTATTATATCGTTTTGTCAAGGATCAACTCGGATCCTTCAGAGAAATGAAAAAACTATAGGTTTTGAAAAATGACCGAAAGACAAAGACAAACAATTTAAAATTGAAATAACTTTTTTCGAACAATTAAAAAAATAAACGAAATAAGTCGTTCATGAGCAACAAACAAACGAAAGTATAAAAGTGAAAAGTGTCTATCTCTAACAACATTTCCTTTAACCTCATATTAATATTATAATAATAAAATAAATCATAGGATTTCCAATGGATTATATAATTTTTTTTAACTAAAAAACCAATGGATAAAATCAATGGATAAAATCAATGGATAAAATCAATGAATAAAACCAATGGATAAAAGCAATAGATAAAATCAATGGATAAAACCAATAGATGAAACCAATAGATGAAACCAATGGATAAAACCAATGGATAAACGCAATGGATAAAATCAATGGATAAAATCAATGGATAAAATCCATGGATAAAATCAATGGATAAAATCAATGGATAAAATCAATGGATAAAATCAATGGATAAAATCAATGGATAAAATCAATGGATATCATAAAAAAAATTTTCTCATTTTAAATTTCCAACTTGAAATAAATAATACAAAACTTTCTTTCAATTTATCAATTTCCTTTTCTTAAAAGAATTTTTGTTTTGTTTTTAGGATGAAGGGACAATTTATTTGTCAATACATAAATATTGAAAAGAACAAAAATCACAAAGTAGAATTAATTCTTTGAAAATATGCTTTTTACAGGTTTTTCAGACAATTTATGTTGTATAAAAATATGTTGTGGAGTAAACAAACGTTGATGAAGTTAAATTTTGAAATTTTTAAAGGGAGTGTTCACGAAAAATGAAAGGGGGAATAGGCTCACGGCGAAAAATAAGCGCTTTGGTTCGCTACTAATCTTACTTCTGTCTGTTTCGTTTATAAGGAGAAAATTGTTGCAAAGGACTTATACTGAAGAACGTAGTGTTCATACAAATTCAGAAAGTTGCAATATACGACTCGATTCGGAAACAAATCAATTTATTTTCAAACAAATCATTTAGATATTACAACTTGAAGTCATCGATTATTTTTCGACGCGAACACCCCCTTTTATAACTGTAAAATATTTAGTACTACTTTAAACAAAATTTGTTTACAAGAAATACAGAATTACAGTACAGTACAGTGCAGTACAATACAATACAGTACAGTACAGTACATTACAGTGCAGAACAGTACAGTACAGTATAGAGCGTACACTACAGTACAGTACAGTACAGTATAGAGTGTACAGTACAGTACAGTATAGTACAGTACAGTACAGTATAGAGCGTACACTACAGTACAGTACAGTACAGTATAGAGTGTACACTACAGTACAGTACAATACAGTATAGAGTGTACAGTACAGTACAGTATAGTACAATACAGTACAGTATAGCACAGTACAGTACAGAATAGTACAGTACAGTACAATATAGTACAGTACAGAACAGTACAGCACAGTAGAGTACAGCACAGTATAGTGCAGTACAGTACAGTATAGCACAGTACAGTATAGTACAGTACAGTACAGAACAGTACAGCACAGTAAAGTACAGTACAGTAAAGTACAGTACAGTAAAGTACAGTACAGTACAGTATAGTACAGTATAGAGCAGTACAGTACAGTAAAGTACAGTACAGTATAGTATAGTACGGTATAGAGCAGTATAGTACAGTAAAGTAAAGTACAGTATAATATAGTACAAATATACCTGTTTTGCAACACTCTCTCTAACCCCATCTATTGCCTCCTCCTGAAGACGTTCAACCTCCTGCAGGATAAAATTATAATATTTCATTTGATAAAAGGAATATTCTTTACATAAAAGTGTTCTGCAGATTTTGGGAGGAATGTAAATAACATGACAATATTGTCAATAAATATAGATTATCCATATATTAAGGGAAAATCACATTTTTTTTTTAAAATTTTAGAAAAATATTAAAATTTCAAGAATTGACTTTTATACTTAAAGGATGATTTTACAGTTAAAGGATGTATTTACAGTTGAAGGATGATTTTACAGTTAAAGGATGATTTTACAGTTGAAGGATGATTTTACAGTTGAAGGATGATTTTACAGTTGAAGGATGATTTTACAGTTAAAGGATGATTGCACAGTTAAAGGATGATTTTACAGTTAAAGGATAATTTTACAATTAAGTTAAAGGATGATTTTACAGTTAAAGGATGATTTTACAGTTAAAGGATGATTTTACAGTTAAAGTGACTGTCCACGAGATTTCAAAGATGTCAAATGCCGCTTCATCTATATAAAGATTTACAACGTAATTTCAATTCATTTTTCAATCGGAAAATTAATAATTTCACACTTTTCGAGATGAAAAAATAGGGATATCTTCCTCACTGTTGCGCAGGGAAAGGGTGTGAATCGGACATGTAGTTCTTAAAATGAAATGTCACGTGACAATACGTTGACACCCTGTTGGAAATGAAATGTTCAAAATTCTTATGCTCATTATATAACAGACCTTTAACATAACCAGTATTGATATATCGTAGCGAGGAATAGACAATGGAATATATTGTTTGATAGCTATGCTTGTGTCCCTATGTGGCATTTAAAGCCGAAATAATAGCTTATTTGATAGCTTTGCTTGTGTCTCTGTGTGGCATGTAAAGCCGAAATAATAGCTTATTTGATAGCTATGCTTGTGTCTCTGTGTGGCATTTAGAGCCTAAGTAATAGCTTATTTGATAGCTATGCTTGTGTCCCTGTGTGACATTTAGAGCCTAAGTAATAGCTAGTTTGATAGCTACGCTTGTGTCCCTGTGTGGCATGTAAAGCCTTAGTAATAGCTTGTTTGATAGCTATGCTTGTGTCCCTGTGTGGCATGTAAAGCCTTAGTAATAGCTTAACCTGGAAATTCAGATTTGACCTGGAAATTCAGATTTAACCTGGAAATGAATTCAGATTTAACCTGGAAATAATAAAATAAAATTTTCCCATTCCTATTTATTTGCATCCTGATAATTTTAACCTTTGATATTTCAAACAAAGACTCAATCCATTAGTATAAAAGCTTACAAAATGTACTATTTTAGAGGCAGAATTTTTTACGAGATAATACATTTTGTCCTTTGCAGACTTAAATTTTAAAGCATTTTTTTTTGAAACGTTTGTCACCTTTTAGTTTTCAAACCAAGTGAAAGTGTAACGTAAGGTCTCTGAAAATATTTACATTGCATGAAAGTGGAACGCTAAACTAAAAAATTGTGGTTACAAAACTAAAACTGTAACTCAACGTTGAGAAAGTTTTTTTTAGCAGGAAATGCAAAAGCGTAATTGAGCTTACTTTTATTTACTAAAGCTTAACGTTGCATAAGGTATTCATTACATAACGTTTTTCTATGCAATAAAATTTCAAAATGAGCAACGTAACGTTTCAAACGTTTATACTTTTGATGAACACTATGGTAACAAAAGCTAAACTCTAGAAAAATCAACACGCTGACATCTCTAATGCGTACTTACATCGAGTAATATATAATCTTTGATATATTACACCAGACCATAAAGATCCGTTGTACCAACTAAATACTGTTGATTTTAAGCAGGGATTTCCAATCCTTTAGCTTTCAATGTTTTATCGGAGAGTGGGACAAAATCGGAGAAAGGGTACACAAACTTCTAATATAAAGGGATTGTACGACGTACGTGTAATTTCAAGTGACCCTCCATGCAAAGATGACAATGATTAATGGAGAAAAAATGGAGAAATTTTTAGAATAAAAACTTATTGAGTCAGTGAAACAATGTTATCTTACATATTTTTAAATCAGAGGATCGGAGAGTATAGAGAATGTTTGTTGATGGCATATGTCCAATGGAGCCTGACGGCAGTAAGTAAGCAAGTAAGTTGTAAATCGAGCATTTCCATCTTTGCATGGAGATCCGGAGGATCACTTGAAATTACGCTTACAGTCCATTTAGGGTAAAGTTTAAGATATTGAAACTGGTTGTAAACCTCTAGAGAAATTCGCCCATCTCCTCACCAGTCCCCACCACCTCCGCCTTACCTCTTGAGGGATTCCTCTATCTTCCCCCTCCCCACCACATCCGCCTTACCTCTAGAGGGATTCCTCCTTCTCCCCCCTCCCCACCGCCTCGTCGCTCTCCAACTGCAGCCTAAACAATCAATGTCAGCTTCGGACCGATTGGGTTAAAATCAACGAGGTTATAGTGTATAGAGTGATGATGAACGATAATCCTTTACTTATTGTATAGGCCATAAACTATCCCGAGAGCGTACTGCATATTTGTTTATTATAAGTTGATTCTGGCCTAACCTATAGTATATCAATATTAGTGTACAGTTATAAGTGTACAGTACAGCTAACTGAGCACACAGGTAGAGAACTATCATCCCCCGTATTTTGTAACATTTTTTGATTTATCGGAAAAATAGTTGTTTTTTAACAATTTTAGTTAAAATTTTGCGACTAAAAGTAGACAATATGTTACTTAATTAACCCAAGGAGAAGTTAAGTAACATAGCATCCCGCTGTTATAGGTCTGTAATGTTGATGAAAAGATCAAAAGGTAGTACTTTTTTTAAAAATTTGAACCTGCATTGTTGCCATACCAAACCTCAGTTTGTCACTCAAATCCTCTATTTTAGCCTCGATCACCTGCAGTTAAACATTTTTAAAATATTAAATGTATTTTTCGAAGTGTAAAATTTATACAATTAGATATAAATGATTTCAACTCTTCTTATTGAAGAGATATTGACAAGAAAAAACATGTTTAAATTTCTGCTAATTAACCAAATAAATTTTATTTTCTCATACTTGTGCATAATAAACAAGAGAAGCTACGAGGTCACAAAGTTGTACCAGAAATGTGCCATGAAGGGGGGTGTAGCCTTTGAGTGCTAAGGCTACCACCTAGGGGGTATTCAGTAATTTCCAATGGAGACTGAGCCCTCTCGGCTCCCTTGGAAAGTTATATTTTGTATACCCCTTAGCTCTTTTAAAAGCATGTAAAAAAGAATTAAAGTTTCTGACATTGAAACCTTAAAAAGTGTTTATTTTTAGGATAACAAAACGAATGAATTTACCATTTTGTATACTTTACTACGCAGTTGAAAACATGTTTGATAAAAATAAACAAAAATTGTTATTCATCCATGAAGTTTTTTCTTAGAAAAAGGTTTTATCAAGTTCACAATTAACCTTTTCTCTTGCTTCTCCATCATGTTCAAGAGCTGCTATTTCATCCAGTAATTCAGATTTAACCTGGAAATGAATTCAGATTTAACCTGGAAATAAATTCAGATTTAACCTGGAAATTCAGATTTAACCTGGAAATTCAGATTTTCCTGAATAGTCAGGTTTAATATAGTTAACTAGCTCTAGTACTCGCATTCTCAGTTTCCATTAGTTTCCTGAATAGTCAGGTTTAATATAGTTAACATAAAAAATAACGATATTTAGTTTAAAATAGAAATATTTTATATGTCGCCTGGCCATAAACCTACAATGAAGTCATTTGAATTACCATATCTTGACATCCTCAATTTAGCCTTTTTGACATTTATTACACACAAACAAACAGACCCTCCTATAAAGACAAACATTTTAATCTAAACTAAAAAAGAAATTAAATTCATCCTGACATTGTCTGGGGTGGGAGGGTTGAATATTCAATAAATAAAAGTCTTGACTGATAAGTGGCGCCACAGACAAAATTTTCTAGAGAGGGAGAACCTCACCCAATTTACCAGGGGGAGGTCCCACCAGGGGGAAGTCCCACCAGGGGGAGGTCCCGCTAGGGGGAGGTCCCCCCCCCACCCCCTTAACCGCCTCTAAAACTTACCTGACTGTGTCAATACTATTATCCAAAGCTATTTTCTGTTTTTCTACTTCTGCTTCAAGTTGTGTCTTCATATCCCTCTCCATTTGACTTCGCAGCCTTAATAAGACAAACTTTGGAGATTTTCATTTGTCGTAATATTCTACAAGAAGCTTTGTAGCAAAGCTGGGACCAAAAATTTAAATTTTAGAGAGACTGCAGACATAATGTAAAGTAAACCTCCGTTCGTGAAGTGACATGTAAACCACAATTCGTGAAGTGACATGTAAACCTCTATGTATTCGTGAAGTGACATGTAAACCTCTATGTATTCGTGAAGTGACATGTAAACCTCTATATATTCGTGAAGTGACATGTAAACCTCTATGTATTCGTGAATGAACATGTAAACCTCTATGTATTCGTGAAGTGACATGTAAACCTCTATGTATTCGTGAAGTGACATTTAAACCTCTATGTATTCATGAAGTGAAATGTAAACCTCTCTATGTATTCGTGAAGTGACATGTAAACCTCTATGTATTCGTGAAGTGACATGTAAACCTCTATGTATTCGTAAAGTGACATTTAAACCTCGATGTATTCTTGAGTGACATGTAAACCTCTATGTATTCGTGAAGTGACTTGTAAACCTCTATGTATTCGTGAAGTGACATGTAAACCTCTATGTATTCGTGAAGTGACATGTAAACCTCTATGTATTCGAGAAGTGACATGTAAACCTCTATGTATTCGTAAAGTGACATGCAAACCTCTATGTATTCTAGAAGTGATGTCTGATTGACAATGGTATCCTTAAAAGCTTGGGTTGTCCACGAAAGATTTATAATTTAAAACTTTTTTTTAAACTTGGAAAATTAATCTTTCTTAAACCAGTTTATTAAAGTGACTTGCGGATATCTTTTATAGAAACAATGAAGAAATTGTCAGATTTAAACATTTTTAAACCAGAAAAAACGACGATATTTTTCATTGCATGCCTTTCTCCAAATGTAGGGTAGAAAAAATATAATATTTATATTAACGCATATAACATAATAGCAGTTAGCAGTAGCACTGTCAATTGATTTTAAACTTTTTAAATTACAAGTCAATTAAATAAAATAACGTTGAAAGTCTCTGAAACTTTTTTCTTTTTTAACATTCTTGAAATGTTTCAAGTTTCAAATAAAAGTGCTATCTCAGAAATAAGATACCCCCCCCCCCCCACCTACTTCTCTTCACATTGTTTATTTATTCTAGAAACTGTTGTTTTCAATTCTTATTGTTGATGCAAGAAAAATAACCAATTAAAATATTATTTTCATAATATTTTTGTCAAAATGAACACAAGATGTCAACACTTAGAAGTTGTAAACAAGGCTTCTCTTAATCTTATTAAAGGGAGTTTAGACATAATTTGAGAGGACTCTCAATTCAAAAAAGAGTTAGCATGTCCGATTAAATATGGTACCTTTAAACTTTAATCAAAATCGTCGCCTAAAACGTTTGAATTCTAAAAATATTCTTCATTGATTTTGCAACATAAACCCGCAATTGTTAAATTTACAGAGCAACCAAAGTTTGATAAAACCAAGTTTTAGATAGCAAAACAAGATTATCTTATTCATCCCTAAGTGGTTTAAATGGTAACGTTGTAAAAAAAAACTTAAATATCACAAAGAACTTAAATATCACAAAAAACTTAAATATCACAAAGAACTTAAAGTCTAGAGGTTAAAAGTTTTCTTGAGTGGATAGAAAACGGTTTTATCTATGTTGTATGTTTAAAAAGCTAGAGGATAGTAAAAAGCGGCAAATATTCTTAATCATTTTTACACTTCTTATTTTCTCCGAAACTCCCTTAAAATACGAAAATACAGTGAGAACCATAAAACCATAGAAGGAAGACGACGCTAAAGCAATTTTTAAAGGGAGTGACCGGCAATGTATGGTAGTTGAACTGAGAATGTGGGGAGAAATTTTTTAGGATTCCTTTAAAACACATTAAACCTTTTAATGATGTATAATTACTGAGTTTGAGCGCAAAGTCGACGTTCAAAATCATCCATTTGAGTGGTGACATTTTCAGAATTGATTTTTTAAATTATTAAATAACGACGACGAAAAAAGTATCAAAAATTCTACATTAACCTAATAAAATGTTCAGGTACATATTTCTCAATAGAAATTTGTCAATAAATCAATGTTATAATAAAATATTTTTTTTTTATCATTATATTGAATTTCTTATTCTTTACGAATTCGTTCTCAGATTTCTACAAATTTTTCAAATGTCGTCTTTTAAAATAAAAATTCTAGAAAATCTACAGAAAATATTTGTGAACAATGAGAGATTACAGAAACTAATAACTGAATAAGATTACTTATTTTCGATGATAAGAGTTAATTTCTAATTTCTCAACGTAGGTTCAAAAACAACAAATTCGTTAACTGTATAGTTTTTGTTACATTGTTTGTCGTTGTTATTTAAAAATTTTAAAAAAATCGATTCTCAAAACGTAACCACCCAAATGGATGATTTGGAAAGTCGGCTTTGCTCTCAGTAATTATGCATCATTAAAACGTTTTATTTGTCTGAAATGAATCCTTAAAAGATTTCTCCACAATGCTACATTCTCAGTACAACTTTTATGTATGCAGAATAAATGCTATCCATCATCCTGCAAAAGTGAATCTTACTCAACATCCATACATTGCCGGTCACCCCCTTTAAGAGTATTTGGTGCTATTGCAGAGCAACCAGCTTTTCTAGTAACTTATGAAATCACTTATTTAATGAAATGGGTCTGTTTACGCAATCTAAGAAATTTTAAATTTTCATCTATCAAAATTTGTTAGAGCACCTGCACCGGCATCAAATTCACCTTAGCAGAATCATTCATCAAAATTTGACGAATGAAGTGAATTTGATGCCGGTTCTCCAACAAATTTTGTTGGATAAAAATTTAAAATTTCTTTGAGTGTCAAATTCCTGTTTTTCCTATTCATTGGACTGTTTAAAGTCATAACTCAAGTCTAATGGTCGTCTTCCTCTTCTGTTTTCTGCAGTTCTGACTGTATAAAATTATTTTTTTACCTTGCAGCCTCAGCCATTTTATTATCCATCTCATCAAGCTTCGTTACAGTCATTTCCTTCAGCTTGGTATCTCTAAAAAAACAAAATGAAGAAACTATAATAATGCAAAAAAATCAAAAAATAGCAATTTTTTCATAATAAACAAAACTCAAGAATGAATAATAATGCAAAAGAACCAGGAATCGATAAATATTCAAATTCAAATCAAGAATCAATGATGAAAATTAATAATCATGCCAAAGCAAGATTAAAGAATGAAGAACAATGATTTCGAATTATTATGCAAAATCTATAATCAAGCAAAATTAACCATAAAAAAATCATTCCGCAATTAAAAAATATTTATTACGCATTCGGAAAAATAAAAAATGTACAAGAATAAACAGTCAAGAATGAATTATTTAATTAGTAAAAAATCTACAATAAAAACGTATTACATTACGCAAAATTAAGAATCAAGAATAGAGAAAGTATTTTACCACGCAAGAAAAATCAAGAATGTATTTTACATTACGAAAAATCACGAATCAACAGTTCAGAATATTACGCGAAATCAAGAATGTATTTTATTACGCACAAAACTACGAATCAACAATCAAAAAGTATTTTATTACGCAACATCGAGAATCAAGAATATTACGCAAAATAAAGAATTTATTTTATTACGCTGAAAATTAAGAATCAACAATTTAAAAAAGTATTTTACTACGCAAAATCAAGAATCAAAATGTACTTTATTACGCAAAATCAAGAATGTTTTTTTTATTACACAAAATCAAGAATATATTTTAAACGCAAAATAAGAAATCAAGAATCAATAATAAAGAATGCATTAAATTAAGCAAAATCAAGTAAAAACATTCATTAATCAAAAATGCTATTTATCACGCAAGTTCAATAATGTATTTTATTACAGCTAGGCAAAATAGCACTTATCGCAAATGTTACCTATACAATACATCTATTGTACACAATTGTATTATACAAAATGTTACCATTTAAGAAATGTTACTAAATCTCCCTTTAATCCACTAACTGACTCAGTAAGGATTATTCAGAATTGTTATCTTCTAAAAAGCCCCTTCATTAAAGTACCTTTTATTCCACTTAAAAATAAAAACATCAAAAGTATAAGCACATTCTACGTATTAAGGAATATTCCATCAACCAGTATCAGACTCAGTACACTTCTACGCATTAAGAAATATTCCATCAACCAGTATCAGACTCAGTACACTTCTTCTACGCATTAAGAAATATTCCATCAACCAGTATCAGACTCAGTACACTTCTACGTATTAAGAAATATTCCATCAACCAGTATCAGACTCAGTACACTTCTACGCATTAAGAAATATTCCATCAACCAGTATCAGACTCGATACACTTCTGTTTGTACAGCTGATATCTGCATAATAATCTTACCTCTCATCTAGAGTCCGTTCCAGATCAGTTTGTACAGCTGATATCTGCATAATAATCCTACCTCTCATCTAGAGTCCGTTTCAGATCAGTTTGTACAGCTGATATCTGCATAATAATCTTACCTCTCATCTAGAGTCCATTTCAGATCTGTTTGTACAGCTGATATCTGCATAATAATCTTACCTCTCATCTAGAGTCCCTTTCAGATCTACTTGTACAGCTGATATCTGTATAATAATCTTACCTCTCATCTAGAGTCCGTTTCAGATCTGTTTGTACAGCTGATATCTGCATAATAATCTTCTGTTTCTCTGCGCTACCAAGACCAGCCTGTTCCCGAGCCCGGGTCTCCTAAAGTATAAACCAGTAAAGGTGCAGTGACTCCAAAGCTAAAAACTAAATATCTCCATAATCTTTGATCAGCTATGTACCCTGGGCCAAGGATAGCTGGAGAAAAAAATGTGAGAATTTTGTTCTACACGGTTTAACACCTTCACATAAAGATTTGTTCCGTCAGTTGATAATTTGAAGGAACAAAGTTTCTGCAACAAATTCTAGCTTTTCAATCCTTTTATATTTTCAATCCGATGTCATAGAACTTTAATACTTCAAGCTAAGAGTTCTGTCAGATCCAAGTTTGAAATATTAAAAATTTACACCATCAGGTCGCAAAGATAAAGGAATAAAAAAAATGAGTGAGTGGCAAAAACTTCGTGCAATATCAAATGAATTCCAATCTAGTAGATTTTTGACCAAATAACGAAATTAATGAATAAAACTAAAACGTATATATTCATTAAAATTTTCTTATTATGGTTTAGCAATAAAAAACGTTAGTCAGATTTATAGATGGCCTTCATACTTTCCCATATTCTGTTTTGATAAATTTTCTTATTTTTTGCAGATTTGAGGGAATACAAATGAAAACCTAAATATGACAAAAGCTGTGAACTTTTGAATTGAATACCATTAATCCTGATCGCTTAATCTGAATATCCATTGTGGACACTTTTAATTTCCTGCTTAATCTGCTCTTGTTCTCTCATTTTGAATATCGCTATCAGATTTCGACCCATGAGAGTTCCCTCGTTAAATGGCGCGTAAAATTTCAAATTTCCCGGCTTCTGATTTGCCGTTCTGAATTCTGCATACACTAATATATAGGTTGAATTTTTATTATTCTAAAGTTATCTTTAGAATAATAATAATAGGAGATCAAGCATTGATCTTTAAAAAGAGAAGATCAAGCATTGACCTTTAATAAGAGGAGATCAAGCATTGATCTTAATATCCACAATTCTAAAGTTTTCAGCTCAAGTTCCTTATTTTACATGCATTGTCAATCCTAACTAAAACATGTTGGTAAGATTTCCTTTAAAACATTGAACAGAGCTGCAGAGACCTGTTGTATTGTGGATAGTGGTCAATTGATCTCAATCTTGGCTAATCTGCAGATTAATTTAATCTTTATTCGATATCTCGGATGGTAACTTTAACCTGTAGGAAAACTGAAATCAAAGATTTATCATTGACTCTTAAATTAAAAGTTCCCAGAGTGAATATCAAGATCAAGCGATCAGGATTCTGAATGTTCAACACAAAAGTTACCAAGACTTTATATTATGAAAAAAAGATTGGAAGATTCCAGAAAATAATTCTGAGCATTGTTTTATATTATTTCACAATCCCAAATATTTTTAAATGAAAATAAAAGATTTGGGTGTAAATTCAACCATCATTAATTACGAATATATTTACTTTAAAAAAAGAGTTCTTCCTTCTATATAAAGAAAATCATTATCATTCATTCCGGATGTATTTTGAGTATAAAACATTAAACTAATCTTTTCAAAAGAATCCATTCAAAAAGTAATTTCTGTAAAGTAATGAATTTACGTGGCACAAAAATGAATAAAATCTCTAAAAACTATTTGATAGATATTTCAGTTTCTGTATGCATGGTAGAAATACACAATTTACTGTTTTTCTACGGCTCCAATGGGAAGAATACTCGTTAAACCATTATCTGAGTAATAATGAGGAAAATATTTACTATTTCAATCTTGAAAACTGTGGAATTCCGGCAATTAGCTTCCGGTCACAATCTCAGTCATTTACAGTTTACACAAAGAAAACACGATTTAAAGTAATTAATTTTCAATTCAAAAAAGGTTTAAAGGGAACCGTTGTGAATCGATATTCAACTCTGTATAATGAAGGGGGGGGGGGGTCTTGAAATAATGCCTACAGTTCTACAACAACAACAAATTTTGATAAAATAAGTCTGTCTGAAAAACCGTGACAGTTCCACAAATCCTAATATGAAAGTACCCTCTCAACATTTATCAAATCAATAATGTTGAATATATCTTCGTTTTCTAGATTAAAACGCACAAATGCGCTATTCACCATAGAAAAACGACGAATAAGAATATCCCAAGAAAATATGTCAAATATTTCATGCTTTCTTGATAAAACAAAGCTTTTAACGGTACCGTTGTGAATCAGACATTACTCTAAATAAATAGAGGAGTCACTTGAAATTATGTCTCTTAAAAATTGTATTTTTAACAATCAAGTATCTAGATCAAATATTTTGCAAAAATTAAGCAAAATATGCAAAGTATCTTATAAAGAAATCTTAGGTATTAGTGTAATATTTGTTTTGTGTTTTTAAAAATATAAAAATGTAGAAAACCTTGATGAAAAATAAATCTTATTTTCTAAAGAATATTCCTTGAAATACATATTTTCTATTATTATTATCACAAAATTCACACAAACATTTACAAAGGGCTACAGTTTCTTGAAGGATTATTTATTATTGCTGGAATTTATTTTAACAAAGTTTTAACAAAGGTTTCCAGTCAAAATAATAAGTTTTCTATGAAATTTAGTTCTAGAGCCAAGATAAATTTATAAAAAATTATGTAAAATAATTGGAAAAATTAACGATCAATGACCTTTCATGATTTGATATAGAATTTTCAGCCCTAGGTTGAAATCTTTCAAATTTTTCATCTAATGAGTGATATGTCCTTTTTTCAAGGTTGACCCATAAACTTCATTTCTCGGGCTGAAAATTAAGCGTCAGGAAACACCAAGTAATGCACCTCTAAATTGTGACACAAAACTATATTTATATATACTAATAGAAAGCTTAGTATATATATATTGTACTAAGCTTTCAGGGGGCATCTTTTCTTGTACAATATAAAACAACAACAAAAAAGTTCGCGATTTCAATATTTTTTTGCACATTTTTTGACCCAAATTTTATAATTTTGAGGATCCAAAAAGCTTTCCCAGGGTTAGGCTGAGGTGTCCGGAAAGCGCAAACAACATTATATATAAAAAAATTATTCTAGGGAAAAACAAAGTTAAAATACACGAAACATCTGACAAAAAGCATCGAAATTGTTACAAATAGAATCCCAATTTTACCGTACTATAGTATAGCTAACACTTTCATGAATAAATATATAAATATATGTTCATATTAGGATTTTAGGTTTCAGAGTGGGAGTAATATTTTCCTGATGAAGCCAAATTAAACTGAAATGAAACCAAATCTGTTCAATGTTTCGGAAACATATGTGAAGTCAAAAAATGTTTAAAAATGAAATACCTTAAGTAAAAGGGGTTTTTTAAACCATTTTGTTACGGGTTGTTAGCGAGATCCTTTAAAATATCTAGAATTTATTTATTTTAGTTTTTAGATTTAAAAACAATAGTTTATGTTTTATTTTAATTCGCTAGAAAAAATGTTTTCTTTATTTAAATTAGATCAATTAATAAAGATTGACAGTCTTAAAAGATTTGTTTTTGCTTATAATTTTCTACTTCTGTAAATTTGATATTCTGAAATTCTGTTCTATGGGGCCCCGGGATTTTGTATATCTGTAGTTTTGTAATTTTACAATTCTGTAATTTTTTAAATTATGAATTCCAAAACTTGGTGAATTTTAATTTTTAAAATTTTAAAATCTATAGATCTAAAATTATGTAATTTTCTATTTATGAAGTTCTGTGATTTGGTAAGTTTATTAATTTATGAATTTGTAATTTATTATTTTTCTAATTTCCAACCTGTTCTCGTGTTTCCGCTTCTCGCTTCCTATCCCGGTCAGACAAATCGGAAACCAGACCAGTAATACGGGAATTCACCTAAATTATAAATTATCTATACTATCATAAGTATATACTAGCTAAAGTGCCCTGCGTTGCCCGTGGAACTTTTATTTTTGAATTTTCAAAAGAAAAAATTCGATTTTTGAAAAAAAATCTATTTATATTAATTTGTTAGTCTATTTTACTTCGAGGTTACCCATGGGTTCTTTCAAATATTATCAGCCGGTTCAGCCGTTTGGCCAGCTATAGCTAACATATTTATATCTACAAATATATATATTTATATATATATATTGTGTATATGTATATATGAAAGAAAAGATTTTTTTATGTTCGCTTTTTAGGGAACCCATGAGTACCCCGGGGGTGACATACTTTCAAAATTCTAAGTTGAGTAAGTTGACTTTAACAGGGAAAACTTAGTTTCCAGATAAAGCTGGGTTCCCAAGCTAGTCTATATAATAAATCTCTTCGCTCATATATATATTTGCATATTTGTGTATTTTATCGATTTTTTTTTCAAAATTCAAATTTTTTAAGTATTTCTAAATTTCCACGTAAAAGTATATATTTGAAAGATATTAATTATCTCCTAGGATCTAAAGTTTAATCTCAATTATTACTTCAACCGAAGTTTTCAAAATATTGACGTTATTTAAAATTTAAAACGTGACTAACCAGTAAAACTAAAATCTTGCACATTTGAAATTATGAAAAATAGGCAGAACAGAAAATCAAAGTTTGGTTTTTAGGAGTTTAAAATAAAACGCTGCTCATTTTTAATGTGATATTGTGTCACAATACAACTTTACAGCTGTAAAGAAAATATTACTACCCGCCCCTCCCCCTCCTCCCCCTTCTGTCATTTAGAATACGTGTCATATCTTCAAAAAAAGTTAATTTCAAGTTGATGTGTAAAGTGGCACGTTAGATTTACTACTGTACAATGCAAACCTTTGTCTGATTATCCAGGATGAAAATATTAATATTTTTCTGGATGAGAATTTATTAAAGGGTGATTTCAGTTAGAATTTCCTGGCATTAGATTTTAAGCTAAAGAAATATAACTCCATGATCCTTGATCAGAATAAGTATTCAAGGGTAACCTTGTGAATCCTTGATCAAAACAAGAATTCAAGGGTACCCTTGTGAATCCTTGATCAGAACTGCAAGAATTCAAAGGTACCCTTGTGAATCCTTGATCAGAACAAGAATTCAAGGGTACCCTTGTGAATCCTTGATAAGAACAAGAATTCAAGGGTACCCTTGTAAATCCTTGATCAGAACAAGAATTCAAGGGTACCCTTGTGAATCCTTGATCAAAACAAGAATTCAAGGGTACCCTTGTGAATCCTTGATCAGAACTGCAAGAATTCAAAGGTACCCTTGTAAATCCTTGATCAGAATAAGAATTCAAGGGTACCCTTGTGAATCCTTGATCAGAACAAGAATTCAAGGGTACCCTTGTGAATCCTTGATAAGAACAAGAATTCAAAGGTACCCTTGTGAATCTTTGATCAGAACAAGAATTCAAGGGTACCCTTGTGAATCCTTGATCAAAACAAGAATTCAAGGGTACCCTTGTGAATCCTTGATCAGAACTGCAAGAATTCAAAGGTACCCTTATAAATCCTTGATCAGAATAAGAATTCAAGGGTACCCTTGTGAATCCTTGATCAGAATAAGAATTCAAGGGTACCCTTGTGAATCCTTGATAAGAACAAGAATTCAAGGGTACCCTTGTGAATCCTTGATTAGAATAAGAATTCAAGGGTACCCTTGTGAATCCTTGATCAGAACAAGAATTCAAGGATACCCTTGTGAATCGGCGATACTGTTCCTCATAGGGAGGGTCACTTGACAATTAATTAATTTTTAGTGTATTTTAGAATTCAAATCAGAGAAAAAATAATTCTTCAAACTTTTCTCTGAGATAAATTAATGATTCAGAACTTTTCCAGTAAAAAAATCAATAAACTTAGAAAACTTTGTGTATAGCAACGCAATGGTTAGTTTGTATTTCTCAATTAAAGATATAAAACTTGTTTATGATTGTGGTTATAAAACTGTTTTAGAATTACATATCGTTAAAACATCTTAAAAGTTTGTTCCCTAAATTTAGTAAGAGTTCTTGTAAGAGTTTATAGAAAATAATTACTTCGTATAAGCATAACTCATGAACCCATTGACCGATTTGCATCAAATTTTAATTGACCAACTCGTTAGAACCACAAGAATATTCTAAACTTGGGTTAACAATTCGGAGCTTGGATTAAAAATTCTGAGCTTGGTTTAAAAATTCTGAGCTTGGGTTAAAATTCTGAGCTTGGGTTAAAAATTCTGTGCTTGGGTTAAAATTCTGAGCTTGGGTTAAACATTCTAAGCTTGGGTTAAAAATTCTGAGCTTGGGTTAAAATTCTGAGCTTGGGTTAAAAATTCTGTGCTTGGGTTAAAATTCTGAGCTTGGGTTAAACATTCTAAGCTTGGGTTAAAAATTCTGAGCTTGGGTTAAAAATTCTGATTTTGAGTTAAAAATTCGAAATTAAGTATGTTGAATTTTTTAGAGAAAGTTTAGAATCCAGGAAAAGCTGGTTTCCCAAGCTAGGTATTTCTATGCGCGACTCAAAATTGATATTTCTATGACGGAGTTTAATTCTATTTTCAATATATATGCATAAACTCGCAATTCTTTTACATTCTTAAAACTTCACAACCCTAAAAATACTTCTTTAATCCCTTATTTTCTGAACATAAATAAATCCCTTTTATTACCTTCTTGATTATGATATCCATTATTTTCTAAATTTTGATCATTCTCTTTAAAGGGATTGAAAGCGTAATTTCAATTAGCAATCTCGCAAAGATGAATTAGATAATAATAATCTTTCATAATTTTGAAAACTGATTGTTTTTAATTGTGGGCTCTCTACAAAATCAACTTTAGCATTTCTACTGCAAGAAAACAAATATGAATTATTAGAACTAGGGTTTCCTATCAGAATTCTGTTGCGCGGAATTGCGCTTGAATTGTGCGGAATTGCGAGGGAATACAGAATTATCAAGGGCGCGGAAGAAAAATCCAATTGCTATGGAAAACCGACGACATCTTCCACATTATTGGTCAGATAAATGTTTCAAGGGTACCCTTGTGAATCAGGCATTCTCATCTTTGCATTAGAGGTCACTTGAAATTACGCTTAGACTTCGTTTAAATACCTCATCTAGGTCGATATCCCTCTCTCTCTTCTCTTGGTTGAGTTTAGAAGATAAATCCAAGATTGTCTGCTGACACTGAACATTATTTATAAATTTTAGTTTTTATCAAAATAAAAAGTTTATATTACACATTGGACGTATACTTACCTGCATTATTTTAGCTTCCAGCATTGCTCTTTGAGTTTCTGTCATTCTCCCTTCCTGTTTACACCCAGTTGAAGTTAGTTTAAGTAAAACACAAAAATTCATTTTTTAAACGGAAATATGTAAGGGTTGATTCAATCTTGTTTTAAATATATTTTTGCTCATTAAAACTTAAAATTACGCGGCAGTGAAGATCTGGCATTTTCTAGATTTTTCCAGTTTTCCGTCAGTTTTGAAGGTGGGTGTATACTGTATAGTTAGTGTTAGACAATCCAGGCGTCTAGAAAATCTACACCGTCTAAATCGAGGGGAGCAAGTGAGTCACAATTTCTGAACTTTTTTCCTCCGAGCCACTAGAATTTCCCTGGAAGGGGCTGGTTCAATTGGTATACTGTACTGGTAAAATCTTTATGTGTACTGTAGTACAGCTCGCTCTAGCTGGTTAGATGTCGGCCTGGTTCATCAGCTCGCTCTAGCTGGTTAGATGTCGGCCCGGTTCATGAAGTTAACTGGACTTCACCGTGGAGTCACATTCAAAGTTTTTTCCAATTCATTTTAAGTTTCATCAGAGCTTAAGTTTTAACCAAGGTGTATGCTGCCATTTGGGAAACTTAAATCTCTTGTGCGTACGTAATACGCATTCTGCCTAGAAGGGGCTGTCCCGTTTTTCCTTATATGGTCTAAATGTGTACTCTACAGCATTCTCTATCATGCTTAAAAGTCAGCCCAGTACTTGAACTGAAATTATGACAATTCTTATGACAATTTTTATGCAATGCATTACCGACTTGATTTAAAAAAAAAAATTTCACTGACTAATGAATTAAATCACAAGGATGAGCATTAAAAGATGGCTCAGATGAATAAATTTGGATAATGTGGCTCAGACGTAAAGAAATGATAAATCTGCCCTTCCTCCCCTCATTGAACCGCATGAACCGAATACAAATGAAATGAATTAAATTCATGGTTTAACAAAACTCATTTCTTCCTCCCTTCTCTCCATCTTCAGGTTTTCCAAGCCTAAAAAAGAATAAAAAAATATAAAGGGATCGTTCATCATTATTAAATTAATTTTAAGTAATTCTTCAATTAACCATTATAACAATCAACGATTTTCGCCGGTTTTTTGAATACTTTAAGAATATCAACCTCAAATAAGCTGAAACGTGTTCTGCAGTAATCTGCAGTGCTCTGACCGAAGATATATTTTTACATTTTTGTTTGTTCACCTTGAACTTTGAAACTTGTCCATCATAGCTCCCTGGAGTTTAACTGCCCCTTGAAAATCCTGAACTTCTAGCTGAAGAGTGTCAACTTTACCATCTAGTTCTCTAACCTAAACAAAATATATTCTAGGCGACATTTTCTCTTTGTAGATCTCAAAGTTATGGATTTTTCTATTTACAATGTTGGATATTCAAAAATATTAAAAATGAAAAGCGTTGCTTGCCTAATTGTTTAATTTGGGAAAACATTTTGATATTAACAAACAGACAAGCAATATAAATATATGTAGTGATTCAGCAATTACAGCGACATGTAAAACGCGACTTAAAATTAACAGAACAACCTTTTATCTGAAAATCATCATCATTTCGGACTCCATCAGAAGAGAATTATGAGGCTCGGATTGAGAAATAATGCGGATTGCCCTCCCCCCCTCGTTTACCTCTGGTTTGCCCTACCCCCCTCGTTTACCTCTGGTTTACCCTACCCCCCTTGTTTACCTCTGGTTTACCCTACCCCCCTCGTTTACCTCATCTCGAATCAAGTAGCAAGTCTTCTCTAACGTCTCTTTGTTCTGCTGAACTTGATTCAGTTTCAATCCAAGTTCCTGAAAATAACACTCTGTTAGAATACTCTATCGTTATGGTCGACCTATTAAAAACCGTTTAACCTATCACCACTCCTGATTAGGGTTTCCAGCGAACGAAAACTTTTGCGTAAAATTGCAAACATTTTTGATTCATATTTCGCAAACTTTTTTGCGAAAGAACCTGTCAAATCATTCGTTGGGATGTTTAGAAAGATGAAAATTTCCCTGTATGATAATTGAAGGACTGCAGTATGGTTTTGGTGAATTATATTGACGTACTAAGCCTAGGGGTGTCAGAAATGATTTTTTTTGCAGTTTTTTGAAAACGTCCAATAAACCTAAAAAAGTTTAATTTTGATAAAAAAAAAAAAAAAAATTTTGTTTTTTTTCGCGAAATGTGTGCGAAACAGATTTCAGCGAAATTTCGCGAAAAAGGGGGGAATTTTCAAATTTTTTGCGAGCGAACGAAAAACAAAATTTTTGGCGAAATTTTTTTCGCAAATCGATTACCTTTTCGCTGGAAACCCTACTCCTGATAAAATTTCAAGTATAAGATGTGAAATCCTATTGGCTGGATATCAAAATGCTGTAAATAAGACAACAGAACAGTATTGATATATATTTTATTTCATTATACTTTATCAGATAAGACTTTTAATCGTAATTTTGTAAATCGCGCAAATTGCCATCTTAGAATAGAGGGTCACGTAAATTTACGCTATACAGAATATTTTCCCTTTTAAGCTTCTAGTCGTTCACATGTAAACCGTATAGAAAAGCTGTAGAAAATAACTCAATCTAATAAAGGAATTGGATAAAAAAGAATATTTTCTTACCGCTATTTTTGTAGCTTGCTGATCTTTTTTAGTCAAAATATCTTGCTGAGACAGATTAACTGCTCTCTCGATATTCTTAAAAAAAATGTTTTTAAATCCTTGAATTATGGTTCGATCTGAATATCTCTCAAACCAGTAGTTGATCCAGCCAGACAAATCTAATCTAAACACCTACTCTATTCATAAATTTCCAACTCTGAGGTTAAAAGTTTTTTTTATATTTTGAAAGAAAGAACAGCTCATTCAATCTATGGTCTGAATTAATAAGTCAACTCTGGACCCCACCCACAATTTCTCAGGTTAAGATAGATAGATAATGGCGGGGGGTGACGGAAGCTCAAGGGAAATTTCTGAAGATTTTACCTGTGTATGGGATATAAGCTGTGAAAGAGCATTCTTGTTTTCTCTTGAAGAATCTTCTACTCTTCTCAGCCTGTCATCTATATCAGCTAATCGTCCAGCGGTACCTTTAACATTTTAGAAAATCACAAATAATAATAGGAAATCCACAAAATCTTCAATTGTCTGGTTTGAAATGTGCTGAAAATACTCGTTAGCTTTAGATTTTTCAAAAAAAACTGCAAGGTCTAAAATGTTAAATAAAAAATATTGTTTAACATAAATTTGCATTAATTTGTATTTTGTAACATTTTGGCTCTCACAACAAATGAGGTCAAATTTGAACTAATAAAATTACGCAAAATCGCGGCGTAATTTCGCGAAATCAAAATTCCACTATTTACGCGTAATTATTCCAAAATTTTGCGAAATTACCTTGTAGAAATTACACAAAACTAGGGTGTAATTTTGCAAAATTGAAGTTTTGGTAATTACGCATAATCATTACAACATTTCGCGAAATTACGTTGTAGATATTACCATATTTTTAAGGAGCCCCTTGAAAGCTAAAAAAACTTACAATATTTAAAAACATCAAAAACAAAAATATTCCAGGTGCAGGGGCGGCAACTGAACAGGGTGGAGTATTCTTTGAAGCAATTGTTCACCCCTGGAATATTCTGGGGGGGGGGGAGGGGGTTAAAATTTTTATATCCTATGAGGACACTTTTGAAGTTTAAGATAAGTTTGTGATCCCTTAATTTAAGGTTTTTTGCATGATACAGGGTGTCCCAAAAAACATGGGAATTCTGTGACGAATTCAATATCGTCTTTGTTATGAATTAGCATTGTAATACCTAACTTCAAAAGCCATAATATTTTTATGTCTGCTAGAGTTTATTTTATGAAAAGAGTAAAAGACTGTAAAGATGTGTCTATAATGTCTCCGCAAGATGAACAGTGAAGACGGACAAGTTTAATCTGTTTGTATACTGCAATTTTATTATTTTACTAAGTAAAACCGTATGCAGTCAAAAAATAAACAAACAAAATGTGAACATAGCAGACAAAACTTTTATAGATTATAGCTTTCTCAGTAGGTATCACTATACTAAATCAAAGAATTATTTTAAATGACGATATCGAATTCGTCACTGAATACCCATGTTTATTGGGACACCCTGTATTACCACCACAGGATATTTAAAAAAATCCATTTAAAATTGTTTAATGTTAAATATAAATTGTTTAATGTTAAATATAAACTAAAAACCTTGAATGGCCGTTTCCAATCTCATTCGTTGACTTTTCTCCTCATTGACAGCTTGTTCACTTTTCTTTAACTCAAGCTGAAATATTCAATATATGCTACGTATAAAGTAGTAATCTCTGTTTGTTTGTATGTCCGATCAAAACTCATGAACTCCTTAATCAATATACCTCAAACTTTGAGCGGGTCAATTCCTGTTTCAACTGTAACCTGTATGAGCACAATAGCCCGGAATAAGGATGTAACCCCTTAAGCTCTAATACAGACCCAGAGCTAAGCGCAGATAGTTCTACATTGATGCGACCCCTTCAGTCCTCATATGGACCCGGAGCTAAGCTCGGGTAGGTAGTAGTCCGGCCTATTCGCATGACAGCTTATTAGCTCTTTTGTATATAGCTATAGGTCGGACAGAAAGTGGGGAGGATGACAAGAACCCTCGTGTATAATGTATTCAGAGTCTGTTCGTTAAAAGATGCCATCCAGAAATCATGCTTTCAACGAGTGGAAAATTCCCGCCGCCGTTAAACTCTCTATTTAAAACTCAGGTCAACTTATAAGGCCATGAGGCTTACACACAAGATCGAGGGAGCGGAAAATAAGGTTTGCAAGACTAAAACCAAAATGGAGTGAGTGTCCACGAAGAATCGAAAGGAATAGGCGGAGTAAAGGGGGAGGGTCTGCCAAAGAGCTTCAGCTTTCTTCGATTCATTAGAATCAACCATTATTTGTCCTATTTTTACATAGTAAATACATTTTTTCCTATACTCTGTAAACTTATTCACATCATTTTTAGGCTTTAGAAGATTTATGATGATTAAACTCAATGATGAAACAAGTAGCAGCAAAAAACCGTTAGGTTAAGGATCAAACTGAAATTTAATACTTTCTTAACGTTATGCTACGTTATAATTTAGATAATGTAACACTCAGCCTTAAGTTACCGTAAAATGTTAACGTTAGGTTTGAGTTCCTGTAATGTTAAACATTTAACGTTAACTCTAGGTATGAGCTCTTAAAACGTAAACTTTATGTTGACGTAACATACAATATCCAAACCTTTCTTATTTTTGAAACGAAACATGCAAAAACATGACTATTACGTTATATAATTGTTAACATCTCTTTTACAGATGTCCTCTTTAAAACGAGACGTTCATTGGGGTCTCCATAGTACTCCAATGATGATAATTTTTTTCCAAACTCAAAATCGTGCGGCTTGTTCTAACAGTGCGGTTTGTTTTTACAGTGCATACAAAAAATGGTGATACTCATAATAACCCAGTACTAAGTTCAGTTAGAAGCCAGCTGTACAATTTGGCTACCCACCCCCCCCTCCCTTTTCTTTAAAACAAATCTAGGTTTAATAATGTGTGCCAGTGTTAAAGAAATCACGTTCTATACAAGTTCCGTGGGATATTTATAGAAATGAATACTTTAACATTTTTACGATTAATTAAACTTATTCAGCTATTCTCTGATCTAGTCTATTGAAAACCCTGAATGAAAATACGTGAAAAGAAAATAATTTAAATTTTTTATCATGACAATAAAAATATATTTCTACATTTATACTCTAATAAAAGACTTAGTTTTAACTTTCAAGTTAAGAGAAACAGCAAATTTTAATTTGCTTAAAGTTTTTTTTTCGTGTAATCCACTCTTTATTGATTCAAACACTTTCATGATTAACTTATCTAGAAAAACATAAAGATTATGTCGAACCAAATTTAAATTATACAAGCTTGGAAACCCGGCGCTGCAGGTTACTCATAGGAAATCCCGCAGTTTACCCGCACTTAGTCGATTTTTCCAGGGAACTAAACTATCGCTAATGAAGTCGACCCACTCAACTTAGAATCTGAAAACTAGGGTAATAACATTCTTGTGATTCGTCCAGACTTCCCACTCAAAATTGTAGGCAAATCGGCCCTGGGGTTCCTGAGTTATGATCGAACAAACAAACAAACAAACACCCAGACAAACAGATATTACAACTTTAGCTTTTTCCGAAAAATGACGCACAACGGACAAAGATAAATCGGGAAAAAAATGAAGAAATTTGTACTTCTTTTAAATTCTGAATTAGAACAGATATTGTCTAAATTTTTGTAACTTATGAAAACAAAATAAAGAGCATAATGTTGGATAGCATAGATTCTTGAATTATAAGATGAATTGATACACCCTGTACCTAGAAACCATTTTTATAGATGGACATTACCTGTACCTTGAAATCCTGTTTCATTGGGACACCCTGTTCTTTGAAATCCTGTTTAAATTGGGACACCCGGTACCTTTAAATCCTGTTTATACTGAGACACCCGGTACCTTGAAATCCAGTATATATTGGGTCAACCTGTATCTTCAAAATACTATTTTATTGGGACGCCCTGTACCTTGAAATTTTGTTTTTATTGAGACACCCTGTACCTAAAAATTCTGTTTATATTGGTACACCCTGTACCTTAAAATCCTGTTTATATTGGGACACCTTGTACCTTAAAATCCTATTTATATTGGTACACCCTGTACCTTAAAATCCCGTTTATATTGGGACACCCTGTACCTTAAAATCCCGTTTATATTGGTACACCCTGTAACTTAAAATTCTGTTTATATTGATACACCCTGTACCTGAAAATCCTGTTTATATTGGGACACCTTGTACCTTAAAATCCGATTTATATTGGTACACCCTGTACCTTAAAATCCCGGTTATATTGGTACACCCTGTACCTTGAAATCCTATTTATATAAGTACACCCTGTACCTTAAAATCCTGTTTATATTGTGACACCCTGTACCTTAAAATCCCGTTTATATTGGTACACCCTGTACATTAAAATCCTGTTTATATTGTGACACCCTGTATCTTAAAATCCCGTTTATATTGGTACACCCTGTACCTTAAAATCCTGTTTATATCGGTACTCTCTGTACCTTAAAATCCTGTTTATATTGGGACACCCTGTTCCTTAAAATCCTGTTTATATTGGTACACTCTGTACATTAAAATCCTGTTTATATTGTGACACCCTGTACCTTAAAATCCTATTTATATTGGGACACCCTGTACATTAAAATCCTGTTTATATCGGTAAACCCTGTACCTTAAAATCCTGTTTATATCGGTTCACCCTGTACCTTAAAATCCTGTTTATATTGGTACACCCTGTACCTTAAAATCCTGTTTATATTGGGACACCTTGTACCTTAAAATCCTATTAATATTGGTACACCCTGTACCTTAAAATCCCGTTTATATTGGTACACCCTGTACCCTAAAATCCTGTTTATATTGGTACACCCTGTACCTTAAAATCCTGTTTATATTGGTACACCCTGTACCTTAAAATCCTGTTTATATTGGTACACCCTGTACCTTAAAATCCTGTTGCATTTTCATCATTTGCTCTAGGATTGCTCGCTGACCGCTCTCATGCTTATTCAGTCGTTGATCCATATTATCCACTTTCCGACCTAAAAGATTGTTTTCTGATTTCATCAATTTCTAAGAGAGAGTCAAATTTAAAGTGAATTGGTCCTTGATTTTACTTCCCAATCTAAGTTATATTTAGAACATAAATTTACGTATAAACTGTTAACCATTTGTTTTTAGTTGTTGAGATGTAATTGTCCAAATATTTAGTTGTTAAGTGTCCAAATGTTTAGTTGTTAAGAAGCTATTGTCCAAATATAATTAATTGTTAAGAAGCTATTGTCCAAATATTTAGTTGTTAGGAAGCTTTGTCCAAATATTTAGTTGTTAAGACGCTATTGTCCAAATATTTAGTTGTTAAGAAGCTATTGTCTAAATATTTAGTTGTTAAGAAGCTATTGTCCAAAAATTTAGTTTTTAAGAAGATATTGTCCAATTATTTAGTTGTTAAGTGTCCAAATGTTTAGTTGTTAAGAAGCTATTGTGCAAATATAATTAGTTGTTAAGAAGCTATTGTCCAAATATTTAGTTGTTAAGACGCTATTATCCAAATATTTAGTTGATAGGAAGCTATTGTCCAAATATTTAGTTGTCAAGAAGCTATTGTCCAAATATTTAGTTGTTAAGTGTCCAAATGTTTAGTTGTTAAGAAGCTATTGTCCAAATATAATTAGTTGTTAAGAAACTATTGTCCAAATATTTAGTTGTTAAGACGCTATTGTCCAAATATTTAGTTGTTAGGAAGCTATTGTCCAAATATTTAGTTGTTAGGAAGCTATTGTCCAAATATTTAGTTGTTAAGAAGCTATTGTCCAAATATTTAGTTGTTAAGAAGCTATTGTCCAAATATTTAGTTGTTAAGTGTCCAAATATTTAGTTATTAAGACGCTATTGTCAGAATATTTAGTTGTCAGGAAGCTATTGTCCAAATATTTAGTTGTTCAGAAGCTATTGTCCAATGTTTAGTTGTTAAGAAGCTATTGTCCAAATATTTAGTTGTTAAGACGCTATTATCCAAATATTTAGTTGTTAGGAAGCTATTGTCCAAATATTTAGCTGTTAACAAAAACAGAGGGTCTGAGGAGGTCGGCCCGGCGTCTAAGACTAGGTTTCAGACTCTAAGATTCTACCCGGGTATTGTCCAAATATTTAGTTGTTAAGTGTCCAAATATTTAGTTATTAAGACGCTATTGTCAGAATATTTAGTTGTCAGGAAGCTATTGTCCAAATATTTAGTTGTTAAGAAGCTATTGTCCAAATGTTTAGTTGTTCAGATGTAATTGTCCAAATTTTTAGTTGTTAAGAAGCTATTGTCCAAATGTTTAGTTGTTAAGAAGCTATTGTCCAAATGTTTAGTTGTTAAGAAGCTATTGTCCAAATATTTAGTTGTTATGAAGCTATTGTCCAAATATTTAGTTGTTAAGAAGCTATTGTCCAAATATTTAGTTGTTAAGAAGCTATTGTCCAAATATTTAGTTGTTAGGAAGCTATTGTCCAAATATTTAGTTGTTATAGGAAGCTATTCTTCAAATATTTAGTTGTTAAGAAGCTTTTGTCCAAATATTTAGTTGTTAGGAAGCTATTGTCCAAATATTTAGTTGTTAGGAAGCTATTGTCCAAATATTTAGTTGTTAGGAAGCTATTGTCCAAATATTTAGTTGTTAAGAAGCTATTGTCCAAATATTTAGTTGTTAAGACGCTATTGTCCAAATATTTAGTTATTAAGACGCTATTGTCCAAATATTTAGTTGTTAGGAAGCTATTGTCCAAATATTTAGTTGTTAAGAAGCTATTGTCCAAATATTTAGTTGTTAGGAAGCTATTGTCCAAATATTTAGTTGTTAAGAAGCTATTGTCCAAATATTTAGTTGTTAAGACGCTATTGTCCAAATGTTTAGTTATTAAGACGCTATTGTCCAAATATTTAGTTGTTAAGACGCTATTGTCCAAATATTTAGTCGTCAAGAAGCTTTTGTCCAAATATTTAGTTGTTAAGACGCTATTCAGGTGCATTTAATGGTTCTGTCAATATTCCAGAAAGCTATGATTTTTGATCACAATTTCTCCTATTAACACAATTTTTCAGCCTTCTTTCTTAAATTAATTTTTGTCGGCATATACTTTTTGAATAAAAAGTTTTAAACAAATAAATCCGTAACTTTAAAGATTGTTAAAATATTAACCAAAACGAGTATGATTTCAAATAGAAGAAACCGAATGCCTGTAACACTGGCAAGTCAGGAGTCTATTGTCCAAATATTTAGTTGTTAAGAGAGAGCTTTTAACGTTAGGATCACAACTGTTTATCCCGGTATTTCGGAGACATCAAAAGAATTTATAAAATTTCGTCTTGACAATTTTTCAATAGGTTTCCAGGGGCGTCCAAGGGGAGGCAGGCCCCCGCCCCCCCCCCCCTGAGGGAGGGTACCCATGGGGGGCTCTTCTAATATTACATCTGCTTGCATTTCTTTTATCAGGCAATCTACATTCTACATTGGATTTCTTCAAAGTTCACAAATCTATTAAGCATTTTAATTAATACAGAATCAACTAAGAGGTTTAAAGTGACTACAGACATTCAAAGCTTTGTCTGATCAAGTATTGCAATATCCATGTTTCCCATTTTGAAAACTGATTTTATGTATTTGTGGTTTCTTTACAAAAGTGACTCATGCATTTCTTGCTTCAGAAACGATAGAGTAATGAAGGCTTCAAATGTGCATCGGACATGCCACTCTATAAATGGAAGGGCACTTGAAGTTACGCATGTATTCCATTTAAGTATAATTACATCGTATAGAAAAAATACTTTAAAATCTCAATTTTGCCCTTAACTAAAACTGTTTCGTTAAAAATACTTTAATCAATACTGCCTTCAGTGTAAATATATATTTGATATCATTATTTATAATACAATATGTATCGATCCAATGAAAATATAGATATTTTTAAAGTAACGTTTCCATCTCTATTCTTCATCCATTGAAGCTTACACCGCAGTATTAATAGGAAGTGTCTGATGAGTTCATTTAAGAAAATTGCTTAAAAAAATTTATTAACACTTGTAATTTGGAAGTGTTTATATGATCGAATAGTTTACATAGTTAAAATGGTATCAATATTTTTTCAAAAAAGGGTTTTTTAAGGGGGGGCACAACAAATTTGTTGGTTGCTGTGCGCGCAAAATGTGCCCCTACACAAATGCTCTCGTACGCCCCTGGGTTTAACTATACCTAAATCTCAGTACTTGTAAAACTAAATAAATAGCTTTGAATCTGCGAAAACAGTTTTAGAGAGCTTCATTTAATCATTTCATTCGACTATAAATTCTTTTGATGTCAAAGTACTAGGTTAGACAGTGCATAAACCTGAAATATATCGCTCAAAAATATTCCTGCGAGCTAGCAAATGTTCAACTTTACTGGTCAAACGTTTCAGCAAAACGCTTTTTATAATGAATTTTGATTGTCTAGCTTTAGACCTGAAGTAATAAGAAAGTTATACAATTCAATACATAAACAACATAAGAAATATTCAAATTAATAACAAAAATGAAGGTTAAAATTGAATTTTATTTCAATTCAATACATTTGACTTTTTTTTATTCAAGTGCATTGTAAATTCGGTTCATTTAAAGTAGAGTGCTGACCTCTGGATCAAAAAAGTGTTTGTACCTATAGCTGGGTCTCCAGGCTGCGTATTGTTGGTGAGCGCCTCTTGATTCCGCGTCCGATTAAACCCATCTGTTTGCGCACCACCATAACCAACCCCGTAGTCAGCATTAGATGTCTTGTTCCTAAAAATTCATAACTTTCATCTCAGATAGGAGGCTTACAGTAGGGCTGGGCACATTCAGACAATTTTAAACCGTTCGTTAAAAGTCAGCTGAAATCGTTCTAAATACCAACTTTTTATTCATCCATTCTTTTTTAACTTAAAAAAAACTGAACGTTCCATTCAGTAAAAACGGTATTTTCGTTCTTTTTAAAAGTTACTGTGAGTTAACAATCTCAATCTTTTAGACAACGTTAACGGAAGATATTTTAGAAATCGTTATCGACACCGTTGACGTTTTCCAAATAAGTTTTTTAATCAGATAATCTCCCGTTAATTTTCAAAAATTGCCGTTTGTTAACGAAAGTTGCCCAGCCCTAGTTTACAGAACTTCATGGGGGGACTAAAAGTAAAAATGGTCATTAGTGATTGATTGATTGATTGGCAACGACTACATTGCCCCTTTTTGGTAAAAAGCATTTTTGATTTCTTGATTTCAGAAATCCGCCCATGTCATTTTTATAAAAAGTTTAAAAGATGATATTGTAAATGATTGAAGATACCTTAACATTAAGTTGATAAAACTTTTACAAGAGGTATGAGACAATCCAATAAGTAATCTATTTATATACATGCTTTGCTTGACTGGTTGTTTGTCTGTTTGCTTGTGCCCGTAAACATCAATTGGGCCAACAACTCACGCAATGTTACTCAAGAGATGGTTTAAGTTGAAAAATGTTGCACAGAATTAAATTATGACATTTATTATATTTTTAGATGCACTAATTTAACTGCAGAAAATTCTGCTAAATTTAGTGTTATAAAATTACAACCAAAAAATATGGTGCCCTTGAAGCCAATTGTAAAGAAAAAGAAAAATAATCCGTCTTTCTGTGTTTTATAAAATTAAATAGATTTGTCTTTGAAATAAATGAATTCTAAGAAATGTTGGAAAAGAAAAATTTCTCATTATTCTTTTATAAAACATGAAACAATGTAGATATTTAGAAATTTGAAGTTTCAATTTAGATTATTTGGAAGAAGTTTTTACATTAATCAAATTAAAAACTGTAGTTTTTCATTGAAATTATTACGAGAGCAACAGCTATGATCATAACTTATAAATGCAGAGCATCAGAATGTATACATAAATATCTATAAATCAGGATTTTATGACACTTTGCTTGTTTATATAGATGCTCATTACAAAAATGTGTGTCCAAAATTTTTAGATTTTTGTTAAATTTTAAAAATGCACGAAAAAATATTATTTTTATTTATTCATTTAAACCCCCTCCCCAGTTATCATCCCGTCCATACCCTCTCATATATATAAATTACCTTCCATAGCTGCTGTTCCTTCCCCCTCCCCAGTTATCATCCCGTCCATACCCTCTCATACCAGGTAGTGCCCTGCAAATGAATTGAGTCTTTTCTAATCCCTAAATCTTTGCAACAAAATGCAATAGACAGATAAATATTTAAAACTATGAATTCCATCAGGTTGAATAGAAATAGGAATTAGAAAATTGGATTTTGTGGCAAAGATTCAATTTATTCATCCATTCCTCTGTTTTAAATTGGTCATATAGCTTTTCTAGGTCCCTGCAAAAGCCCAACTTCGCGAAAAATGAAAGTGGGCATAGCCTGATGTTGGATTGATCGATATCGATTGCTTCTAATTTTATTTTTATTTGTTGCAAATAAAAAATTACGTAAACAGCCATTCGAAATGGAGTTATTCTGAAAATTCAAAAGTAAAAGGGGAAGTGGAACAAATCACGTTAAAATCCAATTTTTACTTTTTCATATTAACTTTAAAGTCTTTCTGAAAATTGTAACAAATGTTATAAAAAATGGATATGTAGAATTCGCTAAAGAACTGGTTATTTGACGCGTATTACATGTAACATACAGTGTTTGAGATGCGTATTTACAAGTATATTGCGTTTTACATTATTTACATAAACTAAAAAAACAAAACAAAACAAAAACGTTTTAAAAACACTGACATATTTAGACAGGTACGTATACTCTGCTGACATCATGTACCATATAATTTTATAATTCTTTAAAAAAAAAAAAATTTACTATTTTTAAATTGCACAAGATTTTTCTTGAAACAAAACAAATTACTGCAAGAATTGCAAGTAATTTCAACTAATTTTTTGGTTTATTTTAATCACATAATTAACTTTTTAATGTCATGCATTTTAATACTTACATTTTCTAATGATTTTCCTACTTTTCTTCTGAAATAAAAGAAATTATGTTACAGTACGGCAACGAAAAGTCACACATTATTAACAAAATGTCCCCCCCAGCCCCTCCTCTTTGGTATCATAAATATATCAAATTTGTTATAAAAAACTGAAAATAAAAGATTAGTCTATAAGACTATAATGTGCGTCATACTCGTAGATTATTTTCAGATTGCTTAGTAATTCAATCTAAACAAATAATAAATAATAGAAACATTTACTCCTCTGCACTGCTCCCATTTCCTCCCTTCTTCATAAACTACCCCTCCCCCCATGGTATAGCTTATTGTGAAGGGGGGGGGGGGGCATTGAATAATTATGTGCCAATGGTGGAGTGTGCCGAAAATGTATATTCACTCATTTACACAAAATAACCCTTGGATTTTTTAAAGGTATTTTCGTCATTTTTATGCCATGTTTCCCTCTCAACTTTACTTTAGACTAATTTGACTGAATTTGAGGCATTTTAATCAGTTCGGGGCATTTTGATCTAATTAGGGGAACTTAATTAAAACTGATCCCTCCCTCTCTCTAGTTTTGATCTAATAAGGGCGTCTAATTAAAATTGATCCCTCCCTCTCTCTAGTTTTGATCTAATTAAGGGAATTTAATTAAAGCTGATCCCTCCCTTTCTCTAGTTTTGATCTAATTAAGGGCATTCAATTTAAACTGATCCCTCCCTCTCTCTAGTTTTGATCTAATTAAGGGAATTTAATTAAAGCTGATCCCTCCCTCTCTCTAGTTTTGATCTAATTAAGGGCATTTAATTAAAACTGATCCCTCCCTCTCCCTAGTTTTGATCTGATTAAGGGCATTTAATTAAAATTGATCCCTTCCTCTCTCTAGTTTTGATCTAATTAAGGACATCTAATTAAAACTGATCCCTCCTTTTCTCTAGATTTGATCTAATTAAGGGCATTTAATTAAAACTGATCCCTCCCTCTCTCTAGTTTTGATCTAAATAAGGCCGGACATCTAATTAAAACTGATCCCTCCCTCTCTCTAGTTTTGATCTAATTAGTAATTAAAACTGATCCCTCCCTCTCTCTAGTTTTGATCTAAATAAGGCCGGACATCTAATTAAAACTGATCCCTCCCTCCCTCTAGTTTTAATCTAATAAGGGCATCTAATTAAAATTGATCCCTCCCTCTCTCTAGTTTTGATCTAATTAAGGGAATTTAATAAAAGCTGATCCCTCCCTCTCTCTAGTTTTGATCTAATCAGGGGAATTTAATTAAAACTGATCCCTCCCTCCCTCTTGTTTCACCCCAAAAAAAAATCAGGGGGGATGTCCTCCCCAATTCGTGGATAGAGGGTGGTCCAGGCGCTACAGCCCCTCTCCCTCCCTTTGATCCATGGAATCCATATGTATAAACACTGAATTGAAGTCAGGAACTGACCACTGATAGTGTCCTGGGTTAGAAAGGCGTAGCTTGGTTACTTTCAAACATGAAACAAACCCTATATATATTTATAAATATATATATAACAATGCAACTAAAAATTCAAGGAACTGTAGTGTATAGACAATATTTTATGTTAATTTAGATATTTAAATACTTGCGAGGTCTATTTTTATCTAAACCTCCCTTTTTCTTTAGTAGCAGTCAGGAAGATATTGTAGTTATTTACATATAGGAAATCATATCAGAAACTACATATTTAGACATACTAGGCTTTAAGGGCGTATTTCAACAGTGAATATTTTCTCTTTGTATAAATTGTACAAACACGAAAACAAAAACCAAAATTTGCGGATTTTATAAAAAAAATCGGAGATTTTCAACATTTAATGAAAATCGAATTTTGATGGAGGCAAATTTTTGAACATTTGATCATCTATAACTTTCCTGATGTGAAGTCCCACACAAAATTTGGGCCCGATGGGCCGTTTTGACGTTTATTGGACACAAACAAACACCCAAACAGACAAGCAAAGCATGTATATAGATATATTTTTTAAAGTTTGATTTGTAATCTTCTTAAAAGTAATACTTTTTCTTTTTTAATTTACATTTTTAACATACTAGGCTTTTAGGGCCCATCTTATATTTCAATTATAAACATTTTCTCTTTGTATACATTGTAAAAAAAAAAAAAAAAGTTTGAAAAAAATATTTGTGGATTTATTTTCTTAATTTTTTAGATTACAGTTTCATCTAACCCTTAATAAAGCATGTATATTAAATAAATATATAATGTTTACTTTGAATACAATAAAACAATCTCAAACTCTTTTTGCTTTGTCTGTCTGTGACCTGTGTCCAATCAACGTCAATACTGCTAACTGAACCGATCGGGTTCAAATTTTATATGGCAACACACGTAAACCCATGGGGAAGGTCTTCTAATCTCTATATCTATGCAACCCGATGATGTAGACCTAGTAATATTTCAAACTATGAATTCTGATAAATCAAACCGTCTAAGTTTGAAGTATTAAAAGTTTAAACCATCAAGTTGCAAAGATTAAAAAATTAAGATTTTAAAAAGTTTGAGACAAAACTCCCGGAAAAAAATCCCTTTAATAGTTGAAGTATTGAGAAACTAGAATGTTTTAAAATAAAAGTCATTCTTTATCAGCCACATCTTCAGCTTCCCGTTGTGACCAAGGAGTATGAAATAGAAGGGAGATTCAACTTACGCTGCCCGCCCTAAGATATGATTAAACATGATTTGCAGATAGGTACTCCATTTTTAGTAATATTCAGAATGGGTTATTGTATACGCGGTAATTGTTTCATCAGACAAATATTACTCATTCAAATGAAGTACCGTCTGCAAAGCATAAATAATCATATATGGTAGGGCGGTCCGCGTTAGTTATATCTCCCGTCTATTTTATACTCCTTGGTTGTGACTTGAACAATGAGATAGAGATGATTAATTAAATTGTGATGAATTAAAAGCATCCGGTTAAATTTCGACAATTGTTAAATCTTGCACCTCATAATGAATAATAATGATAATTGTAAAAACAGCATCAATTTTCTGAGTAACGTTATTAAATATTTTTAATTGATAAACATCATTATAAGGATCTGGGTTAAAATTTTAATGGTAATTATCAACCAAATTAATTTTATCCGATATATTTCCGATATAAACATCCGAAAACGTGAAAATTGCCTGCAAATATGGAACCAGTAACTACAACGGTATCAACTTAACATTTGTCTGATCGAGAAATCTTTATCATTTACCTGCAGACCCGGTATACCTTATTTAAAGAAATAAAAAAAAACTTATTAATTCTACAGACCCCCCCCCCTGCCACTAGAATACTCTGTAGGGTTTCCATTTTTCCGGAAAAAAAATTCCATTTTGGAAATGGAATGATCCGGAAATTTGTTGCGTAAACCGGAATTCCAGGATAATTCCGGATTAAATGGAAACGGTAAAATTTCCAGTTTCCATTTCGTAAACCGGAAATTTTTCCGGTTTACGTTACGGAAACCGTAAAATTTCCAGTTTTCATTTCGTAAACTGCAAATTCTAACACAATATTAGACATAGAAAGCAATGTTAAAACATTAAAAGTTAAAACTTATTAGTTGACAAACATTAAATACGCATTTAGTTCTACAATTATATATTCACAAATATTTCACTTTAGTTCATCATGACTATTTTACAGTTACAGTTTTCACTTTCCCCACAATATTGTTTGACAAATTAGTTTTTATTTTTCAAGAGGATCATCGGATAGGCTTATGCCCCCCCCCTCCCCCTCCGTATTTGATCAAGATGGGATGAAATGAACCATATAAATAAGAGTTTCTAAAAACTAGGTTTAAACTGGTGACTTAAAAAAATAATAAATTTCGACGTTTTTTCCCGCATAAATTTTTAACTAGTTTTAAACTTTCCCTTGGACCATGTGAGTTGCCTCACAAATGTTGGGCTCGGTCGGTTCAGCTGTTTGGACGTTTATTGGATACAAACGGACAAACAAACAGACGAGCAAAGTATATAAATAGAGTGAGAACCAGAAAACTCTGGAATAGGATGGACGACTTGAATTATGACTCTAAATAGTTCAATGAACGTGAGACACGACAATTACGTAGTAAATACTATACTGTATACAGACCAATTTAAAAGTAATTTTATAAGTTACTATTTAACCTATTTGCTTTGTAACAACATTAATTAGACTCAAGGATTGCTATACATGTCGTCTTCCTTTCCACAGTTTTCTGTGGATAAAATTATTTTGAGACATGGCAGTCAGGATTTATGTTATTTCATGATAATTCACAGTTATAGTATTATTTTAAATACAGCTACACCAGGCGCACATTCTATTATTCTGTTGATAGTACTACTTACCAGTTTTATCTTTTACATAAGTTTAAGATGTATTCAACGTTTTCCGGAACTTTTTTCCGGAAAATTCCGGAACAATTGTTCCGTAAACCGGAATTTTCCGGAACACAATTCTGTAACGTTCCGTAATTCCAGAACAACGTCCCGGAAATTTCCGGTTTACGGACAAAAATCGTTCCGGAAATCGTTCCGGAATTCCGGTGGAAACCCTAATACTCTGTATACAATTGGATACGTAAAAAAATATATTTATACTTGAAGTGGAAAATATTTGTACTATTGTGTGTTGAAACTAAAATAATAGTTTTACACAGCACTTTAGGCCCTGAAGCATGTTTTTTTTTTGGTAAAAATTCTAATGCTCAATAGTTCGGAATATTTTATATTAAAACCTAAAAAATTTTTGTTAAATTTTTTTACTTAAATATTGATAACTAGTTGAAGTCCCCGGCGTTGCCCGTGGAATTTTTATTTTAAATTTTGAATAACAAATTTTCGATTTTTGAAGAAAAAAAATGTGGAATTGTTTTAGCCTATGTTACTCCCAGGGCATCCAGCATTTCAGCCCATTCGGTCCAGCCGTTAGGCCAGCTATAGCTAACATATATACATGCACACATATATAAGAGCGAAGAGAACATCAAGGGCGGATGCAAGGGGGGTGGGGGTACCTTTGCCCCCTCCCCTGAGAATTTGAGGCC